TTTCTCTGGCCGCGAATAAGCGTACTTAGCAACTTAACAACTTATGAAAAACGATAGGTCCGTGAGTTTACGAAGACAGCACCTAGACATAAGCCGGATTATAAGCTACGCTGTGGTGGAGAATAGCTTGGCCCTTGGTTGCTAAGACGAAAATAAGAATGGTTGCCATAATAGATATATGACATATCATCTAACTCTAGTGTCCGTTAAGGTAAGTGGCTGATCATTGATCACGGACGCTTCGGGACGCGCACGAGAGGGCAACACCCGTCTTACGAAGTACCATTTTTGATTTCATTTACAGGTTACACCTTGTATTCCCCTTAGCCTCAATCACTCGGCACAGCATCGTCAACCAACACATTTAACGCATTCGACGCACTCGACGCACTCGACGCACTCGACACACCCGACGTTGCGATACCCACCTCACAAACTATACGAGATCAGGCAACGTAGAGGGCGAAAACTTCAATATAATCGAAGAACCGGGTGAGCAATCACATCTATTAGCGGACTTCCCGGTCAAAAGGGAGCATCTACCATGCTGCCATGATATATTATGCCCGAGTTAATGCATCTGACACTAGAAGAGGTTTAGGGACGAGAGACGGCCTGTCGCGTCATCTTTTAGATCAATCCTCAACTCGTCAACTCCTCGATTCCTAGACTCCTCACTTCTCGCTTCTCGCTCCTCGAGCTGTAGAAGAGTCGATCTATCTTTCTTGGCGATCCGACTTATCCAAAGGCTAACTAGATTGAATCGTCCGTGCTCCCGTTTATACACACCGATCCGATACCCAAGGACTAAAAATCTATGGGTGAACGGTGACCTGATCCAAATCCGGACAAGGTGTACATTTTAGATACAAGAGAGGAATCAACCCCGCGGCCTATTATTTGCTGGCTTATTTTTGCTGGCCTCGAACGTGCTGAACGTGGTAATCTTAAGCCTAAACCACAGACCCTCCGGACCCTCTCATTGATTGGGTGCCACGAATTGGGTTTCAAGGCAAAGAGGATCCATCGTCAGCTTTTTCGGGTTTCTCACCTTACCCATCATCTACTGCCCGCAAGTGGACGGCTTAAGCACTCCGACTATCGGTTTGGTTATACACCTAGGCACGTTCGTACATACAGCATACATATACAGATACAGCATAAAGCATATTACGGCATACAGAATACCTACCTACCTACCTACCTACTTAGGTACAGATTACGTATTTCCTAATAGCTCACCACTAAGCCGGAAAGCCGCTTTCTAAGACGGCGTCCCCGCCTTCGAGATTCCATAGATACCAGAGATACCAAGGTCCAAAGGTACCAAACAATTGTGTGAGATTTTACGGCCCAAAGGCACGATCATAACCCACTCCGGCTCTGGTTGGATGGACGGTGAAGGCAACTCCTCCCCTAACTGCATACATACACACATTCGCACATCAGTATCGTGAGACGCGGTGACGATCCAACTTACCGTTCCATCATCTGTGGATCAGCTCATGTCGCAATCCCTCCAGTGTCCACCTACATACAATAGAAAAAGTCACGAGACTGGTAGAAATCGGATGAACGATTTAGTAGTTCTCTATCCCTCGCTTGCTCATCTCACGCACTCCTCTATTTCCCTTCTCTCGTACCCTGACGGCGCTTCACGTTCCTTGCACCAGAGGACTCCGAAGTTCTTAACTTAAACGTCGAGGATTCCGATGAGACCCCCACACAGGACGTCGCCCGCCCCCTGCAGGTCTAGCCCCAAACCAATCAAGCCCTGGACCGTCTGACATACAAGGCCTCCCTGGAGCCGTTCCTCCGTCCCTACCTACACACAGTACAGTATTATTGCACATTACACAAGATCTGAGAAACGAGGGCAAAGTACCTACATACCTACATATTTCCAAATCTCCAAGTCCAAGGGTCAGCCTAGAGCTTCCTTACAAGGTAGTGGTTGTAGTCGACTACTTACCTACCGCCTTAACACCTTGACGCCTACCGACGACGTTAAGGGAACCTAGGACCTAGGTGCCTTGCAGCAGCCTGCATGACTCTTATCTTCGACGGTACCTAGGTTGGACGTTACCTGGCAGGCCAAGGTACATATTTGGCAGCTACCAAGCTTCTTTACTAATTGCTACATCGCTACCCTGACTGCCTAAGCCCGTCCTCTCGGTTCCGTGACAACCCGTTCATATCGACAGGGCGCGCGCAACGGCGAGAACTATCGAGGGAACACATGAGGGGCCTTGTCACGACTCTACCTACAGTCTACCTGTTCTTCCTCTACTAGGTACTGTGTCCTCGTGGCTGACAAGAGTCATTCACTATATAATAAGACATAAGACATATCAGACAGACGCATCTGCGGGTTCCTGGGACACCTTGCCTGATCCGGTTTTTCCTGAGCGTCCCGAGTGTTCAGTTGTTTTAGTTGTTTAGTTACATTCTACATTCTACATTCCACATTCCGCAATCCACAAGAGTGCTGGAACCCCGGACGATCAGCTTACAAGGTAGACGGCACCTCATTGGCATCGCTTGAACCTCATTAGACATTGTCGACAACTTTCCGATCTATACCCACTTGGCACTTGGACAACGTCAGAATAAGGATAACGGAACCATACAATCCTTAATCCCTAATTCCTAATCCCTTCAGCAAGCTGGGCGTGACATTGATTTGACCATTGATTCCACGATTAAATGCCCGAGTCACAAACATCGTTACAATTCCTCTTCGTCACAAATTCTCCGAATTATCGAATTACTCTTGTGACCGATCAAAACTCCTGATTCTTTGGAGAATATCAGGAATACCAGGAATATCAAGAAAAGGAAACGAAACAAAATAATAGTACGATTCAACTAATTGTCGAGGTTGAGTGCATTATAGCTCGTTATTATACCTTTGGCGATTTATGCCCCATTCGTTACGGTACAAACCGATCTCAGCTGTCGATATAAGTACTATCCTTACTCCCGTCTATCTCCTTGAACTTTGAAGAATACCGGTATCGTCTCGTCCGTCGTCTTACGCTGTACATCTTACCTACCCCTAGTAGTACAGTTACTTCAGTACATCCTCACCTGGGCAAGCTTACAAGCACAAGCTTATCCCCACAATTATATTCATAATCATAAAAAAGCGAGGACCCCTCGAAACCTCTAAACTCGACCCCTCTTATCCATCCAGTCCCAGTCCATCCAGGTCTTTTTACCATTGCGTTACCTTCTGGGCTGTGTCCTGAGTCTTGACCTGGGTTTGACCCGCGCTGCGAACTTCGATCGGTCTGTCATTCCAATCAGAACCTTGTAAGTGATTGCGACCCCCTCTGCATTTTATTCTTCTATCATCCCCAGGTCTCCCCCCAAGTCCCGAGGTCTCGAGGTGGTGGTTATCCTTGAGACCCAATCTTTCATCAACTATTTCTGTACCCATCTTTTCAGGTTACCTTTTTTACCTTTTTGGTTAATGATAATAAAAGCTACCGACCTTGAAGCTTGTAGGTAACTTGCCTAAGTTGTTACTGTTACTGCACTACACCTACCAGCTACACCTACAAGCCCTTAGCTAGGGTAAACTGCGGGCGTAACCCATTCCCATTCCCACCATAAGCTTGTACTACTACAGCCTATTACATCCATTGATGTATTGTACCTAGTAGGTACCACTGCCACTGCTACCACTACCACTACACTACCACTACACTACTACCGCCTAGCATCGCCTACCAGCACTACCGCTATCACTACCGTAGGTCGGTTCCAGCGTATGGATCCATTTATCGATACCCCCAAACTCAAAACCCCAAACAACCCACCCCAGTCCCCAATCTGAAATCCCAAATTCGGATATCCCCTCTCGCCGCGTTCAAAATGTTCTGCATCTATTTGATTTGACCGAATCTCTGCCGCCGCTAACCCTCGTTTTCCCCCTCTCTTCCCGCTCAGCTCCATTTCGAATCTGCATTTGTTCATTTTGTTCCATCCATTTGTTCCATCCGAGTCTCGTCTTACTCGCCTTAAGATTCCAACAACACAACTCACGAATCCTCATCCTCCAGTCATCTTCAGACACACTACCCATATACGCAACACATATAACCGGTGCGTCGGAATTCTCAAATCATCGTCGTCCAAGTTCGACATCACCCCCGTCCTACCTATATTAAAACCATCTTATATCTTGTTCCTGTTCCTGCTGTTCCTGTACCTTGCACCATCGAGTGGTACCTAGCATAGCTAGCGTATCTAGCAGCGAGTTGCATACATTACAGCGGACATACGTGTAGTAGGGCAGGGTTAGACAAGACTTTTTTTTTCTTTTTTTTTTTTTTTTCTTTTGTACCTATCTTTTTATTCCTTAACCCGTTCACATCACCCTATCCTATCCTTTTTCTCTTATCCGATAGGTTCCTCTCAACCAACCATTTTTCTTAACTCGAAAGTTTTAAGTTGCAAGAAACAAAAACTACAAAATACAAAATACACAATACAAAAATAACCAAACCTATAAAAGCTACGTGCTCCTAATAACATAATCGCTATTAGGTATCTTTGCGTACAATCGCCTTGTCTTGGCATTGGTATTGGATTTTGGTCTATTAGCCTCGAATTCGACCCGACCCTTGCTTCGAGGAACAACGGAAGAGTGGTAAAGTGGCAGAGAGTGGCAGAGTATTCTTGGTACCACGAGTACCACGACCTAATCGACCTTAAACGGTTAAACGATAAGGGGGCGTCAATGCTCGCTGCGACCAGGTTGACCAGGTTGTCGTCGGCGCGCCCCTCCTAAATCCTCCCACGTCTCGCTACCACCTTCGCCGATTATTGCTATTATTGCAATTATTGCTAGCTAGCACTGTTACTGCTAGTGTGCTATTACCACTATTACCTATTACCTATTACTGCAACCTCTTTCCTCCCTCTCCTCCTTCTCCTCGTCGTCACATTTAAAATCCCATCCCCGATCGCCGCCACCATTGCTACCACATAAAATGTCCGAGTATCGTCATATTCGATCCGGTAGCTTAAACATTCCCTCCCAGACAAATACCATGAGTCCGATAGTTCCGTCGCACGGTCGCTTCGACGGTCCCCGAAGCCCGCCGAGTAAGTAATATATCTCCAAGCATATCTATAAGTAAAAGCACAAGATCGCATAACATCTTCAATTACTTTCCAATTATCTTCCAATTACCTTCCGATCACCTCCCAATCACTCCCTAATCACCCTCCAATCACTTTCCAGTCTCTAACCTCAATTCCTAATCTAGATACATCGCACGTACCATGTAAATTCTTCCGACAGGGCGCTTGCCAGGCTGGTTCTGCTTGTCCCTTCAGTCACGACCTCGGTACGGCATCGGAAACGGTGTGCAAGTACTTTGCCAAGGTAAGAGATCAAGATCTGATGTTATGATACGGTACGCCGTAGTACGAGAATCGCGACTAAAGATCTGGTGAAACGAAAACAGGGCAATTGCAAATTCGGTCCTAAATGCGCCAATGTCCATGTTCTAGCTGACGGTAGACGAATCAACTATGGCAAGAATGGTATCACCATCGGCCAGCCCATTCACCTCGGCAATCGAGTCAATCCCACCGCCTACAACAATTCGAATAGCGCCCTAACCAATTCCTTCATGCGTGCCGACGCCAATCCCTCTTACAGCGGAACGTATAACGGTTACCCGATGTCCCCGAGCGACACCTACCAATCCATTGATCGTCGACCGAGCTTAGAGAACGTTCCTACCATCGATACCACATATTCCCACACGAGTTCCCAATACGGTTCGCCAAGAGAGGAAGATCCGTCGCGTCTAGGCTTAGGTCTCTCGCCCGTAGCAGCGGCGAAGGGTCTATCGGTCCTCGACGCACCTCTTCCCGCTTCTTTCGATTCCAACGGAATTTCCAATGCCGCTCGATATCCCGGAGGACCGTGGCCCTCGTCTGTTCCCTCGCAATTCGGACTCGAATCGCCTTCGCCGTCGTTGAACGCGGCTAAAGACGCGAGAACATCAGAAACGCTGAAGCTTCTTCACCACTCCGCATTCGGTAGCAACGAACATCTATCTTCGGTGGCCCCCGGTTCTTCGCCTACCACCCAACCCTCGGACGAATATTACGGTAGACGCCAGATGCATTCGAGCCGCTATGCCAAGCCTAAGATGCTTAGCAGCAGCGCGCCTCGAGCCATAACTGGCGCCATCGTCGATCGAGACTGGGAATCGGACTTCTCCTTTTTAGAGGAGGATTACTTGCCGGACAATCTAAAAGACCTGCTGACTCCGGCTGAGAAAGCCCGGCGCGGATCACGAGCGGCCGACGAAGAATCGAACGGTCATAGGGGAAACGGGAACTCGCCTAGCATCGTCGGAATGAGTGGCACGGGTACGCCTAATGGGGAAGTGAACTCCAAATTCGGTAGTCCCATGGCTTCGAGCCCAAGCCGATGGGGCCCGCTCTTCCAGCGGCAGCACGAGGAACACGAGGCGAAGAAGCACGCCGCTGCAGCTAGCGCAGGTGTATTCGGACACGTTGGAAGCCCTCTTCGCCAATCCAGCCTCAGCGCTAGTGTCGTGCGACCACATAACGCGAGCCGATCCAGTAGCATCGAAGGCCTCAGCGCCTTGACCCAGCAGCTGCAACGCACCCGCGTGGACAGCAACGGGGGCGAATCACCTCACCTCCATCCCAATTCTCACACTTCGCGACCGTCCAACGGACGAGCCGAGCGCCACGTCAGCAGTGGTTCTATTAGCTCCAGCGCTCGATATACCACCCCGATAGGAGAGGAAGACGGCGAATTCGTTTTTAGCATGGACGAGGACGGCGAACGAGATAGCACCATAAGAGCGCGGAAGCGGATGTCTGGCGTCGGCAGCGCCATGAGCGTCTGGGGTTCGAGCTATGCCGGCGTCGTCGCAGGACCCGGAAAGAAGGACGACGGCGCCGCTAGAGTCGTTGAGGGAGTTGGTGGTCGGTGAATAATTTAATCGACTCGTCGGAAACGACCAAGGATACTAATGGAAATATTGTCGTGCTGGAAGATAATATCATTGCTGGAGGAAGATACCCGAATCCACGCGAAAGCAGAACCCAATCCCGAATCCCACCGAATCCTAACATTAACCTCCACAGCAATACGCGCGCTCGAGATGATATAGACGTCTCGAGACGCCGCTGTCTAATGTCACGACGTCACGAAATCACGAACCGCCGAGAAAGCCGGCTGTCAGGCACGAAGTATTACACACCGAGAGCGCTACACGAAGTCCTACCTTTACACGGGGGGAGGTGGCATTGAAATACGAAAGTGAAGATCGTTGCATCGTTGCATATTTGTAGGCACTCACTGGCATTAGAAGGGGGGCGGACTCCTTGCTGCTTCGTTGGTTAAATACATTTTCACACACGGCATCTAGGTTGGCAAAACAAAGTGACAACCCGGCGAGGCGGCTGGGATTCTTTTTTTTATAACAAGATGCTATCTTTTTACAGGAGATGCGGTTCACGGGGGTCGGAGTTGGTTGGGTAAAATCATCATCGTCATCTTCTTCATCGCAACATGTAATTTCTTTTTAATTTCTTGTTCATAACACTTGAACCAACTCCCGCTCTCGACACGGTCATTTGTCGAGAACGGGAGTTGGGGCTATTACTTAACTTTCTTGGAGATATCCTGGGGTTTTTCGGCATTCACCTTTTTCTATCTTGTTCTACACCTATTTCTACATCTTACTCATCTGATATCTGTTCGAACTCATCTACTCACATTTGACATCTGACATCTACATGTAATCGGGATTTTATAGTTACACTTTTTACGGAATAACGGGACTGGATAAGGAGGTGAACATATAGGCGGTCATATACACGATAAAAAGAAAGAAAATTTTCAATTTTGGACTAGAACGGAATAACACTGCTCTATCTATTTATCTATACATCTACAACAAATCTATTCAAACAACGCATTCTTTGAGATATACCTATGAGGTAGCTGACTAGGGCTAGGGTGAGGACTGAGATGGATGTGGTATACAATAGTGGTATACGAGGACACATGTAAATTCAATCACGTTTACTAAATACCTAGGTGACTACCAAATTGAATGATTCGGATCTGTTCGGGATACGCATATTGGGCATCGTGGTTGAAACACTCTGGGGCTTTCTCCGCCTGCCATGCTATGGCTGTATCATGTCTCATTAACTAGAGATGTTCTCGAAATGCCAAGCACCTGGCATCACAAGTGGCTTATCGAATAGACGCCTAAGGCACCAGGCAGGAAGGTGATCGACTTCTTAGAATGACTCAAGACCGGCACAATTGCACATTACTAAACGAGGCCGAGTCATTGGACAAGCGGTCGAAGGAACATATGCCCAAGGCGTCTTCTCGGTCTTCTCCTCGGTGCGTTTAGGTAAGGTGACTCGACCAGCTATATCCTATTGGGAGCTGAAATTTCAAATCACATACGGGCGTATAGTCGGGCGTAGAAGGAAAACCGGAAGAGGTGCCGGTATATGTGAGTCAACAACGGCTTCTGCAGCAGACAGTGTTTGCGGCTCAGGTCCTACCGTAGGTCTGTCCAGGTCAGGCTTCGATTCCGATTCGCCAACTTACCCATCACCGGGACGGTATATAGTTCGGCTCGGTGAATCTGGAGGAAAGGGTTTGGTGGGGAGGGGAAGAATGGGCGCCAGGCATCCATCTCCCCTATAGCACCCTATCCACTAGGTGCCTATGGACTGAGACACTTGGCCAACTATTTCAGTGCTGACCTACATATCTGAGCATCGGTGGCGTATAGATATCGATGACTCTAACTAGGTACTTATTGTTTGTAAGTCAATCTTGTATCACACCAACAGGCAACCTCGATGCACGCGGATCTGCCCGCGCGTTGTTGGGAGGTGGTTCGCGTAGTGCTTACGCAAAGCAGGTACGCGGCTCCGTGGTCATTACTTCGGCATATCTTGCAGGGCTGTCTTGGCTGGATTGTATAGGTCTCTTTGGCCGGTGACCAAGTGCATAGCCCTAGCTAGATCTATGAGGGTTGAGAATATTGGCCTCTGAAGTTGAGGGGTGGTTAGGACTGGAGGTGGACTCCTTACCAGGAAGATTATCTTGGCATCGTCAGGAGACCGGAGAAGTACCTCATCGAGATATACAAACTCGGATTCAAGGGTTGACAATGCTTGATTTTTTCAACAATTATTTCTTTATCATACCAAGTTATCAGAAGTTCATGATACGTTACTACGGACGCCCTTTTTGCCGAGTTGAGATCCCACGCAGATATCAGGAACGGCAACCCTGTTAATACACTTCACATTAACCTAACCCAACCAACATCATTCTTAAATACAACGTACCTAATTAAATACGCCCTAGACGCCACCTCACTCTGAGGCCTCTGCGGCGCATAAACTGCCTCTTCAAAAACTTCGCGAATTCTCAGCACTGTGTACAAATTCGAGAAATTCAACCCTCAACCCCTGAACGATGAGAGGCAAACCCACCACCCACCACAATCATATCGCCCTTTGCGCTAAGAGCCTTATTTCAAAACATGTGATGATGGTATATCACCTCGATACATGCGAGATACTTCGACTATTTCTAAAGGTACTTACCTAAGGGTAGGTCAGACATCCTCCGAAAATCCATCTAAGGCGGTTTCGCGGTGGGTTTTGGAGGCCTTTGTACACGGCTCGCACATCCGCGTCCCCGCCTCGGTCGACATAATAGAATATGTCTGGGATTTTCAGGTTAGGAGGTTGATATGAGGTCCATAGCCTGGCCCTCCAAGCGATTCCGTGAGGCACTTTCGAGACGACGTCGTGGTCGGCTGTTTTGTTAGTGTGGTGACTGGGTAGGTAGGTAGGAATAAGATCCTCGGGTCTGTAGAACTAGAATCAGGGCGCTCGTTGGGCGATTTTACGGTTTGTAGTATGCTTACAGCTGTTCAGAGGACTTGTGCATGATTCCTGTTTCTCACGAGCCGTCTCATGGAATCAATGTAATGTAACTACTTGACTACAACCGTTATCATCATTCTGTGACGAAAACAATCCAATATTGCGGCTGTACGAGGTTACGATATATCGGGCATTTCTAATCCCTTATTGAGCGACGGCCGATGCAATGCTCGGCATCAGGGGTATGGTGCATCACCGTATTGTCCCTCTTCGCCCGAACTCATTCTCGTTGTAGGTAATTGACAAAGTAGATTTAATATAGGTATCTATACAGGACCGTATTCAAAGACTTAGGAATGATATGCAATCAAGCTCACCTATTTTTAAATGTCATAATCCTTGCCTGCATCTATGAGAAGGAAGTTACGGTAAGCCGGACTACGGTGGAGCACCCGGCCCGAACCCGGCTACGGCGTTATCAGGCGTTGAGTCAATTACCGGTCTACTTTCGGGGTAATCCTTGATATTAGACGGGGATGTACTTAGAATTACAGATTGGATAGAGTTTCTATTCAATCCAAGACGAAACGACTTAAAAATGTGAACATTACCTATATCTCCCTACAATGAACCCCTTAAATATCAATAAGTTGACATTGGTAGCTTCATTGAATCAAACTGTAGATATCGTTACCAGTACATTTTACATAATAATAACTCCGAAATATTCGTGCCGCTTTACAGCTCAAAAGGAATTGGATTGAATCTACGGTTGCATCTACTGCTGTGTATCCCGACGACCTGGGATAGAGTGTGGTAGTCCACTCGGTTCGGCTCGTTCAACATGCGTCGAAGGATCTACTAGTTTGATAACGAAGCACCACTGGCATTGGCCAAGTTCTATAGCTGCAGTGGTTAGGTCAGGGTGGCGTGCCATGATGCATGCTTGGAAAAGTAAGTAGCAGCTCGTACGGCCAATCAGAGATATATTGCCATGATAGCTAGTAGAACTATTGGAATCTACAAGCTGACGGCGGAAACATGCAGATGATATAGATGATAGAAGAGGGGGTGAAACGCCACCAATACTCTACGCTGTCGAATTCGACAGAACTGAAGGCATTAAATGGTTACATAAATCTTAAGTTCAATTACAATTATCCCCTAAATTAGTAGTTGTATACCATCATCCCATTTTCTCAGGTCCTAGTCCAAATGATACAATGAATATTACCCAAGCAGCTACCAAAATATTGCAGAAGCTGTCCAACTCCGTTTAATGCCCATTACCGCCTTTGGATCGCTCTATGAGGTATATACACACACTCCCTTAGGGAGTATCCTCCACTCTCCTGAATGTCATTAGTTCATGGAAATATCATATGACCCTTAGGTTTATGGGAGGGATACACCATCATAAAAGCTATCTCGAACGAGATTTGTACGTGTGGAGGGGACAGAGACGCGATGAGAGGCTGTCTTAATCGTTGGCGATATCCGTTGGTTCCGATCTGCTAAGAAGTAGTCCATCTCCCACTTTGGGTGCAATATATGGTAGCTTTGCTCGTTGCTGTTACCCAGGACCACGTCTTGGAAAAGGGGGTATTTTTTGTGAAGGGCAGCCCTGCGAAATTTCTCGGCTTGATCGCCTTCGGCCGTACGATATCTTCGCACATCTTCTCACTTTCCATCTACCAGGAATAGCTTTGCTTGCGTAGAATGTTGGGTGCAGATTCAGCTGCGGGTGTCTCTAGTAGACGGGCTAAAGAAGCAGAAAACATCGATTCTTCATTGCTCAAGATAAATGTAGGCCAAGATAGTCTGACGGTCCGTCATTAACTCATTGGCATATCTCTACTGGCCGGTCCAGGCATGTACCAGGTACATTCCATTCTATATAGCGATTGTCTGAAATCATCGCCTCTAGCGATATCGTCCCTGTTCGATCCTACTTGGTAACTTAATGGTAAAGCAGTCTGGTTGCGCCTGTATAAGATCGGGAGGTGCCTTAAGATAGTAGTCTCTACTATGACGGCACTATCGGTTTCGGCTAGCGACGCGAGAGATTCAGGTCCCTGACCGAACCAATGCGTAAATACCTTGATATATACGGACTACCTAGAGTGTGAATCATAGTGTGATTACCACTATAAATAGGTAGTAGTTAAGTATCACATCGCCATCGTTGTCAGACTCGCGCTAGAATTCCGACAGCCATTTGGAGTCTTTGTCTGAGACGATCCATGACCATAGTTGAAGGACGACCGGTAACTGCTCATGTTATTTGGGATTGCGGGTTCTTCGGTGTTAGGGATTCACCTAAATTAGGTATCTTAAGGTAGCTATTGTAATGTTGGAAGGGGGTTGTGATAATTGAAGTAACATGACTTTGTGAAAAATAAAAAAGCTTTGAGAAATCTCTTATAGGATTATAGTAAATAGCATATTACTGAAAAGTGAATGAGTCCACGTTGTTACAGGAATACTAGAATGATTTGATTTTTCCAAAGTTGTTGAAGGAGACAGAATTGAAGTAAATGTTGGCCTGTAATTAGTGCCTAGTGGTTTTAGGCATTTCGCGCACCGTAGTTTCTGTGTAGCATGGCGGGGTGCTGTAACTGTAGAATAGCCCTAGAGTTTGATCCTAGCGTACCTCCAGGCTACCAGGTACAATAGAATAGGTACTGGTCGAGGTGGGGTTCCCGCCTGTTGTGAAAGTATCTAGGTGAGAGCTAGCGAGTTACTTCCTCCCTAGCTAGCAGTCTGGGCTAGCACTAGTAACACACTCGTTCTAGCGCCTCTATATGGATGTTTTTACTTGCACCCATGGATGTCATGATCACGACCATTGATATCCACTCTAGAAGTTGTCTCTACAAAATATAGACGATAGAAAATATTCACACGAAGAACAGATCATTATACTCTACTGGTGTAATTTATTGTTTACTTTCTACGCCAATATCAACGTCAAGCTTCAACTACAAAATGATCTTAAGATATCATCATGATTAACTAGAGTGAAGCTATCTCAAGTCATCTACTTGTATTCAATCGTCCCTAATATTCATACCTATGTTGATAAGAAGAGGATCGGTAGTCTTTTCGCACCAGCCTGGAAGATCCTATCCGATACTTCTAAGATACCTTGACAGGCTGGCCGGCTGAGAGGCACCTATCTTTGACAAGACTTGTGGAATAACGTCGAAATAAATAGGGGTAATCTTCATATTTCGTTTGTTTTCGGTCCTAGTAAAAATACCTTAATTTCTTTATAGTCATATAAGAAACTAATATCTTGTATAGGTACCTAGGTAGAGATCATTATCTCATAGCCTTAGTATTATCATCTCCCTACGTACGAGCCTCACGGCTCCGTTTCGGTGTGTCCCGGGAGATCCAAAGCGCAATCATAGTAAAGTTCGCACTTAGGGTCAACGGAAATCCCATTGCACGCATAGTATTGGCGTACATGGAGTATTTCGGGCAATATTATCTCTCTGACTGCTGGATGCCGAAACCGACGAGCGCTTTCGCAGCCGTAGACTCTAATCCCAACAATTCCTATATGTGGCCGACAGACGATTATTTCTACATTACACATGGCGGTGGAGATCGTAAGTTATTTGAAATTGATAGATTTGTCTCTTTCGGATGAAGGGCTGTAAGTACAAGTAAATCGTGAGTAAGGGAGCTTCACGAGAGGAATGTTTATACTTACGAATGGTAGTCTTATCCAACGATGTGGAAGAACTTAGTTTAATCGCAGTCGAATACTTAACTAGTTGATAGATGTATGGAAGACGTGAAACGAGATGGATATCGCTGAGTGCTGAGATAACGGAAGAATCAGAAGGACTTCAAGCCTTATATACCTAGGTATTGGCGCCATGGATTTCCAACCCCGAGCAAACCTACCTAGGTAGGTATAGGTAGGTAGGTATAGGTAGGTAGGTATAGGTAGGTAGGTATAGGTAGGTAGGTATAGGTAGGTAGGTATAGGTAGGTAGGTATAGGTAGGTAGGTAGTTATATTAGGCAAGTAACTCTATGGGTACTGTGTCTTCCTCCTATCATCAGTATGCGATGATGCTGATTCCCACCTACCTACCTACCTAGATGTATTGATGATTTCAAGAATTGTCACCTACTTTTGACTCATAAGCTACTAAGACGGACGGTTGTGAGTCAAGTGTCTTCTATAACAGCCAACATACTACAAAAGTAATACAGATACCACAACTTGACCTGGTTTTCATTTGCAATCTCCTACCGCTATTAGCAACCCCTGACGTATTGCTTGGTGTGATGGAAGTAGTCGTAGTGGGTACTAGAGTGTTGGATTCGGGCTGTACTGGATCAGAAGCTGTGACAGTAATAGTTTCAACTGTCGCCGTCGCCGTCGTGTCCGGTATCGAAGCAAGCTTAGTTGTGCTATGTATCAGAACACTTGACGATGCGACGACAGTCTTGGGCACGGTCTTGGGCACACCAGTAGCTGAGCTCGAACTTAATCCACCAACCGCCGAGATTCAGTTATCGATACAATATGGTGCGGCGACATAGTTGAATGTCAAGATTCCATCCGATGGGCTATTACTGCCCTTATCAACATAATGTATCGGTACGCTTCCGCAAGTAGAGCACTTGTGCTTGAGTAAGGCATCCATCAACGGTCTGATCTGCGCCAGCGTCAAGGTTGCTCCCGAAGACATGTATTGAGGGAGGGGGCAGATGCCGCCTTCCTGGATGGTCCCCGAAAGGCCGACGCTACCGGTAAAGCCATCCAGCGTGAAGCCTGCATCGATAGTAATCTTTTGCGATTGCGAGACGCAGATGACGTGGTCGCCGCTCTTATAGCTTGTCGATAGGGGGTTTGGGGCAGCGTAGACAGCGTCGCGGAGTAGTTGAATAACAGAGACTGGGGATTGGTCCTCTGTTAGTATAGGTCGAGGTGGAAATCGTATTATCGATCTCCGCTTACCATCATTATTCCAGGTCGCGCGGGGACAAAGCCCAGAGCCACGACAATTTATCCCGAGAGCCGAAACGGCTGATGTGAAAGCGATAAGTTGGATGATTGATGGCATCGGAGTATGGTTCTGGTTGAAGGCTGTGATGATAACCTAGGTATTAACAGCGACCGAAGTCTACGGGATATAGTGCTATACATATACCTCAGATAGAGTATACAGTGGCTTTCAGCTAGATTATAGCAGCCAGTAACTTCTACGCTCCGCTTACCAACCCTTGTAGCAATAACGCGGTGGCTGCGTGCTATGTGCTGTAGCCTGAAAGATTTTCAGCTGAAAACTACCTACCTAGGTAGGCAGTTTGCAGGTTCAGGTCGGGATAGAATGGCCTGCTTTTTTATCGTAGAAACTCTGCAAATTGGCCTTTCGTATAGGCGCTCATTAGTTTACAGAGAATACAACAGTCAGGCTTAAACCTGTAGCAGCATGCCCAAGATATCTACCTAGTGTATGTGAATGGATTTGAAAACCAAATGTTAACACTTCAAGGGATACTGTATGTTACAACCCCTTAAAATAGATAAAATCAAGACCCTAAAAATCTAAATAATACATACGTCGTAGTCTTAGGGATCATCACATCATCCCAGTGAAAGTCATGGAAAAATTCCGAATGTCCCGCAAGCGTATCGTAAGACGCATGTAGAGTACGAAAATGTTCTATGAACGTAAGCAGAAGTCGCTTCGTGTCAAACCGTCGTCGTTCCTAGCAGTATATTGTAGGGTTAGGCAATATATGATAGTGACAGTCTATTATCTAATAGACGCCTAGTAGACTAGGTAGCTATTACTACCATGTCGAATACGGTGCTGTTCGCGAGCGGCTTTTAAGAGTTTATGACGAAATCCCACGATAGTCTTTGAACGGAAATGCTGACAGCAAGAGTTCGATCAGGACGAGGCTGCAGGCCATATCAATACCCGCATAGTTACTATATGGACTGAATCCTGATGATAGTAGGGTTTGGGTCTTTCATCGCTTCTAGCAACATACCCTTGGAACGCCGGAGGACGAGGACGAAAGCTGGATCCGTATATACCCAAAGCCACAATGAAAATAGGCGACTCGAGAAGGGACGATTAGAGCGAAAAGCGACTATCGTTGAAAATCTACCCGCAAGTGTAACATTATCCAATCCAGTGTTTCTCACACAGTTATCGTTGTTTGCTATAATCGAGTTGTTCATCTTGGCGTATGAAGACTCCTATTGGAGACTGAGGCTCAATATATCGTATATCGTATCCCTAACATCGTCAGAACGTTCATAACATCAATAGACTCGTGAGCAACCAAGGCCAAACTGACGAAAGGGAAGGGGAAATATCAAGCTATTAGGTGAAATTGTGAGTTGGCTATGAAAATCGCTGGCGGGGATCCAACTCCCAGGCTATTGGATTTCATTAGTTAAGCGGCAGAGCCAGCTTAGCAGTTAGCCTCAACACGATCCGCAAATCTACTAGATACCTAAGTAGTTACCTAACACTATTTTTAGCGAAATCCCATCGTTTATTGACGACAACCTCGGAGCAATCGTCTCAGCATACGGTTAGATTAGGGACCGAGAACACCTGTGGGTAGAGAGAAAAGATCTATACACTAATACAACGGCGAGAAATCGAGTATGGATCCGAACCACGCCGTGTTCGACTTCATTGATATCTTTTTCTCATCAGGATCCGACCCCGGCAGCCCGGTCGTCTCCAATCCCGTCATTACGGCCTTGAAATGTGTAGGCATACATGACCACCGCTGCGGGATCCAACTTCTAAGTACGGGCCATTGCCATAGGAGTGGTGTAATTGTTAATGTACAAGATTGAAAGCCTAGTTAGCGTTCGGCTGGCCCAAGATGTATTCGACTGCCTGGTCAACTGTTTTACTTTAAGTTAGTACCTTATTTGAATTGATACTTTCCGACAGTTTGGAAAGCCCGGGACTGTCTGGTAAAGGACATCGTACCACTGTGAATAGCATCCGCATCTTTGTCCGGAATTTCGATGCTGAATTCCTCTTCTATCGCCATAACAACTTCCACCGTATCTAAGCTGTCCAAACCGAGGTCGTTGGCGAAGTGGGCTTTCTCGTTGATCTAGACAGAATTAGTATACCAACCGAATGTGGCGCATTGCTATCGTTCCAATCTTACGTTTGCCGGGTCGTTGGTCTATTTTAATATAGGGTTAGCATATCTATTTCCTGGACGTAGATATAAATGTACGTATGCAAGGGTCCAACATCATCGCAATATCCTTCCTAGGCGAATGGCATAAATTGCTAGGTTATCCGAAGTCTCTTTTCCCCCGCTCGAACGAAGAATTAAATACTCCGTAGACAAACTCACCTTGTCGAAAGTCTCTAGGATCTTGCAGATGCGAGCTGTAACCTCGTTTCTCGCTAAACCACCACCGGCAGAGTACATCCGTACATTTTGGAAGGCAGCAAGTCTAGGCGCGGGGGCGAAGACAGCTCTGGCGGGGACGATAGTTCTTCGGGCAACAGGTCGAGCAGCGACGGCGGCGGCGCGAGATGCCGTTACGGCGGTGCGGATGAACCCTGCGCGGAACATTGTTGCGATCTGAATAGGACTCAATTGGCGATTGTCTGGAGGCGAGAAACGAAGACGTCGTCGTCGAGATGGTTGATCGGTTGAGCGGTTGAGAATTAGTTTGCGGTGCGGCGAATGAAAGCTTCAGTGCACGGAGGAAGTTTAAAATGATAAATTTCTCGTCATGTCGCTCCGAGCTTGGACCCGCGGACCCGCGGAGCTAGCGGCGATTCGAATATGGTAATTTGTGGCAGATAAGGTAGATGCGGCAGCTGCACGTGATTAGCGATCTCCAATCAGCAGCTGCGTGCCAACTGCCAGCTTTGATTTAATGATTTAATGACCTCAATGACCTAATTTGTGGCTACGATCTATTGTGGCACCTCAAAAATGGGGCTTAAGCAAGGACCAATCACGGTAAGCCTTTTGTAATATCTAGTAGTATCCAGCTCCACCTAAAATCCCGAAACTCCAGCATGACCTCAAGATGCTCTATATTTCGCCTTCGACACACCTTAATCTAGATCATTGACACTCCCTCCTCTCTTCCCGTCGCCCAATTGCGCCGCGCTATGCAAGGGCTCACGACATCGACAACCGCTATGCTGTCTCGTCAGCTCGTGCGACGACAACCAGTCGCGGCCTCTGCCGTGGCCAGAATAGTCGCGCAACGGACATACGCTACGCCAGCCGGTCTCCCGCCTAAGAACTTCCGAATCCCCAACCCGAAACGATGGGACGAAGAAGAAGAGAAGACTTGGGATAAGATTGGATCGTATTTCCTCTTGACAGAAATGTTTAGAGGAATGTACGTCGCGTTGGAGAACTACTTCAGACCACCGTGAGTTCGCTTTCTATTAGGTAGGAACACGAAGAACGACCTCCGTACTGATATGGCGCTACGTTATTAGGTATACAATTTACTATCCTTTTGAGAAGGTTCGTACTATTCGAAGTTCCGTCCTAGCGTTCCGATCGCATGCGCAATGTGTTTTTCTTTTGAAAACAAAAATAAAAATAGCAGTGGTCGTGTAATAATATTCGAAAGACGAAAGAAGACAGCATACGGGTAACGAGTATGAAATGTGGCGACTAATTCACTTATAGGGACCTATCTCTCCCAGATTCCGTGGCGAACATGCCTTGAGACGTTACCCGTCCGGCGAAGAACGATGTATCGCCTGCAAGCTATGCGAAGCAGTATGTCCTATCACGGCTACTCTCTTGCCAGGCGCTTAACTAATACTTGATATAGATCTGCCCAGCACAAGCCATTACCATCGAAGCAGAAGAGCGAGCCGACGGTTCGAGACGAACAACTCGCTACGATATCGACATGACAAAATGCATCTACTGCGGCTTCTGCCAAGAATCATGTCCCGTAGATGCTATCGTAGAATCCCCCAACGCCGAATATTCCACCGAGACGAGGGAGGAGCTGTTATACAATAAGGAGAAGCTTCTTTCAAACGGAGATAAGTGGGAACCAGAGTTGGCGGCCGTCATCAGAGCAGATTCCCCTTACAGATAATCAAAATCGATGGGGGCTTATATATTGGGAGCGTTGTATTGTACGCTGTAAATACTAACTAGAGGACAATGAACATCTTCCATTTGTGGCGTTCAATATATATCCAAACGGTAGCGAGACGATGTAGAACTCTGCTGTTCTACGAACTACTAGGTATATCCGTAGACACTACCTACGTACCTCGTTATCTAGAGCTTCATGTCGTCGCTCTAATTACCGACGAGGCTGGAGCTCAACCTAACGATAGACGATATATTAACTACTTGGTAATAAAATCAACTACTAGCAAGGCTTGATTGTTAATGGGAATCTATAGACTACCTAGTGCCTTACTTAGCTGCTTGGGTAATAACAGCTCAACTCAGAACTAACACTACCAGAATACGCCGATGACTTCCAATCGCCTCCTTACGCCTATTGTCTACTGTATAAGACGAGACTAGATCCTACAATTAGCTCAATCCCCAACGTCGAAAACAGAGCCACACACCTACCTCGATGCAACTTTGTGTAGGCTCGTCTCCCAGATTCCCTAGCCTATAGGCGTACGTGCTCAATTCCGAAGAATTTCGAGGTCACCAGCTTAAAGATAGTCGACACCGTAACCTCCCTTCCTTTCCTATACCCTCATACTTCTTTATCCTTGTACCTTATACCCTTTTACTCTCATGCCTTTTATCCACGCGCTCACGTTCTAGTCGGCGCATCCGTAAGCGGCACATACCTCACCCCATACAATTTCTGCTTCTTCACGACTCCATTCTCATCCTTATCCACCGTCCAAATATACTGGTCCCACCCATCCCCATCTTCGACGGGTATAAACATGCGTCCGGGACTTCTCAACTGTCTCACCAACTCCTCGTGCAGCTCCGCCGCCGCAGCCCCCACATGAATGGCATCCCATCCACCCTCCTCATCCTTATCCTCAGTCTCCACAGCCGGACCCCCCACTCCCGGCTGCGCCGCCGTCGGCCTCGGCTCACTCCACCCCTTCCTCCCATCCCCAAACCTAAACCTCGCGCGTCCGCTCTCAAGCAACGCCCTACCCTCGGGGCTCTTCGCCATATTGCGTTCCCCCATCTCCTTCAACTCCTTTATATGTTCTAACCCAACCACCACCCCCGTCTCCCCCACCAGCTCCGCCAGCACATGCGTCAGATACCCACTCCCACTCCCAATATCCAGAACTCGTCTTGGTCGTCCCTTCTGCCCTTCAACGGAATTCACGCCTTCGGCGCTTTGAGGTCCAGAAGACACCTTGGGGAGCAGGAACGGGAGAAGCGATTCGACAGCGTTGGCATGCATGTGCGGCGCGCTGATGGTGGCCGCGTGGCCGATCGGCTGCGGGGAGTCTTCGTACGGCGACGAGGGGGCGTAGTGCGCGCGGTCGACTTTAAGGAAGGCGGTTTTGACGAGGGGTTGCTTGATCATTTTGTTGCGCCATAGGTTCTCGACTAGCTCCTTGTTGGAGGCGCCGGAGCTGCGCCAGGCCATGGTCGTGAAGTTGGAGGTTAGAGTTGGGATTGGGAGAGTCCGGGTGGAGGTGGTTGGTTGGAGATGAGATAGAAGGGTTAGGAGGCGAAAGGGTGGTTTGGGAGCCAGTCTGTTTTTGGTGGTATTTTGATAATTGTTCGTTGGTGAGACGATCGATAGACAATGGCAAGCTAACAGCTCGACGCAAATAATAGATTCACTAAGAGGTAGGTCACTCGAGGCGAACGTTGTACTAATTTCGATGGCGAGCTCAAGGTTATCCACCTATGTAGTAGGTAGGTTACGAGATGTAACAGCGGGTGGCTATTTGCCCGAATATTCAACCCGATCTATCTTTGTGTAATTGCATTAGACTTGCTTAAACTTACTGTTGATCATGATATGACGTCTAGTTCGTCATACCTTATTCAACCTTACATCTACGCAATGCGGGGTACGAGTTGTGCTTGCCCAGTACCACCAGTGGCGCATATATAGTCCTTATCGATAAATTATATTCTCAGCTTTGGGTAATTGCGAATATCACTAGATATAACAAGAATTCTATACCTAAAATTCTCATATTCATTATAGTTGATAGGAGTCCTTCAAACCATACAGGAGCATACTCCGCAGGTATCCATAGATCTACAATGGCTAGCACTACAGGAATTGCAGACTAGCAAGCCTCGAGACCGAGGTCGGCCTGTCTCGGAACGCAAGGTGCAACTAAACTCATACAGGATTATATTCAAGTCCTCGACTGCATGAAAAATTAAAGGTGACAAATACGAGTACAATAATATCACATTTATCTAGCTCAGTCGCTCGAGATGCCTCGCTTGAATCAATGATCCACGATCCACGAGACCACGAATATCCATATGGATACCCTCTCGCAAATAAATTACCATGCCCTAACACCTAATACACCTTAATTTAAGAGGACCGCCCTTATGCTCCAAATCACTCCTCGATCCAAGTGAAAGTGATATGATAATCGTATGCGTTTTATTGGCTTGACAATAAACCATCGGCTCAATAGACAGGAATTTCAGTGTGACATGGTATTAAACAACCGTCTCCGCTCTTTCGCCCTCCGCGATAATCGGTATACCCAGACCTCTATCTGGGCTCTGGAGGACTAGTTGCTCGTGCTTCCTAGCCTTAATGTAATCGCTAACCGCCCGAATTAAGATGAACCAGCCCACGATCATAAGTAAATACGCCACCCATTCGCTGCTAGCAAGATCGCCCAAGCTTGAACCGTCTCCGTTACTTTGGCTCACGGCATTGGGGTCGAAGTCGTGGCTGTTCGGATCCGGAGGCTGCGCGTATCCATCGGTAGGCGCACCACCCATACCCCCGGAGTTGGCAGACGATCCTTTCATGTAGAAACCGTATTGGATAAGTGTAATACCGAGTCCGGCGCGAGAACCGTTCTTGGCTGCGTGAGTCGAATGTAATAGATACGTAAGCAGGAAGCCCACAAGCTGAAACGACATGCTGATCATGCCGTTCCAGATGAAACTGAATATCGAACCGACGGGCATTCCATCTATGTACACATCATCGGGGCCACCAAGACCGGGTGCTAGAATCGTAGTTTCCCAGTAAGGCGGCGCGGCGTCAGCTGCTGCTTGTTCGTATGTCTGAAATTAGTTAGCAACGACCCATGTTCATAATACGCATTGATAATGAATATAGTCGAAACGTACGGGAGGTGCCTCTTCCACAATCTTCTCTCCCCTCTCCGGTCGGGCCGTCATATTGGAAAAGACTCCATCGGATTGGATTCCACCTCCATATACCCTAGAACCGGCTTGCTGAGAATTGGCGCCGCTCGACGGAAATTGTGGTTGTGCTGGTTGTCCACTAGGAATGGATGACCTCGCATCCCCTCCATTCGAGTTTCGGCTAGTAGAATTGTTGGAAATTGGAAACGAGCTCTGTCGAACTAATCGTTGCCTGTCATCGGGTTCGTCATCACTTTCATCGTCGGTATCGAACGCGTCAGCTAAGGTAGGATCCACGTTTTGCCTTCTCCGCTCGAAGGAGGAACTTCGCGAACGAAACGAGGGCGGGGGAGAGTTGGGTATAGATTGTGGTCGTCGCAATAAAGTGGGTGCACGAGGAGCATCTGGCTCGTCATCCTGGGTATTAACCCGTTCGTAACGTCCAGACATCGTTCAGAGTACGAAATCAAAATGAAACAGATAAAAAGGAGTAATCGGAAGTCGGATGTGATGGGTTTCGGCTCGTGAAGGAAAATATTGTCGTCGCAGGAAGTATTTCGTTCGAAGATAAAAAAGAAGAAAAAATAGGGACAGGAATGAATTTCCTAGTCTATTAAGGAGAGTGGGTATTGAAGAAGAGAGACTAGGGAAGAGATGGCGTGAGGATCGATGGATGGAAAAGTCGATTGATGATGATGATGGTTGTAAAAGGGAGAGACATGCGACACGCAGATGCAGACGCAGACGGGGGGCATAAGGGCGGGATTACTAGGTAGTGTGTAAAGCGTACGGGTGCAGGTGCAAGATGATGCGACTACCAAAAGGATCTTAGCAGGGGCTTGGGTGAATTTACTAGTGGATCTTACGCATAATAGGCACCGGACGCAGGGACGTTTACGGGTTTAGGTACATCGAACACCAAAGAACCAGGAAGGTCCAGCTGACCAACAGCGCTGTAGCGCCTGACAGCCCTGATAGAAATGGTAGAACTATGGAAGGCGCACGAGCCATTTTTTTTTTTTTTTTTTTTTTTTTAATAAACTTCGGACAGCGCAATTCGGCAATTTCAACAAGTCGAATCATTGGAGGCCTAAAATCGGAAGTATCCTATCACCGACGATCTAAGTTTGAGATGTACATTTCGATGTACCTTCCCGTTATCGATTACGATTGACAAGGAGTGAAGTTTGAAATTGATTGGTTCACGTCATCGATACCTAGTCATTAATTTTCTAAGCTCAACATCTTCAAGATGGTGATGCGCCAATGCCAATAGACAACGACAGTGTAACATTTTCGATTGAATTTGGCCGACTGTTAGATTTTCTACTGAACAGGGGATTCATTTAAAGTACTAGATATTGAAGTCTCATACCATTACCACGAATAGTACAACGAATAGTCATGGCCCAGACAAAAGTGGTATGACTAGCCCCCCAAGTTAATCGCCATCGTCAGCATCTACTTACACAACTATAGAGTGCATCACGCCTCATTCTACGGGCGCTTTCTCAGTGGCCCAAAGATACTCTACGACCACAGATCCAACTCCAAGACGTTCTCCGAAAACGATTCGAACAATCCGAACTACCTGACCATGAACAAGTAAAACAAGCCAATGCACTCTACTCGCTCATGCACGACCGATATAAAAACAAGGTACGACTTGATGGTCTAATCCGATAGCTTGATCGTTTTCTAGGTTGCGAATATTAACGATAAACTTAGTACCCCATTAACGGATCTCTATTAAACCCTAAGAGCCACCCAAACTATTTTACCGATCTAGTAAAGGAGCTTGAAGAAGCGCCGAGTCGATCGTACTTCGAAAGACTCTGGTTAAGGTTGAAGGGAGTTGTGAGATTACAATAAAATTGGAAATTTTCTAGACCACCAAATCCACCGGAATCACTAGAAGTGATTCTCCGTACCATGGATCACGAACAATATGCAATCTTAGTTCCTAAGACGGGATGGTGTCATCTGGTATCATTATCGTGATGTTTTTGGCCTCTAGGCTTTTAGACCAATGTGTATATCCGAATCCAACATTAATTGATATCTGGAAACATCGTTCGCCATGGTAGTTACTGTCCGTGCCCATCACAGCCACAAGGCTCTAGTACGAAGGTCAGACTAGGTACTAGGTACATAAACAGTAGCCTCACGATCAAATCTATGGGCGAGAGGCTTTGAATTCCTCTAGCGAAGTTCGAACGTAATCATACAACCCACCCCTATCCGAAGAAGAGGAACGCCATTCCGGTCATATCGCCCCCGATTGCTAGGTACTGGGTATTTGGCAGCCGTCTAATAAACTTTTACCGATATTTATATCTATAAGTATTTGTTTTCCGGATCCAGCGCCCGCATAACTTCCATGCTCTTCTCGTACATGGAAAAGACGATGCCTCCGCTCAAAACCAGTCGCGCTAATCTAGGCAACGCTCCGCTCCAGAAGGTCAAGACACCTTCATGCTTGAATATCAAGGTCGCGCATCGGAAACTATTGCCATAGACTTGTTTTGCCTCGATACTTTGCATCCTCGTCTTGATCGTGTCGAGAGGTTGGGTGACAGCCACGGTAATGGCACCTGCTACACTCCCTATACCGAATGTCGCGACCGTTCCGAGTTTCTCGCCGGGCGCAGTATATGACTCGGCGAGTTGCTTGAGACTTGTGTATGAACCGAATCGCACAGCGCTATTGGCCGATTGTCTAGCGGTCGTAGGCACGAGACCTTGAAAGAACCCGCGGATTCCTCGTTCTCTCGCAATAATCGGGACGGCGTGTAAGAATCCGCGCATTCGAGGCTTGGCCGACTTGCGATCATCGATCAATGTCGTCTTAATAGATTCGGTAGGTGTGACGGCGAGGAGCGACTCCGTGACACCGGCGCCGAAACCGGCGATGACGTTTCTAGGACCGGAAACTTTGCCATTCTCGTCGGCAAGTAGGCGCTTATACTGTTCGAAGGAGACGAATCGAATGGCTGCTTTGGCAGAGTTGCCTATGATCAGGGTGGTGCAGCCGGCGTACCATTGCTTGCCAAAGGGCGGCCACGGGAGTTTCTGGCCATCCGCTAATCTTCTATTAAGCTGTGTTCTTGTCTTAGCAAATTCGGCCGGGTATGTGATTGCGATTTCTATCGCGCCGGCCGTGGCGCCCGCTATTATGGATCGCAGCGGACCGGGTTTCTCATTCGACATTTTGTCGTCGAGATCTGGTGAAGAGTTTAGAAGGTCGTAACTTTTTTTCTTAGAGCTGAGCTTTCCCCAGATTTACCCCCCCTAATCTCGATTGATACATATCAGCGTATATATTTTGATACAGTGATATATGAACTTATATATACTGGAGTCACTATATGCAACTATAACGAAAGTTTCAACTTCACAAAATACGAAGCACGAAGCAGCTCTCAACTCCTTCCCAAATTATCGTGGTTATCTTTAGATCTTTAACACACTCAGAAGCTACATACAGTAACTCGTCAAGCATTTAGGAAGTTTCGGACTACAATATGCTAGAAATTACAGAGTACATAAACTTAGAATGGACTTCTCGGTCCCCTCGACAATTCCCATATCATCAATATTCTAACCATGAGTCGTGAACCATCTGTCAAGGACGGTAAAAAGCCAGCTCAGGAGCCTTGTGACCAATCACCTGAAATCAATGGCCATACAACTCTCCTTCAACATCAGACAGCCATCGCCGCGCTCGCGAGCCTGCCGTTGAAGACCGTCATCTCAGTCTTCCGCCATCAGTGGCATAAGGATAAGGCCCGGCTCACCTTCGCGCATGCCGAGCAGTACATTCATGAGTATGATCTACCCACTCCCAAGACCGAATGGCCGAACTTGAACAAATACCGACCGCGTCATTATGAGGTCCATAGCTTCCAGCTGAGGCAACTAAAGGAAGATCTTGTGTGGCACCGAGAGAAGTTTATCAGGTTATACTTGGATTCCCTCATCGCCTCTACTCGTCTCCCGAAGAAAGATCCCGTCACGCAGTCACAAATCCGCAGTATTCGGAAATCTTTGTATGTCTTCTTCTTTCGACCCCTCTAGTTAGTCTGCTAATATTGTTATTGCATGCCTAGCACTAGCGAACTACGAATCAGCCTTCCGAAAGACCTTGCCAAAGTCTACTACGGCAAGGTCCCCGCTTGCATGGACGCCGCCATCGATCCCGGGGAGTTCAAAGATCTGGTCGATCACTTCGGAGCCGAGAGACACCCCATGATCCTTGCCGTTCCCATGACTTTGCATTTGTGGAGCGTACACCAAGACTACCCAGACCTACTCCCCAAGAATCCGGCGCCGTGGGATTGGACTATGCCTGCAGATGTCATCGAGGCTAACCATTGGAAGACCAAGGAAGATTTGTTTTAAGGGGCATGACTGGTTGTGAGATAGCAACGAGAATCACGGATTGGGATGGCTTTTTCTGGTGTTGAAAGACGCAATTCAGTATGAACAGGAGTGAAGTATATTAGGAAATAGAATTATCGTAAACATCGAGCTTTAACTATTAAAGTGGTCCAAGCTACCTACCTACCTATCACATACCCCTCAAGATACTCCCTGCATCTCCAGCAATACTTTGGCGTCGATGGGCTAGATTCATATCTAAAAACCTCCGGCGCGATGATGAATCCCCTTCATCCGAGTTTAAGGCTGGTGTGACATCCGATAGCTTCAGATTTGACCAGTCGTGAATATTCCCTGTGCTGTCTGTAGGTGACGCCATAAATGGCCTCTGTAGATTAAACAGTCGAGCATCCTCATTCTGCTCAAGGTCTTCGATATTTTCGTCGAACCGTCGTGACTTCATGTGTATAGAACTCCTTCTAGGTGTACTGTTCCAGGTAGGAGATCTAGATATTGTATAAAGGCTATCAGGATGAAGATCGCTGACATGGTTGTTCCTTTCATCCCTGCATTCTTCCACAGGTAGATTTTTAGAGGGCCAGATGTAGCCAGCAGCTTTACTAAAGGCGCTAGAAATCTGGTTGACACGGAAAGCGACGATGATTAGGGGAATGATGACGGCAAATGATATGCCAACTGCGATTTAATCTCCATGTCAGTTATTCTCCCAATCAAATATCGACCGGTTGACTTCCAGAATAAGCAGAACTTACACAGAAGCCCCATGACTTCATCTATAGGCCACGCAATCTGTGATGTCGCATCCCTAGGGAAAACATCGACTTGAATAGCGAACACACTAGACATGAATGACAGGGGGAGCTGGGGTTTTATGAGCATTACACTTCTAACGTAGGTACCTATGTCTTATCTTTCGATTACTCACAAACAAGATAGTAACTATCGTGAAGACCATTGTGATCTACATCATTCCGTTTCTATTAGATACCTTGCGAGACGCCAAGGGATTGGTTTTTTAAATGCTTACCTTGCTTTGACGCTGAGTGTGTTCCGAACCCTCACGAGCGAACCTCGCTTCCCACGCATTTGCCTGTTTCTGCTTGAGACTGAGAAGTCCCTTGAGCTGTACCGTTACTACCTGATCAGCCCATGATATAAAGGCTAAACGCATGTATCAAGGTGAACTCACCTCAATATGAACCTTTTCGGCGTACATTTCCATTTCTTCAACTGCTGCGATATTGGATTCGACTATTCTTAGGTTGTCTTTATAGTCGTCTTTCGTGAGTTGATGAAATCTCACCAGGACCTCATTTTGCTTTTTAAATACATCCTTGATCGACTTGAGCTCGTCTTGAATATCCATGATGGAAGCCATAAGGTGCGATTCTTCGGTTAGTTGGAAGAGGCCATCGGTCTTGATGGCTCTATCGTTTTGGTCCAACTGACTACTATTCTGTAGCTCTTCGACTAGTCTTTTGAACTTTTGGAACTGTGTCGATTGCTTTCTAGCCTTTACCCAATTAATAAATTTTATGACATAAAGAATGAATATCGTGGAACGCTCACAATATCAGCAATACTAGACTGGAAGGATTCTTTGAGTGAAACTCTCATGGGACCATCTCGTCGTATGAAATCCACGCTACATCCCAATATCAAGTTGGCTAAGGATGTGGTGGATTGAACGAGGGGTCGGTTATCTTTTCTTTTTGCCTTCTTTCGTAGAATCTGCTGAAGAAGATTGTACCCTGCTGTCGAGTCCCATGCGTCAGGAAAGCATGTCATCACTGTTGCTTCACCTTCGAGAATCCAAAGCCACAGCTGGTCCACCATGAGCACTGGGCTTTTATTTTTAAGTTCCTCTTTTGAGAAACGTGGTGGACCCTTGCGCAACTGTTCTTTCTGTTTCCACCATTTGGAGATGACCTGGTCGCTGTCCCGTTCCTCGGTGTCTGGTAGCATGGTGTATGTGAATTGATCTAATGTTCTTCGACAATGCAACGATACTTCTTTCTGATCATAATAAGCCTGTACGAGAAGTGGGGTCTCATCCATAGGAGGATTCCCTTCTATAGTCGGATTTTCCATTACCAACTTTAATCTTTTGCGGTATTCATGCTTCTCAAAACCAAGGATTGGCATCTTTATGGCGTAGATGAGTCAAAGTTCGTCTCCGACTGTAGGGGGTACTTACAAACAGAACAAATGCAGTTTCCTCCGTTTTCTTAGCGTTGTTCGTATCCGATATGTTCCTTGATAAAGGGGTAGATGCATCGCGACCTTCATCCTCCTTACTTCTTCCAGCCCTGGCTGGTGGGTTTAAATCTATATTGTTTTGCGCCAATATTGAGCGCCGGTGGGAACCACCTACACTTCTAGCACGCTTTGGCGACATAGAAGTCTACTGAGTTAGTTACCTGGCCAGTAGGCGCTTAAAATTGGGGTTATTACATTTAATGATAGCTGGGTATACTTTTCGGTACCGGCAATCATGTGTCGATCGTATGTCGTCACGCCTACAAGATCAAGGACGTTAGATACCTACTAGGTACCTACGATCGTCGCGAGTTGGTAAGGGGCTCCTACAGACCTTCGTGACGCTTTCCGCTCGTCGACGTGTCCACTATTTCTAACTGGCTAAATAGGTCCTACATACCGATAACATTAGCGTGTTAGGCTTGTTGGCATTCAAGGATTTCCGTAGTGACGAACATAAACCCATCTCTCCTATGCGAGCCCATCAGTCAGTTCAACCGTTAACGCCGAATAGTAGCGGGTAGCGTCAGTATGGTACTTACATTGTTTGCAGGGAGGTGAATCCATCGACATGTCTTCTTTTTCTTTTCCTCGGCGCTGCTAAGTTGCTTGAAGAACTCCCTAATCCTCGGCCGTGTGTTGTAGAGGAGCCAATATACAGGGAGTTGCTGTTTATTGAAGGAGTCTTGTCTGCCATCTTCCGAAACGTAGAATTGGGCAACAGTTGCCTCTGACTTTTTGCAGGCCCTGGTTTGAACATCGTTTGGAGTTCCGGTGACGAGATTTTCGGGCAATGTTTTCGCATCAGGCGTGATTTTATTACCGGTAGTGACAGAATACCGCTTCAATTCCCTTATCCATTGATGTTCGTCCTCGCTAGCATATTCCCATGCCGATTTACCTTTGACATCTTTGACGTTCTTTAGGTCCTTTGTACCTGGAAGATCTTCTAACGTCGCAACCAATTTCGAAATTATCGATTCGAATTCAGCTCGACCATTCTTGTCAGGTTTATCATCCACGGCCTTTCTAATCACGAGGTGAAGGGGGGTTGATCCATCCTCGCTCCTACTTGCTGCTAGGCGGGGAGCTGCAGAGATGAGATGTAACAGTGCTGTACCATAGACGCAAGAAGCCGCCTTGTGGATGAGCTGTGTCCGTTTGTGTTCTTGTAAAGATACATTATAGTTTCTACGTATAAAAACTTCGAGCAAGCTTTCAAGCGTCTGATCACTCAAGGCTTTGATGAAAAGACCTGTCTGAATCTCATCCACAAGCTGACGATAATTAGGGTCCTGCGAGTCAGTGGTTTGGGCAGGTTTCTCTGGTCTGTTCTCGTAGGGTACAAATTTCATGAAATTATCGTGGAATTGCGGACCCTAAATTTTTAATTAGTTGTTGAAAATACATATTTACGGTAATTCAATAAGAATACCTACCTCTTTATTAGAGGCGGATTGGCCGAATCCAACAACAGACACACCCCATTCTTTTGCTAGATTACAGAACGCTCGCCACGACTCAATGTTGTTCGTCCACCCCAGCTCTGTAAAGAGGGTTTTCCAATAGTCGCTGACTTGGATTGTACGAGGGTACCACGTTACCATTGGGTCATTTTCGGACTGACTATTCTGGGGTTCTCCTTTCCCTGGTTCCTGTGGATATGGAACTATAGTTTCCAAGAATACGACTGTGGAAATCATATTGCTTATATTAGAAGCCGATGATTGAATGTGGCCGAAGAGTTGCTCTATAATGGGGTATCCATATCCTGTATCTATCAACACTATGGGAACTTCCTTGAAATGGCCATTTTCCCTCTTTTTCTCCAGTTCCCCTAAGAAGCGCTCGGCTTCAATGTCGGAGTTTTCCGGAAAGAGAACATTGTTGCTTTTTGGGAAAACTGTGATTCGAGCTCCCGAAAGGCTATTATCGCACAACACCTGATTAACGACTGGATTGAGAGGCCGGTTAGTCGTGCTGAAGGCTGTCCCTTGATGGCCTCTATGCTCTCCTCTTTCTGCAGCACTAGTATCCGACTCCTGGATCTGCCGTCTTCTCTTAAGCCTTTGCGGAAGAAGCGGATTTGTTCTTCCTGTCGCCTCGTTGTCGATGCCCACCACCACAATATCGATAATTATATCTAAATCATTGGGTTCATGAGGTTCTGTGGTTATATCTTGCTGTCCACTGTCGTCGGGATCATTCGCGGTCGACCTAGCAGCTAATATATCAGGTGCGTCAGTGTCCCTTTCTGTTATGGCAATCTCGGGCGTCGAACTTGCGCCGAGGTTCTCTGAGACGGGGGTCGCCATCCCTTCAATATTTTCACCGGCGGGGAAATGCTCAGATGATTCCATTTTAAACTATTTCTTGTGATATAGTTGTCTCTTTGGTCTATTAAGCGATACACGGTGGATATAACGCCAATAGGAATACGACGGGAGAAGGAATCTACCTAAGTGGTGAAGAACAAATTCTTTTCGAATTACCTGGTACATATTATATTCTTAGAGCCTCATTTTGTTGATTTCATATGAACCTAGCAGTATCAGCATGGTGGTTTAATTTAATATTGCGACTCAACCGGACTGGGGTCACTAATTAGGTCCCTACTCCGAGATGTCAGCATGGTGTGGTTAACCAATGATGATTTTACTGGATGAATAACGGCATAATCGAAGCCTGTCAGCCGCAACCTTCCATACCGAGGACTTCAGCTCCGACCTTCAGCTTCAAACTCTGCGTGGATCTTCGTTCGGAATTCCTACGAATGGTGATTGTTGTAACTCGAGGCCACCCTTAATAGCATAAAAACGACACTTTCGAATCGGTTGAGATATTTTCGAGATATTTTGAGCACCTATTAAGATCTTCAGTTATCGTAGACAAACTTGCGTATGCGATCTTAACATGATCTAAACCCCAACTCATCCTATTCTCATTATGTACCTACCTAGGTCCTGAGTACCTAGGTAAGCCACAAATCCAAACACGTAAAGCCGCCAACGCCGTACTGGTGTGAACAAGTATGAACCTTCTAAACATTCCTCTCCCTCCCTCTTCGTTCCTCAAAGCGATTCAACAACCCCGAGAACGTCCACCTCTTATCTAGACCTGACCCCGAGATTCCACGCGGCGATCCCGAGCTAGATCCAGGACCGGAACTTGAGAAGAGAGAGGATATAGATCGTGATGTTTTTGATGAAGTTCCTATGACCTCCGTAGGCCGACCTACTGGAAAATTAGCTGATACTCAACGATAAGACACGGTCTGTTAAGTTGGGAGATCGTTTCTCACGTATATTTCCCCTTCCTCCAATCCCATACCCCCGAAGTTGCGTATCCCTTTCTTCGACCTCAGTCTCCTCCTCGCTAACCTCATCTCCCCGACCTCCTATACCATCATCCTCACTCCGCCGTCTCCTTGGCAATGTGCCACCGACGGCCTTATCGAACCCTCTATTAACCGTATCCCGGGGTGAGGGCGATCTTAGGTTTGCAATCGACACGCTGCGTACAGGAGCCAGCCGACCCTGTATTCGCACGCGATGCTGCCTCCGCTTCTCCGGAAGTAGGCGGCTCGTCTCTGGGTCCAGATCGGACATGCCTACTTCAGTACCACTCACATCATCTCTACGGTCGCGATTAGGAAGATACGTGGAGAGGTCGTTGAGTAGCGGGGGGAGTGGGGGCGGCGGCGTGTAGGGGTGTGAACGCATTGTGTCGATAGGTGGGTGGGCGAATGGATGGATGGTGGGTAATAAAGCTTGGAGTCAGCTCTGTCCGGTTCAGTTAGGGGATAATAAAATTTTCCTTAGGGCTAGCCGCTTGACTACTAGCGCCCTGAGCCTCTGAAGGGAGCCGAGGACGTGGCTCAAACCACGCTAAAGATAGCCCTAGAGACGTTCGTCTTTCTTAGCCACCGACGACACAACTCTAATCGGACCACAATTCAATAATGTGAGATATGCAGTAATGGAATATGATGATAAACATACTATTGTTGCTGTTTGTTTCATAAATATATCACACTAAACGTGCAATATGCTCAATGAAGTCTTGGCATAGACGCCCCTGAGATATTGTTATAATCAGTAAGCTTCTTTTTCAATCAAGTTTCTTTCAAAACAACTCCCGTTCGTCTTGCTGCTATTAATCTTTTCAGCCGTTTTGAATAGAGCTATGGTATCCTGCCAGCCCGGTGGGCGCCATATTTGGCAGCATGCTCCTGTATCTAGTACACAACCGACGTGACTACCGATACCTATATCTATAAACTATGGGTAGCATAGGCCTCTCCTCTCAGGCAAGATTCGCAGAACCTCGATAAAACCATCGTCCCAGCAGATATCGCGGTTGGCGTCTACCAGATGGGCTGATTTATGCCGGCACTGGCGATATCCAACATGTCAGCTAACTTAGCCGCTGAAACCTGACCTGGCATTCTTGAGTCATCATCGACAGCATCGATAACATACCTTTTATCGCCGTTCATGACCAATCTCTTGTTCCTACAGTCTTCATAAAACGCAAAAAGCTTTCGTTCCTTTATGATGAAAGGCATGCCCTTTTAGTGGTCACTGCAGCATCGATGACCAGGTACCATTTATATAGGTAGCTCGCAGGCTACACAGGAATGCGACAGTATAAGATACATTCTCACGTTTGGTCGCATGTTTTATATCAAAAACAGCAGAGATTATGCCTTGGACCTCGGGGTTCTTCCTCAATTCTTCATCTAGTAACGGTGTGCGTATTTAGGCTACCTACCTAGGTAAGTATACAGCATTATCCCGAATGCCTTCTGGTGATGATCAAGAGCTACGAAGCATCAGTTGTTCTGGCTATATTCGGTTCTGGTATAGGTGCATACCCGCTACCTTAGTAATTCCCACGAACTCATGCTTCGAAATGGCGTAGGAACCCTCGTCGGCAAGGCTCACAAACGAATTGGTCAATGCGAGGTTAACAATGACTAGTTACACCCAATATCACGAGTACTATAGGTACCTACCTACCTTTTATGCTTGTCCAAAGCTTAAGTGGCTCTTTGCGCATAGCTAATACCGGAGTATTTGCGCAGATCGGATCGCGATGCGCGAACATCGACGTTCATGGTACGGTCGAATTAGCCACATCCGTCTCGGTGATGGGTGCGTCAACATCATTATTGGCCTTAGTAACCTAGGGGGGAATCAGATCAAATATCTACTAAATTGAACTGGGCACAGCGTATATGTAATATGTGCTAGGTACCTACCTCCTACTCCAGCAAAGTTGACGGCGTAATCGATGCCACCAAGTTCTTTAACCACGAAATTTACCATATCTTGGACAGAGACATTGTCCCCCTAGACACCCACCTCGAAAACTGTAGCCTGATAATCTTTGCTGTTAGAATACCTCTTCCTTAAGACTGCCATCTCTTCGTACCTGTATACAAGCAAGATGACATTTGCTTCAACCTCAGCGAGAAAAGGCCGCGTTCCTACTGAGGCCTCAACCTAACTATCATAAGGCATTAGGTAACGATCCTGCAGGATAACTGCGATATATGATACCTTACTCTACGATGATGGTACCTAATGACATTAAGCTGGGTACTATTAATCACCATGGCGGGTTGTTAGTGTCTGGAAGCCCGAGGAGAAACTTGTGTATACGAAATGGGATTCAGAGACGCCGTCAAGGAAAAGCCATTGATGCATTATGCTACCATTACGTATAGTTATGAGAATCATTCTAAATAGCCTCAAAGTATTACATGCATAGGAATGATTTAATTGGAAGCAATGATTCATAACTGATATAATGGTTCTATAATTTAAGCCTTGCAATTCAACTTAGAAATTGTATCACAAGATCTATCACTAGGTATTAAAACTATAATAGGTTCGATTCTGTGATTCAGTTCGATTGTATACCTACTGTATATTGCTTCATCAGTCAACTTCTTGATTGATAGATTCATACCTAGGTACTTGAGTGTTCTTTAACAGCCATACGCCTCCTTATATAACATGACGGTAACCTACCTAGAATACAGTGGTTGACCATAAATAGATTGACACGGAACATTGGGGGCATACCTAGGTAAGTAGGTAGACTTGCATACCTTTCTACTGCATTCTAGCGAGCCAACATTACTTTAGGTGACATTGACTTCCTCGATTGACCGTTCCTACAGCGCCTGACCTAAATTCAATAACTCGACATTCATTCTGGGCTTTTACATGCACGATCATAGTCGATTACGAGACCTAAAGACTACCGGGAAGTCTAGGCACTTCACCACTCTGAACTGTGGACCAAGGAGAGTGAGGAACGAGTTTCGCAAAGGCGCAACCTAATGGGGATGAGGACATGCGCCGTCTTTAGTACTGGGAGCCGACAATCCATCCATCGATCATACTGGAGCGCCTCATTCTCTAACTTCTAGCATACCCAGACAAGCCCTGGAAGTACCCAGGTAGACTGGGGTTCTGAGTAACGAAAGGGGGCGTCGAGTTGATTCTTCCAGCTTCTAAGAACATTCTTGTGTCTCAGAATTGCCAACCCATCCTAGCCGACTGCGGTAGGCTGGCGAAAAGGACATAACCCACCCGTTTGCGAGTAGACTGGATCATTTCCCACGGAATGCGCTCTACTTCCGTCTCAAGGCCAATTTCAATATACGAGCCAACGAAGATGTCTCAAGCCTATCGGAATTGCGATACCTACTAAAGACACAGGTGTTATTGATGAGCGAGTTGTGAAGTTAGTGAGTACCTACCTAGTAGCTATGAAGTTGGATTGGTAGGTAGGAGAGGGTCAAGCTCGTACTCCGCTAGGAAGATTAGGTCGATGGGGAAAGGATGGACACGCGCTGACGGGCTTGATTTTGGGCGTTCGCGGACATGTTCCTAGGACCGGGTCGAGTTGAGCGGAAGTATCCAGTGCATCAGCGTGGCGCGGTATGGTGCATAATCCATTCGATATCGAACGATGAAGGCTGGCACGTGGTAATGTAGACAAGTTGAAAGTTGAATCCACATCAAGATCGGAACTCGGGACGCTTAACGAAGATCTCTCGTGTAGCTGATTACATAGTTGACACGCGAAAGGGCGTATGCACGATAGCACGGTCCATACATTGATCTTGAACCCACAAGTTCCCCGTGGAGTTGAGTTCTAATTGAGATTCTCAAGGATTCAGGAGTTCCTAACACGGCAGCACGGCTACGACACGCACGGAATAGATGGATCTATGAACCACAATCACGAGTCCTCAAGTTCAATGCTCTAGGTCACTTTTAGCCCTATCTCTAGACGCGATCATGGATGGCGTCATTGATAGACGGCACAGGCACAAAGAGCAGTTAAGAAAGTCCGGACTGGAGTTTAGAAGAAGCAAATGCTTATGCCAAAACGCCACCCGCGCCTCTTACGTCTCGACATAGGAATGATCGATTCATTTTTCCACGTCTACTGTTATGTATTACTAGGTACACCTTTCGTGTCTTTGCCAAAGACAGAGTCCTGACGATCCGCGAAGCGTCTATCATATTGCGCCAACATACCCGATAGTACATCCTATGAATCAAAGCCAAGTCTAATGCAATAACCTCATGACATATTGATAGCAGAATCAGAATAGAGTCACTACCTACATATCTACATCAGAACAGCTTATGCCTATAAATATGCTTTCAACGCCTGTTTTCTTTATCTATTAAGATTTAGATGCCTCTGTATACTCCTCCTACGCCGACCTAGGTAAGGAATTGGATAGAGCTGTCACAGAGGTGATCTAGGCGAGTGTTCACCTAGGTACGTAGGTCCTACTACCGGTACCTACCTCCTTTCCTTACCCAGGACCTAAGCAAACATCAAATTGATAGCATTTTACACATTGGCATACGCCGGATCCCCTGAATTAGATCACAATTACATCTTCATGACGATATCAAACTCAAGGCATGAAAGAGAGGGCTACTTCGTGATACAGAGCCCCTGATTCTGGCGAATCGATTTCCTAAAATGGCCAATCTAACGCCGATAAACCCGAAATCTGGAAATGTCGGAATTATTACGATAGAATGCATTTAATAGGGGCTGTCGCACATCGCGCATGCATAGGGAATACACGCAAGTACATACATATACATATTATTACTTACATGAAGTAGAGAGATGTTCGATAGCTGACTGGCCAGTGGTTGTGTGAGGAAATAAGCAGACAGGCAGATAAGCAGTAAGCCCCGGGTTTTCGTATTTTCGTGTTGACAGCAGTTCGGAAATGAACGGCACCTGGCAAAAATCCCCGATAGGTGTGAGCGGAGTGGCAGAAGATGGCGAAATTAAGGAGAGGCTGGCGATTGTGATTGTGACGAGTAGGTACCTAGCAGCACAGCAGCTGAAAAAGCCACCGGTCGGGATGATGATTACACAATCACATTACATCGAGGTGCAAATGATATTGTATGGGGGGAAAGAAAACGCGAAAATAATTGCGAAATGTTGCAAAATACTATGCAATAAATTTGTAGGCTAGTAGTTCGGAAGAAAGATAGGAGAAATTTGAATCTCGATTCTAGACTGCCGACTAGGTAGAAACTACGAAAATGCATGAGATCAAATCTGACCTGTCACGTTGACCAGCGTTTGGTATTGTCTTGACTGCATCAATTCTATGTAGGTATAATTAAGATTACGGCTCACCGAGGGAAAAGGGGGTCAGCAATTATTGAATCATTAATTGTTAGTCAGATATGGATATGGATGATATGGACACGGACACGGAAAGGGAATAGAAAAAATGAAACTATTTCCAACGTCGCTGTTGGTTTCTTTCTGCGAACAAATATTATGTAAGATCCATCTTTATGTGCATCATGTGGTCATATGGTAAATATGAGTTGGAACGCAGTTTCATAACTCGTACGTCAGATTTGAGGCTCTTTCGTCTAATGTCCTATCAAGATCGACGAGATTGGACCGTAGTAAATAGAACCATGGCTTATCTACGAAGGGTTCACGTGTGGAGCCGTAGATCTATTCTCTCGTGGGCATCGTGGCAGCTGCGTGGCTGCGAGGGTGTGGAGGGTACTGAAATAGGCAACTTGGCCTAATCTGTTAGTCTGCTAGTCTGAGATTGTCTGACTGAGACAACATAAGGCGAATTGATTCAATATTGTGCGGCACAGCTGTCCAAATTCTGCTATGCTCTGCTCCGCCATTCCGCGTTGTTGGTTTGGCAGTTATTGATTTCCAAGGTTCTCCACGATGTCCGGTAGCCTATGGACTGGGTAGTAGCGACGATAACCAACGACAGCTCGAATCGAATCCGTGGAGCCAACGTTTTCTGAGGTCTTTAATGGTCCAACCCACCATTGTTAGATTGATTGAATTTGACTCGTCCATAGGGCTTAACTTGGAAATAGTCCCAACTACTAAGCAGCTAAGGGACTAAGGGACTGAGGGACTAAGACGGCCACAGCCTATGATGTGGGTAAGGAAGTTAGGAGGTTAGGACGCTCCCGCTCACTTGGTCGGTTGCTTCGGTTTTTAGGTCTAAATTAACAACCTCAAGATGATGTTAGCGACGTTGACTAAAATCAAGAGAATTAATTAGACGGGAGAGCCGGAAGTTCATATGACAATAGAATTTACTCATCTAAGCGCGCTTGACGCCGATTGAGGTGTTTTTAACAATGCTTGACCATGTCTACGATGTAGACCAACTTCAATAGATTAGCTGGCTAATGCAGACTTGCTATGCGCGAGCAGCGTCAAGGCAAGATAGATACTAGGTAGTCTTTAACCTCATGCACTGCTTGGTTTAACAGACTGGCTACCTGGCATCTATGCTCCCCACCAGCGAAAAGAATCTGCTGGAGACGAGGAGACGAGGAGACAAGGAGATGAGTCGGGAGGCGATGTCGGTGGTGTCAATAGACATCATGGATGTTTAGACATTGAACAGTGGACATTGGCAGATGCGATCAAATTGCCAATTGCGTCCATTAGACTGTATTGCGTCAGCCGAAACCGAGGCTCCAATACAATTCATTCGCATGTGGCAAATATTCTGTAATATCGGCGTTCATGCTTCAATTGGTCGCATCACGTAGGTATCGGGTTTCAAGTGTGCCAATTGATATATGTCGTCGTCGATCGTTTCGTGAAACATCGAATCTGAAATCCATGTGATGACTTCATCTTCAATACTCCCTCAATCGGGAATTTGTCCTAATTGTTCGTTAGCTAATGCACGTCGACTACCTAGGTAGGTTGGGTTTTATTATTGTTTACCTTGGATGAATTATTGCTGGTTTCAATAGTTTACCTAGTACTAATGTATGATGCGTTTTCAGACTTGTCGACCTACCTAAGTAGGTTCTTCTCATCCCGTCGCTTGGGAGGTTTTCCATATGGCTACTAGGTACAGTAGCTTGTAGCTACGTGTCATGCTCATGCCGTTAGTTACTATGTACGAGGTCACAAAGTCACAAGCACAAGGTTGAACTTCATTCGAGAAGGCACTGGTCGGAGAAAAAGCTTCCATAGAGAAAAGACCGTACATGATCCCAAATCCCAATACCGGCATTCTGGAAAGGTGTGGTAGCATCACATACAACATCGTACCCAGCAGTGCTAAGTTAGCTAACACTCAGCTCATACGCAACACCGTATTCGGCCGAACCCCCTTGAGATTCAATCTATCTGTAACCTTGCAAGACTCAAGTTGAAGGGTGGTACATAGTAAAGACCAAGAGCAAAATCGAGATTCAATCCATGATGATAACGCGCAATTCGTAAAGAGCCCTGCGAACATGGATTCTTTCATAGTAGACGATCAATAGGATCTAGAATGTCAAAATTTTTCTGCTGGAAGACCCTGAAAAAACCCTAGAAGACCCAAAGAAAAGCCAGAGAAACCCTGGAGATCCCTTCTCCCCTTGTGAAACTTGTCAAAACTCACCCTTACTTTCATCTCCCCGGTCGTGTCAAGCTGGTAAACATGCCAACCTCGGGCTCGTGCTTCTCGTGTAAACGTAATCCGGGTAATTAGAGTAGGGGAGAAAAAAGTCGAAAACAGAAAAACAAAGGGGCGCAGCGACTCGGCAAACTCCATCACCACGATGCGGTGTGGAGTTGATACCATAATTCACCCCCCGGCTCCGCGCCCCTGTCTCCCCGGGGAGGCCCCGCAGGATGGCAGCATAGTCGGAAGCTGGCGGAAGTACATGGCAGCATAAGCAGCATGGCTGCATGGGTAACTTGAAAAAAAACAAAAACACATTCATTCGTTCAATGATCTTCATTAACTATGCTATGTTTAATAACCTTGGAAATCCGCCATGCCGTCGTGAGACAACGGCGTTTCGACGGCGCTGCCGCGTAACGATTCTTCATCCGCGCCATTGGCCTTTTTCCCATCACCGAATTAGTTTAATTAATAACGATCCCGTTAGCCCCCGTGTTTTAGGGTGTTTAGTGCGTTTAGTCTAGCACTATCTGTTTTATCTAGCTGCATGGAGAATTATGAGAATTGAGTGGCCTGCCGAATGTGGGATAGACGGAGGGTTGGCTGCATGACGGGCTTGTCACCCGCATACGATTTTGGCAAGGAATACCCAGCTCACTAAATAATTCGCCGGAGAAGGCGGCGTTCGTCTCGTCGTTCGACTAACAGGCGGGACGGTTCGTTTGCTGATCTGGATTCTTTGGGATTTCGGGGATTCTTGGGACACAGACTAATAGATTACCAGCTAGTGGACGACTGTAGCAACGCTGTAATAGACTAGCAACGAACTGCCGCAAAAGAACCCTCGCAGAAAGATCCACGCCGTCGGTAGCCCATATGCAGACATGACAAGACTTGTTTAGTACGTTTATCTAGTATGGTCGACATGGTTTGACATGGTGAAAATGGCTAATATAGCCAATATGGTCAACATAGCAGCATGGTTCGAGTAATAGCATGATTTTGAGGCGAGCAGGGCGAGAAACTTGAATGGTATAGGAGAATGCGCAGGAATAGCCTGAGAAACACTAGAAGCACTAGATAGAAGCACTAGGCAGGGTAGAGTAAATATTTTCCACCAAGCTCTGCAGAGTCTGCACGCTGTACCCCTATCGTGATAGTAGATGCTGAATGTATGCAGGATGTAAGCAGGTATGTAGGCAAGTATGATACTTGCCAGATCCTAGGTACTGGGTGCGAGGAACTAGGTGGTTGAGCAACTTAACTGTTTGACGTTTCAACTGGCTTTGGTTTATTGCTGCAGTTGGTAAACGACGAGCACGTGTTTTGCTTACAGTGCGTATTCGACCAACCCCCTTTTTCTCATCTCCCTCGCTTCAACCCGCATACACTGTACGAGTACTTATTCATGCACGTGTGTGAATCCTCATGTATGTGTTATGTATGAGATTATGCCGAATACCACTATGTACATGTATGTAGTATATACTGCATTTGGCACCGAGGAGATAGTACCCAGGTATTATGCTATCCATGGATGCATGCCCGGGTCCGTGCCTCATTATGTCTAGGACAGATTAGACAGATTATGGGTATCTCTTCTGGCTTCTACTCAAGAAAAAGGCAGGTCGTAGAAATGACGGTACATGTAGAACTTTTTAAACAGAGAAAAGAGACCACGCTGACGCTCCAGCTCAACCGTGCAACCGAACATAGAAAAGCAAAAAAAGTGGCAGTTTTAGCACAATCGTCGCGAAATGAACTCCCAGCCTCGCCGTCCCAAAAATAGATGTACAAGCCTTTTGTAGAACCCATTCGCGCATGCGCGCCCGTACAAAACAAAGATCTAGGTAGGAAAAATTCTAGAATTCTAGTTCAGTTTCGGTTCTTCCGACGGTAGGGTTTTTAAGCTGTCATCCAAAGACTCTAGCTTCTTCATGTCTCCGTACTTGCTCGCCCACTCGTTGTTCACGTTGCGGTAATCTTCGGGTCCGTAAGAGTCGTACAGCTCACCAAAGAATCCCTTCTTGCGGTAGATGTTCAGACCCAAGTCGCGCTGCAAAAGGTCAAGATATGGCACGGCATCGAAGATGAAGTTAGGGTTCTTGGAACCCCAATCGGTCGGGTAACGCCACTTTCCGAAGCGGTTATATAACACGGTCTCGTAACGCAATTGTGCCATCGCCTTCTCGTCACCCAAAGATGCTGATGGATCTATTTCCAGCTTACCAGAGAAGTATGCGCTGATCCAGAGACCTTGGAGATGCGCGGTGATCATGTTACTGAAGTTAGACACGAGACCGATGAATGCAGTATCACGGGCGCGAAGGAAGCGTTCAGACGGTGGGACGAGGAAGTGGTGAAGCATGTACGGGGTGAGTGGCTTATATGGAGTCACTTCATCTGTGCTCGTAATACCCTTCTGCTGTGTCATGGGAATATAATTCTTGTTCCATACTGGCTGATCCTTCAAACGAGGGAATTTCTCAAGAATTTCTTTATCGGCACGTTCGATTAATGCTTGGTCATTTGCGAGATCAGTCGTCGGTGCATCTGTGCTCGGGGTGTGGGGGATGCCCAATTCGGCCTCGATTCCTTCGGGCAAGAATTTAATGGTCGGGACGTGCTTCCAGCCAGTGTGGGCGAGCAGGGCCTCGGACTCAAATTCGGTACCGTCGGAAAGGTGGACCTTGCCTGGGCTTAGATGGTCGATCTCGCTAACATAGACATTAACAAGATCACTCTTGACGATATCCATGAAATTGGTCTCGTAGTTCAGAATGCTGAAACTAGACCCCGTAAACATGGCGTCGGTCCAGGGCTTCAGCTTAGCCGTTTTGGGATGAGAGTCGAAGGCCATGAGATTGATAACATCTCCGCCAAGAACTTTCCAAAAAGAGTTGACGATCGTCCTTCCGACTGCTGTGCCGTGGTAAAAACCGCGGATACCTCCATAACCGTCAACGTCGCCCCAAACACAAGGGCTAAACCAAGTCAAGAATCGGATATCTATTTATGTCTGTTAGTATTGATTTATTGGAGAGTGTTAAGAGTGTTTGGCGACGGGTTGAGACAACTTACTAGCCAGCTTCTCAATCCACTTCTTTAGCGGCGTTACGTATGATGGCGCAATCCAGCACGGGCCGTGACCGGTGGCTGTCAGTTTTGGTTAGCTAAAGTCGTCATTGGCTAAGACAAGAAAAGCAAAAAGAATGGAAAAGCAAAAGCAAGAGCCAAAAAGGTAAAACGTACATCGAATAACCCAGTCGACTTGGACGCCCGCAGTCGCATATGCGTAGACGGCATCCCACGCGAACTTGGTGCCTCCAAAGACCGTCACTCTCTTTGCCGTCTTTAGCGTATCGGCGTTCTCTTGGAAATGCTTTCCGTGAAATATTCTGCCGCCGTATTCTTCTTGCCCTTCGAAATGGGGTAAGAACGGCTCTGATGTCAGACCTGTGGCGAACACGACACGGCGCGCGAACACCTTAGTCTCCTTCTGGTTCGGGGATGCGATCGTCAAGATCCAACCACCCTCTACGGTATCTTGGTGTTCCGCGACGACCACTTTGGTGCTGAGGCGGACTAAGTCGGCGATTCCAAACCTCGTCGCGTATGCCTTGAGGTAGCTGTTGATAACCTTACCGGGCATGTGTTCGCCGGGTTTGACGCCGAATGTCGCCGTGTCCATAGGGAAGTCGGGATATTCGAACGTTCCTAGAAGGTTATTGCTCTTCAGGCCAGGATATAGACGATGGTCGGCCCACGTGCCGCCTAAGCTGGACTGGGAGTCGAACACGGCTAAGGAACATTCTGGTTGAGTGCAGTGAAACTGCTTCGCGGCGGCCAATCCATACCAGCCTACGATGGCGGGACGAGTCAACTAACGGTGCTTTTACCATCGCGAGGGATATACGGGTAGGTAGGTAGCTAGAGAGGTAGATAGATGGGAGGTAGATGGGAAGGTAGGTAGATGGGAAGGTAGGAAGATGGGAAGATAGGGGAGTTAGAGATGTACATCATGTACGTATAATGCGTATGATGGTTGATGAGAGTAGACGAAGACAGATGAAGTGATATAACAAAGAAAAGACGAGGTGGCTTACCAGCTCCTACGACGGCGCAGTCTAGCTTTTCCATCGTGATATTTTCGTTCTCGTTCATGTTGATAAATTCGTTCTTCTCGGTTCGTGTTGGTGTTGTATTAGCCATGACGATATGTGTTGCTAAGACTCGCTGGGTGTTTGTCCGACGTCCCTGCCGCTATGCAACTAGATATTGCTTCGCTCTTGGTCTAGAAAAGAACCGGGAAAGCGGGATAAAAGACACGCGCAGGATAAAGTTGGAAGTACGAAACGCCCAGAGAATGGTAGGCACATTAGAAGCACATTGGAAGCACATTAGAAGAGGCTTATCAGAGACATATTAAACGACTAGACCGAACCCCCTTCCCTCCCCCTTCCCTCGCCCCCCCTAGGCCGAGACCTCTCGCCATAGTGAGCAGGAAACGGCCTCGCTTGTATCATCCCCATCCCGACGGCCCGCCTTAATCTTAGTCGTCGTGTAGTCGTACGGTGCGAGGCAAGGGGGGCACGGGGCCGGTCCTCTGGCGACGTTGGGGGCAACATGCTATGCGCAGCATGTAGCGTACTATGTAGGGGACCGCGAAGGATGCGTACATATTACTTAGGTATGTAGGTACTGTTAGTAGGGTAATAGCGTACATATCGTACATAGCTAGGTAGGTAGTGTACAGAAGCAGGCTACGGATTTCGAATGGATCGAGGTATGGATCGAGGTATGGATCGAAGTATGGATCAAGGTATGGAAAGGTATGGATCGAAGTATGGATGAGGTATGGATGAGTGCGCATAGTACGGGTGCGTATTATGAGATTCTTCTCTAAACGGAAACTCTCCACAATCTTGGCAGTAGCTGCTAAATGCTAATCTACCTAGCACCTACCCACCAATGCCAAACCGGTATCACAACCGAGAAGATCATGCCGATCACTTTCCTTATTGGTCCTTGGCCTAGTCTCATCCGTCCCGCTGTCGCAATACATAAGAACCACCATTCCCTCCTTTTCGTCTCTCAAGCCCCCAAGACCCCCCCCACCGCTGCTCTAAGCCTGGACAGTCCTGGACCGTCCTGGACATTAGCTGACATTTTATAACCTGCTAAATCTAAAATGTTCCCCAGTTTACTGTTATGATATGCACGAAATCCAAGATACTTAATAGAACTCCAACTATTATAGCGTCCCCATCGGCACAGGCCGCACCCGTCTTACGACAGAGAGGAGACGTTGACAGAGCAATGACCAATATTCGACCAGTGGTTGTGTTGCGCCATTGACGGGAGCAGCGCAGAGTCCAGGTAATTCTTAGGGTAATCCAGGTTTATGTAGGGTTATCCGGGTCAGGTCATCCAGGTCATGCTCCAGACTTTCCAGGTAATGTTGGTGCTAGTAGTTAGCAGCTAGCAGCTAGCAGCTAGGTCGATATGTCATCAACGTTGGTGCGCGACCGTTGAAGTTGGTGAGAATCTATTGGAATACTTCGATTCGCTTACATCTACAGCTTACTTCTCGCTTGTGCCAACTCGCATATATCTAAATACCTACTCGCATATGTACTCGCATATATGTAATGCATCATATAGCACACACCATCTCGTTTTTCGTTTAATCGTAGATTCTTAGATTGTTCCAACATCCATGCATAGAAAAAATCTCGGAGGTAATAGGGTATCATGCATAACAGCTTCAGATAAAGGACATGTCCGAGCTACATACATCGTAATAAGCTACATGATACAGGAGAGCAGGAGAGTACTAGGTAGGAGAACAGGAGAGCAACCTGGATGTACGCATAGTACATGAATACCTAGTAATACGCATAGTACATCCCTATACTTCGCACAATACAATTTACATGCCATGGCCATGCCATGCTATATGCTTTATCATAATATGCAGCTAGTAACACCGAATTGGAAAGGAATTCCGGGGAGAAATTCCGACCTACCTGAGGCTCCTCTTCGCTCGTCTCTAGTTTCAATAATCGTATCTTACCCATCTTACCCTCTTACCCTCTTACCCAATACACATCCACCCATCTTAAAATCCCCTGAGCATTCAATTCCTTCGTCTGTCGATATCTACCTAGGTACCATATTAATTATTGAGGGAACTTTTTTTAATCATTTTATCTTACCTGTCCGAGCTTTACCCATCTGAACCAGGTTCCATGATCCATCCCCTTACCAACTGAGGCACAAAGCCTTACGAACGAGGGACCCATCCTCGCCCAGCCCGCGAAGCGTCCAGAGCTTTTTTTTCGCCGGGGGCTGAAGCGTGGCGGTCCCGCAAAACTTGCAGAGGCTAACTTACCGGCCCCTGAGGGAATGTAACAGTCACTTTTAGCCGCGCATGCTCTCATGCATACAATCGGGGACGATTTTCGTCTCATAGGACACGGCACATTAGAAACGAACAAAACAATTCACTTTATGAGCTCTAGGGCTTATGTGACGGGGTATTATGTACGAGAAAAAACTAGGGGTAGCAGGTACATACCTAGGTACGCGTACTATGTAGTAACTCGAGTTTGTAACTTGAGTTTGTAACTTGGGTTGTAATATTGGACGTGTAGCTCTCTCTCTCTCCCTCTGTGTGTGTGTGTGTGTGTGTGTTGACCAAGATTTGAATAAGGAGATGATGATGTTGCTGATGCTGCTGATGTCGATGCCGATATCACATACTTATCTGCCCGTTCCTGCATTACTAGGCAGTTAATACCCGCGTGTGATCATGCGGTCGGTTGTCGAATAAGTGACTCGGCGCCGTCACACGAACGATATTCGCCCTCGAGCTCCAGATACAGCTCGAAGCCACGTCGATCTCTCCCTCAGGTACCCATCGGCTATCCACTCTGATAATGATTCGAGATTAGCCCGCCCCTGGTCGATACAGCCAAATTGTGGTTCAGGCTCATAAAGAATCCATGCTGATACCCCGATCTCTCTATCGTCAATCGACCAGTCATAAACCCTTTCACAAGGAGGACCCGATTCTAAGTTCCCAAACAGTGAATAATTATATGTAAACCGTTATACTATATACGAATCGACAACCAGGGGAACTGCTGAGCCGGAGGATAGTAAATACTCTAAGTCATCCGTCGCATCCGTTCGCCTTCGTCGTCTTCGCTAGTCAACTTAGTCAACTTAGTCAAGTCCTTTTCGCTAGTTGTTAGTTGTTGGTCTCTCTTTAGTCCTTTAGTCCCTCCTTCCATTCGCTCCATTCGCTCCATTCTCTCAACGGTCTCCTCGACGGTTCGGTCTCAGCCTGCCGCTTTCTTCGCCATGTCTTCGGCCGCAACAAGCGCCGACCCAGCGGCGGCAGCAGCTGCTGCTGCCGCAGCCCAAGCCGCCATGCTTCAGTTTACCATAGAGGCCTTCACGCTGCTCTCCGTTGGCCTCTTTATTACCATGCTTCGGACGTTCGCTCGTATAAAGGCCGTAGGAATTAAAGGTTTACAGGCCGACGATTATCTAGTCTGGGTCGGAGCGGTTAGTCTTAAGCTCGTGTCCGGTGAGATGGGAAGCCGTTCGTGGGATTAATGTATGTTTGCATAGATATTTTACGCCATCGAGACCAGTCTTGCGTATTCCGTCGGACATGTCGCTCAAGGTTTGGCCAACAACGGTATGACGGATGCTCAACGAGCCGCATTATCGCCCGACAGCGCTGAATTCGCCACGAGGTATGTCACATTGGATTGTCACTTGGTTTGCGCCGCTCTGGATTATGTCGTTTTTAAATGTCGATGGTTTAAGCCACTCTGGACGGTCCAGTGGTAACGGGTGGTGAAGTGGAATCAGAGCGAGTGAGAGGAAGTGACAGTGAGAGCGTGATGAGGGTGAGGAGATGAATGACATTTGCTAACTGGTGTCTCCAGAGTTGTCGGTTCGAAGATCCAACTTGCCGGATGGTCGTCATACTCCGTCCTTCTCTGGTCACTTAAGGCATCTCTTTTAGTATTTTATATGCGATTAACTGTAAGAACTTCATAACTCGACGAATCGATCTATATGGTTTATTCGGTGGTCTATTCTGAGGACTTATTACTAACTACATGTACAGGCGGGTCTCAAAAAAACTTACCTGATCCGCATTTACATCGGTTTCGGTCTTTTGGGAGCTAGTTTCGTCACCATCTTGATGAACCTCTTCCTCGCTTGCCGTCCCTTCCATCTCTACTGGCAGATTAACCCCGACCCAGGCAGTATGTATTTCTCGCTCATCGGCCTTTTCAGTTCCGTTTTCACCCTCTCTCTCACCCTCTCTCACCCTCATTCCTCAACATCGACGGAAGGATGCTAACAATCATCAAGACACATGCCAACCGGCCGTCTCAAACCAGATCATCTGGGTCTACCTCTCGATGAACGTAATCACTGACCTGTATCTCATCTCGATTCCCGTCCCCATGCTTTGGCAATCGAGTTTGAGACCCGTGAAGAAGTTCGGCTTGATCCTTCTATTTAGCGGAGGATTATTCGTCGTCGCATGTGCCATTCTCCGATGCGCACTCATCGTAACCGTAAGCTCACCCTCTACCTCCCTATATCTGGCGTAATTCGGTCGACAAGTACACAGAAACTCATATATCATAGGACCCGGTTAACGGAGCGCAACTGGCTGGATCGTGGGCTGTTCGAGAAACATTCGTCGCCGTCATTACGACTAACCTTCCCATGGTCTTCCCTCTTATCAAGAATTGGCTTACTCCCGTCCTGGGGTCTCTTCTCACCACCATGCGTTCGCAGCAGAAGCTCACCGACAAGGAGTCCAGGAGCGACTTGCGCACATTCGGCGGTGGCAGTCACAACACCTGGAAACGTCGCGGCGGACCTCCTACGGCGAACCCTATCACCAATATCACCTTCAACGAGAGCGAGGAGCGGATGGTCGATGACGTCAAGCTACAGGATCTGAAGGGATGGACCGACTCCAGCACCACGGGTAGCGCCCCGGCCCCTAACAACAACATACGGAAACACGTCGAGGTCGCCGTCGTTAGCGAAGCGCGTGACGAGAGGGACCTACCGGATCACCGCGGCCACGTCGTCGGCGACGAGGAAAACCAACACCACGGCAACTTCTCTTTCGCTAGAGGACCGCGAAGGTCAAGCTACACCGGCCAAGGTCGCATGTAACAACATTGCCGTATGTAAAAACATTTTAAAAGGTTATAGTTAATGAACTTTTTTCTTAAAAAGTAATATACCCGCCAACTTCCTCTTCGCCGGCGCAAAACGGGACAGCGCAGAAAAAAAATCGGTGGCGCTAAACGTGTAGGAGATATATATAAAAAGCGGTAAAGGAAACTGGAACTATTTCGGCTCTTTCAGCGGTGTCTTCCATCGTTTCCAATTGTATATAGGAGCTCGGGAGTAACTTATACGGGAGTCCCCAATCCTCAGCCGGTTCAACAGGGACGATTTGTTTATTCTTGCGTTCACAAACTCTGGCTGGTAAAGAGAGCAAAAAAGGCGCTCCGACGAGCAGAAGACCTAAGGTTTCATATTTTCGTCTTACTGTAGGTATTTTGGCAAGTCGTCTGTTATGATAGTGTGTGTATTTACAAAGAGTCGGACATCAGGTAAAAACCGATGGAATTTAAAGTGTTATATATTTCAATCATCTATGGGGGAAATGACCCGGTGCCGTGGTGCTGGGAAGGGATTCTTGAACGTTGGTTCTGATTTGTTACACCGACATATTTGAGCCATTCCTAATTTCTGTCTCATGTGGTGTCAAGGGTGTCAAGGGTTCGGATCATCTCTGGCTTACTTCTGGCCACCTCTAGCCCATCTCCGAACCAGCGTTGAACCACTTCACAACCAGCTTTGAACGGCCTCGGTATCACCTACCTATCCATGGCCGACTTGATGATTGACTTCAGCTCATCCCTTCCCAAGTCCTTAATACCCAGCAGTTCGTTGTCGCGCACGGGAAAATACCCGCCCCAACCTTTACCGATGAAAGCTCGGTTAATGAACATGGCGATCACTTCCTCGCTATGGTCACCTGCCGCCCAACGCCTGAAAGCCTCACTCTCCAAATTTTCCGTCTCCGAATACGTAAGGTCCCAACCGTCGGTGGCGCCCAGCTCCTTGGCTATTGCGATCAATTCGTTCTGGGTTGTGTTGACGCTCGATATTCTCACTGGACGATTAGCCGTTTCTTCTAGGTGGGTCAGGATGCCGATCACGGCCTGAGCGATGTCATCGTAGGTTGTAGCACAGAAGAGCACATCTCCGCCATCTTTGATATCCGCCTTGCGATTCTTCACGTCCACGATAAAGTCCAGGGTCCAGTCTGGGCCGAGGAAAGAGGCGTTGTGAATCGTAGTCCAAGAGAACGAGGGGTTCTCGGTGACCCTCTTCTCGCACTGCTGCCTGATGGCAATCTTAGGCTGATAGATGGGGAAAGCGGCTAGCTTGGGGTTCATGAGGTCATTCCCATACTCCGAAGGAATCATCCTCTTGACGCCGGCATTAACCGCGGCATCGACGAGATTCTTCTGCTCGTGAATGGCCTCGAACGCCATCGCCGAGACTAGCGCATCCTGCCCTTGGAGAGCGGATTGTAGAGACTCAATAGAATCGTAATCTACCTGCTTGATTGTGACGTCTGCGGGGAAATCACGGCCTCGACTATCGTCACGCGTGAGAACAGTCACGTTGAAGAGTTTCGAAGTCGAAAGTCGCTCAACGATTGGGCGGCCGATCTTGCCAGTCGCCTAATCAAAAGAGTCAGCGCCTCAGCTGCCAAATGGACAAATGGATATGGGTGGAGCTATTTTTTCACGGACCCCTACTACGGCTACGTTCTTGATTGTAGTCATCGCGACGGAGAAAAAAAATTTTGAAAAAAAAAGTAAAGAGTAGAAACAAGAACTAGATAGCTCTGGTTTGGGTACACAGGGTACCTAGGTATGGTACTGCGGTTGGGCTGGGATCGCTGGGATCGCACGGGCGGAGATTACAAGGGAAATTTCCATTCAGCCCGAAAGGTTGCGAGAAAAGGTGCGAAGTGGGAGATTTGAATATTTTTTTGACCCGAACATTACCTACCTGGGTAGCTGGGTAGATATACTATTACACAACACATGTACGTAGGGTATTTGGGCATGTATGTAGGTATGTATGTATGTATGTATGTACGATGTATGTCACAGCCACGTTTACGCACACGCTCCCCCTACTATATACGGATACCTACCTACATAATAGATTCTGCCGGATGGGGGGCGGACTGGGCGAACTAGGCGGAGAAGGAAACTTCAAGGAAGGACGCTGTCAGCCAGCCTTTCGGGAGAGATAGTGGCGTCCTAATAGACCCGACAACCATCACACTGGAATACGTCTATCATAAATGGGAGGCATGATTGGACGTTCCTATGCCCACTCGCGATGCTGTTGGTCACAAATCCACACCGACGGAATCGTCTCTCTTCCCATGGCCTTGGATCAGGTCCTTGAGCAGGGTCGCTTCCTCGGTCGGTCCACTCCCGCCTTGCTTCTGCTGTTCTAAATTCTACAAAAAAGACCGTGCTCGAGCCTAGAAGCCTTCCTAATGAGGCGACGCTCTCGTAACGATGCCAGGCGGTCCAGCGCAGCAATCCTACCCCCCTGCGGCTGCCTGCAAGTCTCCTATCGCCGTAACATGGTAACATGCGATGGTCTTTGCCGAGAGGGTGATCATAGGCGAGGTTGCTAGGTATATAGGAAGGTAGGTACGTATGTATGTAGGTGCTAGATGCTAGATGCTACTAGGTAGGTATATGACTGGCGGAATAGTAATGCGAGATGCATACTAGGTAGACGTCTCGAAACAAAGGCGGCGGTCGTAGCAACCAGTAGTAGCCAGCAGTAGTAGCCAAAAGTAGTAGCAATGGCGGCATCACCATCATACTACGAATGTACTGGTGTGCTGTAGCGCACAGCTTACATGTAGAGTAGTGTGCTAGTGTGCTAGCCTGCCAGCGTCCCTCGTCCCTCATCCCCCCCGTAGTAGTCGTAACCTAGTGTCGTAGCAGGAAATCCGGCAGTCCCATGCCGCCCCTGGAACGATCCTATAGGATATTAAGCTAAGTATGGAGAAAGCTGCAGGTTCAGCCGAAGACCCTGTCAGATCCCTGAATTCCCCTGCGTGGGTTCTATACACCCATGCCAACTCCACCTCGAACCCCCTCAACTGACAACTGGAAGTGCTTTAGAGGTTCGCAGTCGACAAGAACTCGCGCGAGGGAGCGGGTGAAGGTGAGTCTTCGATGTAACATACCGCTCTTTTGAGTGGGTAGTGGAGAATTCTTGACTCTTGACTTCTTGACTCTTGAGCCATTTGCTGATCTTGCTTGACCTTTCGACTTTTGAACCAGGCCGTGAAACGAACCAGAGCCAGATGGAAATTTTTCTTGTTCTTTTTTCCCTCTTTTTCCCGTTTTTTTTCTTTAAAATTCTTTTTCCTAGTCTTCCATTTCCCCCTTTTCGCCTAGCTCTATACAGGAATAACGGAACGTCGATCTATTACCGCCTATTACGGCCATTCTGGCCATTGCGGTCATTGTTGCATGAACTGCTTATGAAGAATTGCTTATGAATGTTTCCCTAATAGACCAAAGGTCTCTTTAGGTAAATGCTAGGTATGTAAGTACGCCACGGCTTCTCCAAACTTGGTCAAGGTTCATTCTCACCATCCCCGAGCCTTCGGAACGGCCCCCCTCCCCAAGCCCTGGGGGGTCCCCTAGCCGTAATCAGCTTAGTCCAGGCGGCTGCGCTTACTAGCGAGGAAAAAAAATTTCCTTGACCTTTCTTTTTCAAGTCTCATCATGACAACCAGTAGCAATAATAGCACTGTAGCAGTAACTGGCGGTGCGTGAGAGAGAAAAACCCCCCAAAATCTCCCCCCAAAAAACCGACGGACGTGCCAAGTGTTCGGACGTCGTCGAAATCCTTAACGCTCGCGTACACTGTACGTCTCATCAAGATCTCATTTCTGTAGCGGACAGCCACGTGTCTCGGACATTTCGAGCTTCAGCCTCCTTCCTCCCCAATCCTAGTCGGAATGGTTGTCGTGGATCCGGTCGTGTAGGTTATCCATGGCACAGGAAGCTTTTCCTGTTTGCCTTACTACGACGCGTACCTGTCAGAGAGGCTGTCGCTAGCTCGACGGCGCGCCTCGCCTAGACTAGAGGATCTTCTCCCTTGTCTACATACCTAGGTTGCTAGGTAGGTTCTAGGCTTATGGGATGGTGACACCGCTATCGTAGAACCTTGTTGCCTGTCTTCTCCTCCTTCGTATGCTCTAACATAATTCCGCGACGGACGGACGAGACAGGCCATACCAAACCAGGGAGAGCTAAACGTACAGTAGCGGGCGAGAGGGTCGGCGCTGATTCGGGCAGAACGTGCAGGCCGCCGAACGACCGTCCCTGAATCAGTGATCGACCCAACTGGCGATGGTTACAAAACAAACACCAAAAAAAAGACCCATCGGAACCTATTCGAGGAGCGGAGTCCCTTAGCATTCTGACTACACAGGTACCAGGACAGCCCCGAAAACCCAGCCCAGAAAACCCAGCCCGGGAAACCAGCCCAGGGAACCAGCCCAGGAAAGCCAATCCAAGAAATAACGTGCCCGCCACTCTTACGTAGACACATAAGCGGAGAGGCAGGGCGTATGGGTTATGACGTATTCACAGATTTTATGAATTCTTTTTTTTTTTGGTATCTGTCGTCTCGTATACGGTATAACAACTGACATGTTAGCGGGATTATAGCGAACGCAGCTGCGCAGAAGGGCGGCATACACAGTGTAAGGGAGAGAGGGAGACTTGGCCTATGTCGCCCAACAACGTCTAGCCACAACAACGACAAGGGCAGAGCATTGACTGCTCTTCCATCAGCCGTGGGACCGCTGTCAGTTTCCCAGATTGGGGGGTAAGACAGCGAGATTTCCTCTTCCTGTTCCTCTTCGTTTCCGCTCTCCGGCCGGCACGGTACTTCGTATGAGTAACTCTTAGTACTGCCTGTGCATTTATCCCTTGTGACAAGCATTCCATTGGATATGCCATGTCAGTGACGAGCTCGTTGCGGGGCCAGCCATCAGATGCATCCTTAATGGACAATTGCCTGATTGGTTAAAGAGAAAAGTTTCTACCGAGTTGATAATCTGGCTAACAAAACCCGTGGACGATTAAGCATGCGTGCGTATCGGTGGCCAAGATGGTTTACCGTTTATGGATCCCTTGCCGCTCCAAAAGTGAAAGTCCCAAAAGTACTCTCGTACGAAACGATTCCTCCTTGCTGGGCATCATCGGGCTTTGGGGGAGAGACGAGCAACCTTTTTTTTTTTTTTTGCTCGCCCATTTGTCACGGTCTGGGTCCAACCAAGCAGCATTGGCCAGAACCTCTCTCGGAGTATAAGTAAGCTCGCTGCTCTTCTCCGCCCCCCATCTTTCTTCTCATTGCAGTTGCATCGTGTAACAGATCTTGTCACACTTTTTTCTTCTTGTCCGTCGTCTTATTTCTGATCTTATTTCTGAAATTCGCGATGGCCGTCTCCTTGCTCGTGGCCGCCACAGGCCTCTTCGTCTTCATCGTATACTACACAATCCAGTGGCTCGTACGATGTCGGCGTCAATATCATATGATCAGACAGAACGGCTGTCTGCCTCCTAAGAAGCTACCCCAGATAGATCCCTTCCTAGGGACCGACGTCGTCATGCAGAACCTCGGGGCCGCGAAGAAGTATGGCTTCCTCAACCTCCTCAGGAGTCGTCACGCCGCTCACGGTCTCACCTTCACCACCAACACCTACTTCCGGACAACCATCAACACCTGCGACCCCACGCTCATCCAGAATGTGCTATCTTTCCAATTCCAAGATTTCGGGATGGGACCTCTCAGACGCAAGAGCGCATCGCCTCTACTCGGACGAGGTATCTTCACGACGGACGACGAGATCTGGGCTCACCAGCGCGCCTTGATCCGACCCAGCTTCGTCAGGGCCCAGGTTACGGATTTCACCATCTTCGGCCACCACGTCGATCAGCTGATCGCTCTCATCGGACGTCAGAACAACGAGGTGGATCTTCAGCAGCTCTTCTTCCGCATGGTTTGTGAAACACTCGTCCAGGATTTACCCTTTCGGGCCTGATAAACTAACCACGTAAGACAGGTTTTGGACTCTAACAGCGAGTACATGTTCGGAGAGTCTGTCGGCTTAATGTCGGAGAACGCTTCCGAATCGGCAACGACCTTCCACCACGCCTTGGACTACGCCCAGCAAGGAACCATCCTTCGATTACGTCTCGGAAACCTCATGTTCGCTCATCGGGACAAGAAGTTCCGCGACTCGTGCGACATCGTACACGCCTATGCTGACAAGTTCGTCGCCCAAGCCCTCGAGTACCGCCGCGGCCAAGCTTCTCTCCCGGCCGAGAAGAAGGTGATGGAAGACGAGACCGTCCGTCGAAAGTACGTCTTCCTAAACGAGCTCGCCAAGGACACCGACGACCCGATCCTATTACGAGACCAGATCGTCAACATGTTATTGGCTGCACGTGACACCACCGCCGGTTTACTCGCTTTCGTCTTCTTCATGCTGGCTCGCCGACCCGAAGTATTCGCCAAGCTCCGCGCCGATGTTCTGGCTCACTACTGTGAGCCACTGACACATGAGGCTCTTATGGATATGAAGTACCTCCGATTTGTCGTCCACGAAAGTAAGTCCTAAATAGCGTCGTGGCGTAGTATGTGCCGCATACCACGCCACACTCCGCCTAATACCACGTACCCCCTACCCCTACCCCCACACAAAGCTAACATGACTCAGCTCTTCGTCTCTTCCCGCCCATCGCTACCAACAGCCGCATGGCCAACAAGGATACCGTCCTTCCCGTAGGCGGCGGCCCTGATGGAAAGTCGCCTATGTTCGTCAAGAAGCACAACGTCGTCACCTACAGCACCTTCGTGATGCATCGACGAAAGGAGTTTTTCGGAGAGGACGCCGACGAGTTCCGTCCCGAGAGATGGGAGAACCTGCGCCCCGGTTGGGAATTCCTACCCTTCAACGGCGGCCCCAGAATCTGCCCCGGTCAAAAGTTCGCTCTGACGGAATCATCGTATACGATCGCGCGTCTACTCCACGCCTTCTCCGGCATCGAGAACCGCGACCCCACGGACTGGAGAGAGCAATTGACATTGTCGCTGACCTTGAATAACGGTGTACAATGCCGTCTCATCCCCGCTTCTTCATAACGCCTTTTATGACTTTCTTTCATCTTTTTTTCTTTCATTCTTTATACAAATACCCAATACCCATGGAATGTATGCGGAGCTCAGGCCTCCTGACGGTTGGTTAATTCGGGGACGGTCATGGTTGGGATTACAGAAAAGGGAAACTCGGATGTTGAAGCTTACAAGTGTCTCAATAGATTGGACGTGTGGGTTCGAATACTGTAGATATGTACGGGGACGATAAGACGTGGATGGATTCTTTGGCTTTTGTTCTCATGATCCGACTAGACACTTGACCTCACGATCAAATTAGGGGACGGATTATTGCTGTCGTTTTAGCTGTCGTATTAGCGCTTTTGCGGTTTGGCTGTCTGGTAGTTAACCTTTTGAAAATAAGAAAATGATGTGTTTAAAAGCAGTTTGAGAAACTTGAAAAACTTGAACTTGAGAAACCGGGAGAGACTGGAGAAACCGGAGGAACCACAAGATGGTCTCCGACTTAGTTTCGAACATCCATGACTTATATCGATAGGTCGGCAGGTCAATAATCTCCCGCCAAGAACGGCCCCTTTACGTATCCAAGACAACGGTTGGTCCAAAAAAAACGAATTTCCCCGGAACTTGCCACCGTCTATAGCTGACCTTCATATAAGATCACCTCGGAGGCTCAGCTTGCGTGTCACACCAAATATGGGTCGTGGCCGCATGTTTGGCCGCAGTAAACAGATTATCGAGATTTGGAATCTCAGAGGGAAACGGATTCGTTGATCCTTAAGTGCCGATGGGACGGTCGTCATGCACGTCCTACGTGTAGAATGTTTCCAACATGCAGCGGGACTTATGTGTCCTACAGCCTCGGCGGTCCGGTTCGTTCATGCGGGTACCCAGACGGATGTGACTTACCCTCCTAGCCTAGCGAAAGATCTTTTTCCTTGGACGATATAGTTCGGAATATACGTGGATGCTTATAGTTGCGGAGGCTAGCCATCCTTAAATCTCCTAATGGTTGATATTATCCCGATATGGGTCTTTCTTAAAATGACGTCCACCTGATCAGAATCTTCCATGGAGATGCGGGCCTTACCTAGCAGATCCAGCAGGATTATATATAGGTGGTCTTAGCAGAGATCTTATAGTTAAGTGCAAGTGCATGGTACGTCCGTACGCCGCTAATGTACGCCACTATGCCGAAGACCGGCGGATGATCTGAGCGTTCCCTTACTAAGGACCACGTTAATAGCCTCCTCGTTATAGGCTCGATGGGATCATCACTCGATTTAGTTCACGTAATAACGAGCTATTAAGATTAAAATGTTACTCATGGGCTAGGTACGACCCGGACAAGCTCCGTATCCTTCGTCTCGCGTTTGTCCTAACCTCCGGGCAACTTGGATGAAACGAAGCCACTCACTCACCGCTTAAGCGAACAAACAGATCGAGCAGGCAAGATCGGCCAATCAAATTTGGTTATTCGTAAATTTCACCAATGAGGTGTTACACAATCGACTAAGACGGTTGGACAGACAAGGTCAAGTTGCCAATACCGGCCCCGGTCGAGATGCCGTTCTACGGGTACAAGCAGATCGATCATCGTATTTCGTACGCAGGTACGTTGTAAAACTTAATAGAGGGCTCCACCAGCCGCGGTTTGTCTGTTGTGATATCTGTTGTGATACATGAAATTCCGGCTGGTCGGTATCTTGATATCATTCGTCCAAAGGTGTGTCGGTGTAATTACTAAGACCACGATATGAAATCTTGCCGTGCCACGTAACGCTCGGGTTCTTACTGGAGCTGCCAGGACCCAGAAGGTCTAATATAGATTATCTACCAACCAATTGCTGATCTTCGACCTTGCGGCTCTAACGCGGTCAAGGGTACGCGATCCTAGCGGAAGCCGATCTTCATGTTCTTCGGATCTGGCGGTCTGTTCACTTACGCACGTGGTCGAGTTACATGGTCCTACAGCCTTAAGACCCACAATCTCGTAGATATAATGCAACGCACCATTAGTCGATAACAGGTAAGACCACACGGGTGCTTAGTTCATATAAATTAGTAGGTATATTAGGTATCTACTAAGACCGGCGCCTGATTGGGAGCCTCTCGCCGAGAAGAGCCTCAAATTCGACTACCTACTTTAAGATCGAAGCGACTTCATCTTTTCACTTTAAAATGGCGATCTGTCTCCGAACAAGCTGCTAGCCGAATACCTGGGTAGATACTAGGTACCCAGGTAGGTAGGTATGAACATACTAGGTATCTAAGATGCATTATTAAGATATTGCTCGCTTTGCCGCTTGCTACCTACCTATCTCCTTGATTATTGCTTGCTTGCTTGCTTCCGTAGCAGACGACGATCATGTCATCCCGGGTCGACGGCTTTAATCAATCGTTTCATTCTATGGTGACGTTCGTTATGCTAATGCCATGGATCTTGAATAGTTTCGCCCTCTCGTATCATAACAGCCCGAAGAACGAATCAGCATACCAATTGAACCGGCGACGTCTACATTGTCCTCTAAACATCTTGATTCATGTTGTACCAAGATTTTCGGGCCGACTGAAGAAAAATACTCTTTAATTAAGATACCACCCCCCTTAGGATAGAAGGATTATAAAAGATATGTTATACCTGTGGAGAAAGAGGGGAATAGGGGGGATGTTATCCTATAGGTTATCGAGCAGGGTCTGGTACGGACTTTTGTCGATGATGTGGTATATTAATACCGTTAATATATTATTCTATCGGTTCCAAGGACCCAGCTTGTTGGTTCGCACCGGGATTCGATGCCGTTAGGGGCATGTATCCGAGCCTCATAAAAATGAGATGTTGGCTTGATATTGCCGTTGATTCATGCTATTGTAGATTAATTCAATTGATACAAGTGATGGCTTGGATGGGTTTGGAGCCTATGAGACATGCGTGTAAGGTGTTATCCCCATCGCTTACGTAGGTGCCTACTACCTAGGTACCTTGTATGGAGCTACTTTGCCTCTCTTGTCAATGCTTGCTACCAATTTGCATAGGATAAGATTATGCGTCGCATTATGATTGTTGCTGATCATGGTAATCGAGAAATGGAAAACTTCAAATTGAATGCCTTTGCTTCTTGATTTGACTGTTGTTCGGAATTATTCGGTACCTCTATATCGACAATTCGGCATCGGAGACATCTAACATCGTACTTGGATGTCGACATTAATAGGAATCGAACGTATTGGAGTTTAGATTAAAGGGTAGTCCTAGTTGATAGGCAAATTCAGGTTAAATATCCTTTCACAGATCAATCAAGACACGAGAACGTACCTAGGTATATTAGATTTTGAAGGAATTGGCGCGCGATGAAGTATTCCAGGGAGAACCGCCATTGAGATAAGTCGACGAGAAACAAGTAGCAATATTACCTACCTATTTATTACGTAGACTTTTCTTATTTTATTATGCTTTCTTCGTCACGGTGTTAATCCTAAGTACTAGGTACCTACCTAGACGTCCTCATGTTAAGCTATGAAAAAACATTTCGGCGGGTGGATATCCCCTAATGTCACTATACGCTGGACTTTTAGAGGCCTTCGACATCGGGGTTAACCCCAACCGGATCAACTTTCATCTACTTGCCCTTATCTCCTATCTTTCGCTTCCTCTCGCTAGCTCTCGCTACCTCGCTCTTTTCGAACCATTAAAACTTCATAAGAGTCGCATGGTCCCATTCTATCTCCTATGAATGTAAACTTGCGACCCAGATACTCGATACCCACAATATTCCATTGCAAGAAACCCCTGAAAGGTATAGCATACGTTAGGCTTGGCAGATCGCCGAATGTGATGCTTCGGGCTTCAATTAAGCTCTCTTCTGTGGAATAGAATCTCAGGAACCCATACTTTGATGGAGATCCCGCTATTTTTATGTACCAGGTACCAATAACATCGGGGATCTTCTCGTCAACGAATCGAGGCGGAGCTAGGAAGGATTCCCAAGTCCACGACAATGATCTGCTGGGCCACGTGGAGCTAGTAAAGAGCCTCAGGCTCTTAGGCACTGCCAAGTTCTACGATCATACCTATTAATAGCCTGCCAACTTTGGTACGTATTACTTGAAGATTGGAGTGTTCGAAAGTCCTTCGCTTGATGCTTGCTTCTTGCCGCTTGGAGTTTATGATATATGATATGCTCGTCGACAACGTGTTAATCCAGCCGAGTCAAATGTAGTATAAATCTACGTTCCGGTCCCCGGCTACGACTCTCCTCGTTGCCGGCGGATATCCGCTTCGCCTAGCCGAAAAGACACCGCATTCGCTTTAGCTTGAGAAGACGAGTGAGTGAGTAATTGTCGCGAAGACGAAACTGGTGCCAGGTTTCTCATGCACAAACTTACCTAACCTTAGTAGGTAGGTAGATTCCATTAACATGCGTACATTGAGCAGCAAGTATTGAACATAGCAGCATATGCTATAACGTCCCATCGCCATACAGCTGTATCTTCGACTAGGTACCTGCCCAGGTGGTCTTCTCTTCGGCGAACATTCTACGATACCTACATACAACGCCAGCCACGTCGTACATAACGATATGTATACCACATCGGGGATTATCCTGGTTGTATCAACGATAAGCTATAACGTTGCTCGCTTGAATTACACCAGCTATCATCAGTCGATGAACAGGTAGGGACATTCGAATGAGCAACCCCCGTGGTGACTTGGCGTTAGATTCGTGGCTTACAGGTTAAGGCCGTATGAATCACGGGTGGCTTGAATATTTGCCCATGTATCTGAAGTACTCCTAAGTACTGAAATGAACTGGGTGACACCCCGGTCACGCCCTGGTAACATCTCAGAACGCCCGCATCGATATCTTGACCGGTCACCTGAGTACCCAGTACAGACAGCTCGTCTATCATATCAACAATCACATGGCTACCTCCTATGGACTATCCTATGTCGATCACTAAAGTTGTCACTCGGGAAGATGCGGAAACGTCCGTACATAAGCCAATCAGCAACACGTCCCATTTAATGAATTCCGAATCATCCATTCCACCCTCGCCCTCTCCGGTCTTTCTTCCCCTCGCGCAGCAGATTACGCAGCAGCCATCCGCTTCTTCGCCAGCCCGCTTAGCTTCTCAGCGGCAGCCGAAAGCGCGCGGGGGTCTGCACCGCGGATCATGGGTTGTCCGTTGACGGCGACCTGGCGACCCTCCTTGAAGAACATGAAGGTGGGCATGGCGGAGACGCTGTGAGCGCGCGCCGCATCCTGTGCATGGTCCACGTTGACCTTAGCGAAGGCTAGGATGCCCGGCGCCGAGTGCTGCTTGGCTAAGGTCTCGTAGTGCGGCGCGATGGCCTTGCACGGCCCGCACCAGTCCGCGTAAAAGTCCACGACGACGTATGTGGTCGAGGCGAAGAGCGATTGAAGCTCGGCGAGCGAGTTGATGTGGTGGAGGTTATCACCGCTCATTTTGGGTTAGCTTGGTTTGGTTCGGTTTGATGCGATATGATAATATCTGATGGACGAAAGCGTGCTCTCTTTGGCGATCTTTGGTTGCCTCAGACTTTAGAATAACTTGGAAGAGTCAAGGTTTTAGTTGATAGCGTAGTAATATGTTAACTTAATGAAAAAGGAAATGTGGCTGCTTATGTACTAGGTATATCAGAATGTTAAGACAGTGATTCATAATATCAAAGGACAGTATGAATGGGGGTTTCTGGAATCTGGATGGTTGGGGAAAGTTAAAGTGGCGAGCTGAAAAGATTCCGAGATCACGACATGTTTATTACCTAATTAAACCCTTATTATTCATACTATTCGATAGAAACTATTCGGCACGGGCCGAACCGCTGTAAACGACTTTAATGAAGTAGCGGGGTTCCTCATTGGTTATAGGGTTTTAGGGGTTATAGGAGGGTTATAGGGGAGTTATGGGGACCATAGGTCGTGAGGGGTTATGATCATTCATAGCCCTAGAGGTAGACGGGACTAGACGTTTTTAACATGCTTACTACCCATCTTACATCATCCAGATACATACCTAGTATCACAACAACTTCCTATGTCCGCCCAGTGGTTTCTTTAAATAACCATATGTACAGATCATGTTTCATCTCGACGATACCACCTTCGAACAAGTAATAGGGTAGGTTTTTGATTAATGTGCCCTGAAGTGGCAGAAGATTCCAGGGATGAACCATCAAGGCGTGGCCAATAACAATTCGTTAAAGGTCTACTGCATACCTCGTACAGCAATTATGACCAATTATATTTCTGGAGTTCCCTCTTCTTCGGTCGCAATAAAAATTGCAAAACGTGAGGCTTTGCATAGCTGGGCTGAGTAGCTCGTAACACCAAACCGGCCACTTACATCCACGATTTTCGATATCGTATCGGTCACGATAGTAGTATTCATCCGAATTTTCGTAGGGCTGATGTTCTGTGCCGACCAAGGACATAAGAAGGTTGTATACCACCAATCCATCCAATGGATGTCAGCTAGGTTGGATCGGGGGCCGGAATGTTTAAGACATGAGCTTCTAGATAAGGTGGCTACTCCTCAAGTCGCCATGGTTCAGCAGCTATGTCTTCGTCTCATCCGGTATTCCTGGAAAGCCTATTACCAGGATGCGTTGTCCACCTAACCCACGTGCGATCATCCGTTTATCGTCCTGCTATATCGCTCTTCAACTATTCGTAACCTGTTACGCCAGCTCCCTGTGCAGTATCGTGAACCATAGGTGTGAGTTAGCCTGTACTTATTAGTTATATTCCTTATCCCTCTGTTGTCTCTCGGGAGTACAATGACTGATCTGAGGGCATCCCCTATCGTAGCTGCTATCGTAGGCGATCGTTTCTTCTTCTCGAGTGGCAATTATACCTTCGACGATGGACAAACTATGCGTAATACGTCGTTACTTTATTGGCTCCGTCTCAACGAGACGATTGACGTATCAGGCCCTATTGATATGTCCCAGCTAGGTTCGGTCGATCTACCAAGTACTAGTCTTGTAAACAACAGGGGTGGCTCTGCCGGGACGTTCTTCTACGATCATACATCCCTGTATCCGTATGCCGGGATGATCGGACCGGACGCGGATGGGATAAATAATTCCTTATGGTCTTTTAATACGACGGACGATACGTGGAACCTAGCCCAAGTCCAAGGGGGTAAGATCTCGTTCGGTACCAACAGCGAGGGCGTATATGCTAGCGATCCAAGCACGGGCACCTCTTTCTATACCGGCGGCTGGGTGATGGCTTTCAATAACACGAATAACGGCACCGTCAAATTCCAATCCTTCAACTCCGCTTCACCCCAGTGGACTTTCGAGACCGCCACCACAGGTATTCAGGGACCTAATATCCTTAAAGGCACTAGTATGTACCTGATAATCTGAGTAGCGCCTCGAGGTGAATCGTCGAATCTACCTGCTAACCTGGCCAATTAATAGTGGTGCATCTGAGAAAGGGTCAAGCAGGTGTGCTTCTCGCTTTCGGGGGATACCAGACAGCTTACCCAGGTACCAGGACCGCGCAGTGGTACTGGGATCAACGACCTTTCAGCGATATATTCGTCTACGACATCTTCTCAAACGTATGGTATCTGCAGGAGGCCACCGGCGATATCCCCAGCCTCCGTACGGACTTTTGCGCCGGCGTCTCGGTAGCACCGGACGATTCCAGCTTCCAGGTCACGATCCATGGGGGTTGGGACGAATTTAACGGACGTGCTTACGACGACGTATATGTGCTGAGCATCCCTTCGTTCCGTTGGATCAAAATTAGCGACACCCACAACCCAGACTTGCTCGGTCCTGACTCCCCTGGCCGTAACCGGCCCAAGTGCGATGTGTGGAACGGGACACAGCTCATAGTATCAGGGGGGTTTATTACAGTCAATACCGGCGCGGATAACTGGAAAATACTGAATAAAAGATGCAATAAGACATACCCGCCGTTTAAGGTCTTAGATACTTCATCATATACTTGGCGGACGAGCTTCGACCCTAACTTGGAGTATTCGGTGCCACTCTCGGTAACAACTATCATAGGGGGAGAGTGAGTACCTATATATGATTTCTTGCTCTGATCGTGAATACCTTAATCGCGAATACTTATCTTGGTAGATAACTGACGTTCATCAGCTCTTCCGGAAATGCGACCCTCAACACACCTTCTACGGGTTGGAGTTCCGAAGACCTAGAAACTATATTCAGCAAAACAGTACCTAGAGACACGTATGAACTGGTCAAAAAGGGACCTAATGTTTCAGCTTCTACCCCGTCCCCTTCCCCGTCATCTGAGCCTGGCGATATCAATAATAGCTTAAGCCAGGGTGCTATCGCAGGAATCGCCATTGCAGTCATCATGGGCGTCATTATCATCCTCGTAAGCGTACTGGTATGGCTGGACAGGAAACACACCCCGATTCCGAGGAAGATGGTGGAAACTGCGAATATAATAGCAATGACGGATAGTCAATGGCAGAAGCCGGAGCTCGAGGGTTGTCATAATGCACGACACGAGTTGGGTATCTCAGAACCTCGACCACATGAGGTACACAGTGAAGGGATATCGAGATGCGAATTGCCGGGAAGCGCCCCCTCTCTTGCGGAACTACCTTGCGCTTATCACCCAGGCTAGCCGCCAATAGCTTCCAACGGCTTGCTTGGGGTTCCCTGGATAGAATTCTGATCTTGCGAGAGCCATTCTAGATACTTGGCTACTGGTCCTTCAATCTTTCAACTGACCATACCCTTGACAGCTGCTATGGTAGGGATAAGAAGCGTCATATGATGCGATGTTTGGGATACTAGAGCGACGTGGTGGGCGAATGCAGCTGATAGTACACGATGCTGGTGAGCAAGAAGCAATACATATATACCTACAAAGACAAGGATACTACGGAAAGGATTAGCAGATGCTCTCATATGCAAAATCTAGTAATACATCATAAGGACTAGATGTGTTAGATCTCTGTATACTATATACCTATATACGGACTTCAAGGAAAGCTTTTATGGTGGCCACAAAATAACACCTGACCTACTCGGCTTTGTCCGCATTTCTATCATCATCAATTTAGGTTTGAAATATTCCAAGATAATTTATGCATGGGGCTGGTTGCTAAGCGTAGGCTTGACAGGTCATTTTTAGATCGATATGAATGGCTTGAGTGGCGTACGGAACTCCGATACCACCACGGTAGCACATGGTAGCACCCAGTCAGCGTGGCGGGATAACATGGAAAGTAGTATCCACAAGAACATAGAAGTCTCCGCATTGACTCATAAATCACTGCAAGTCAGATTATGACTCTGCTGAGAGGGATGTATCGATGCAATAATTTCTCTGGTACCCAACGGCAGAAAGAACTGCAACGGGCCAAAGGGTAAGTGATCGAAGAAATTCGGTCTGTCCTCCAGTTTCCCCTCCAAGACCTGCCATTGAGACTCCGAAGAGTGACGAAAGCCAGAGTGAATATGAAGGATGGTTGTCTGAGGAGGAAAAAGAAAGGAAGAAAAAGCGAGGAGTCGAAAATTTTCATTTTATTGGAATAAAATAGGTGGATCCAAACGCGATCGCGTCTAAGCGGCATTATGTTAATCCTGCTAATCCTACCGGGTACAGCCACAATACCCCTGTGACCTACAGGAGACGTCCTTTTAACGCTTACATGAGGTGAAGTGGCATGTGGATTGGGTCTGGTCGAAAAAGGTATAGCTTAGTCTGATCTCGGCCAATTAAAAATAATCTAAATAACGGGTAACGCAACGAGCCTAACAATTGGATTACCCCGCCATCTAGGTGGGATGTCAGAGATGTTAGTGGTTCTAATTCTTACATGCAGCCCTGAAGGCGTTACACTGGCGCTAATCAGTTGTGTACATCCATTCGAGGCACTGTAACTTGGAATCACCGCCTGCAAGTCTTATGTTTTGTTTTTTGCCCCTCTTTCGTCGACGTTTGACTCGATCCGATATTTACGTCAAAAACTTGTTGCCATCTCCTTTGTCCTTTTAAACTTCTTCGTAACCTTGGCAACAAACTTGGTGAAATTTAGATCGCAGCTAGATTTTACTATTAAAGTCAAACCGATCCCGTCCTGCAGAATATTTACTTGGAACATCGAAACCAGTAAACCTGCAAATCTGCAAATCTGCAAACCTGCAAACCTGCATTCAAGGGTGACTCGATAAGCTACCCCGCCATCCTTCACGTTCATCATTTCATCGTCCTCTCTCACATCAATCACTCATCATGGCTGGACGCGGTGCACCTGGAGCCAACTCTCGTGGCCGAGGAGGCAAATTCAAGAAGTTCACTCGAGGTGGTATGTCTTCCCTTCGTCTTGTTTCCTCATCATACGAATTTTTAATCGCTAATTTGTTGTCGCAAAGGTGGAAAACACTTCTCTCGTGACCTTCGACCCCTCGACGCCGAAGGCAACGAGATTAGCATGTGGAGCGAAGATGCCCAAAAAGACAAGAGCGGAAGCGATTCCGAAGAGGACTCCGAAGAAGACTCAGAAGAGGAAGACTCCGACGCTGGTCCCTCCCAACAACAGTCCGAATTGACCCGAGAAGAGCGTAAGCAGGCCAAGAAGGCTCAGAAGGAGGCAGCCATCGCCAGAAAGAACAAGCCCGTACAAGTCGGAGACATGCCCACCGACTCCGAAGAGGAAGAAGACGAGGACGACGGCATGCCCGCTAATCCTAACCACTCCAAGGCTGCACGCAACCAAGCTAAGGCTCCGCCCAAATCCGATGCCGTCGAAGACGTTACCGAAGGAGTTCAGAAACTTGCCATGAGCCGAAAGGAACGCGAGTCTATGGAGGCCCAGCAGGCTAAGGAGAAGTACCGCAAGCTTCACGAAGCAGGCAAGACAGACGAAGCTAAGGCCGACCTGGCCCGTCTGCGACTCATCCGAGAGAAGCGAGATGCCGAGGCCGCGCGAAAGCAGGTGCGTAACTACTCGTACCATCACAGGCGATATTACTATGTTCTTAGGTAGTATATAATATGCTAACATTTAATTATAGGCCGAGAAGGAAGAGCGCGAGGCTCACGAGAAGGCGCGAAAGGCCGAGATCGATGCCAAGGAGTCCAAGAAGCGAGAGGCTGCTCTAGGCAAGCCCGGAAAGAAGGGACGAGCTAAATGAAGTTGTCCATCTACCTAGTACTTCCCGTTGGCTATCGTCAACATACCTTGCATAGCCTTGTGTCTGGCCGTGCATATTGAATACAAACCAGAACCTTGCCTCGTCATACAGATTGTTGCTCTACGTTGTGTAGCTGCCTGCATCTCTCTCTCTCTCTCTCTCTCTGTGTGTGTGTGTGTGTGCGTGCGTGTGTGTTGGCTGAGAATAAGGTAATTCTTTTTATAAGTCTAATAATTGTGCGAACCGACATATAACACCAAGAATAATCCTCTTGGTGTTCTTGTGGGTAGGCACCTAATCTGCATACTGATTAAAGAATCGCTTAGCTTCCGAGTGAGGGTGAGTTACCAAGGTTATCGTGATCGTACAATATGTAGTATATCGTACTACGTGGTCTATAAGTCTATTTAATGGAGAAGTATCATGGACATCTACTAGAGATTATGGTCGTGACTCTACAGCGAAACGATCCATTACACCACACTATATATTCCTTTCGCCCTTTGCATGCTCCTTTTGGCATGCTCCCCTTTGATTAGGTACCTAGGTCTCTATTATACCTTTGGATTACTTGGCACATCCTGACCTACACTTTCTTTCCAGAATTCATCAAAGTTGATATCTTGTTTCTCAAACATCTCCCTGATCTGCTTTGCAACTTGCTCTTGCTTTTCGGGTCCAAATCCACCCGGCTGTGTCGATTCGTACTGGATGATTTCGATCCACCGATAGAATAAATCCTCCTTATCAACAGCAGCGAGCGCGTCTCTGAAGGCGAATACCTGCCGTCTCCTGTCATCTTCCTCCGCATTCCCACCGACTTTCATGTCGACACTCAGCCATCCGTGCTCCTCGTGGTGCACTAGGACGACGGTGTTGAAAGCTTCGATCGCAGCCATCTTCCTGTCTACCATGGTGGTGGCGTCGACCATAGCCGCCCAGTCCAAGTCCCAGTCGGCGTTCATGAGAAGGTAACCCGTCTTCTCGTTAAGCAGCATCGGTGACGTCGCCGTGCCGATCCGAGACACGAACAAGCTCTTCGCACTAGCATCGTTGACGACGTCTCCTTTCGTCTCGTCCCATCTTTTACTCCGGCGCACGACGATCTCGCGATCTCGGAAGCCGACGGTCCACCGCCATATGACGGGGTTGCCATCCTCTTGGGCGAGAAAGAAGTTGATAGGCCAGGGTCCGATGAAGATGTAGAGTAAGAAATCCAGGAAGAAGGAGAAGGTGCGCTTTGCGACCTCCGGCACGATCTCGGCCCACTCCATCTCGTCGACGACCATGGTAGTTTCGTTGGGGTAGCCTAGCACGGACGCGAAGATCTGCAAGTAGTACGGCAGTATGTAGTACACGCGATACGCGAAGAGCGCGATAATTCCTAGGTTCATGAGCACGGGCACGATGAAGATCTTGCGCTTAAAATCCGCCGGTTGGGAGTCAACGTGCGTGATGTACACGTGCTTCTCGTCCAAAGTCTCGAGGAGAGGCTGTAGGACCTCCGGAGGTCGTTTGAAGGGTGCCGGAGGACTCCCGTCTTTCTTGGCGGGCCTCGACCTCCCCTGACCCCTTTGACGGACCATAGTAATGATTGGTGATTATTATTTGCTCGAAAACTAATAAATTAGCAGCCTAGTACTGGCATGTATCGATGCCGCGACAGTATCATGGATGTAATTAGGCAGATAGGGGATGATGTTGGCACCTCGATGTTCGTAAATTTTCGAGATGGAAGATGAAAAGGGATGATGTGGCTGAAGCTACCCCTGCTACCCTGCCATACCCCTGGATATTTGTGGCTGACACACTAACGGATTCACGTCCCCGGGTACAGGTAGCCCTTGCCCCACCAAAAAAAACTGATGGGTTGGAGATGTGGCGTACTGCAATACGGAACTTTTTTCTCTTTACGCCGTAACGACCCGCCGGAATTCTTGAATCTGGAATTCTTTCAACTTCAAATTTGTCGCATGGCGATTTGAAGCAATCTTTGTCATTATGCTGAGAGCGAGCTTATCGAAGGTGAGAATCTACTCATTGTACTCGTCTTGATCATGATCATAACCTCGCTCATCCTATTTTCTTTTGAGGTTTGCAATTAAGTACCTAGTAACTAATAAACTATTACAGCGAGAGTCTTCAATATGCGCTTTCTGCCAACACCGCTTCTCTCTCCGGACGGCGACGCCACGGAGCAAACGACAACTTTCCGGAACGAGGAGTTTGAAGAACAATGATGGATGGGGTAGCTGGGGAGGTGGTTGGGGTAGCCAATCCAAGGCTCCTGCGCAATCTCAACACGATGATTTACTAGATCAGCACGAGGTAATAGCGCGCAAGAGACTCCTCGAAAAACAGCAAAGAGAAGCACAGCAGGCACAACAGGAACAGCAGGCCAAACAAATCCAGAAAGCTCAAAAAGACCAACAAATCCCCGAACGACCAAAATCCAGGACTATTCTAGCTAGCTACGGGCCGAGACTGATATGGAATCCGGAAAAGCAGAAAGCGATAGAAAGGACATTGAGCAACCCCGTACCCCCTCCGAAGCGTAATGTGGAAAGGGTTAATACTCGCATATTCGGAAACCTTCTAGAAGATAACGCTATTAAGAAAGAACCTAGCACTACAACAAGTAATGCTGATACTCCGAGGTCTTCGACGAAGGTTACCGGCGATTCCGTCGCGATACCAACCCTTCAAAACTTGCCTGGAACGAAGCCCTGGATGTCAATGCGAGGTGCTGTCGGTGTTGAAAGAAAGACGTCCACGATAGGAAAGTCTATGACTGATAACCTTATAATCCCATCACAACCTCCACGGCATCTACGGTCACTACAGCCTCTACAATCCTCACGACCCTTGCAACCCTCGCAACCTTCGCAGCCCTCGCAACCGTCGCAACCGTCGCAACCAGCCCAAACCCCGCAAACCCCACAATCCTTACAAACCTCACAACCCTCAGAACATCCACCAGTACCACAAGTCTCAAAACCAGCCCAAACCTCACAACGCCCACAGCTATTCGGGGGCACTGGCGGATCAGATTGGGGCTTGTTAGCTAGGAAGTTAACCCCGGAAAAGCCTAATAGCGAAGACTTCTGGGCGGCCTTGGATAAGAACGTGAAGGATAAAAAGGTGACGAAGCCGCATGCATCCAACGCACCGGGACAAGCGTTGGGGCAGTCTAAGCCTCGCGACCCTTGGGCTGCCATGGGGGAGCATCAGGAAAAAGCATCGGATCCTAAGAATATGTATGACTGGGGAAAACAACTAGATGAAGAAGACGAACGAGAGGCGAAGCGTGTACTGCAATCGAGGAAAGAAGGGCCGCAAGAGCCAGAACCTGCATCATCTCCAGCGGCGTCTGGCCTCGAACAAGAATCGAAAGGCAAGGTCCGCGACCGTGATCGTGAAAGGAGACAGTCTCGCCTCGAACGAAAACAAGAAGAGGACAACCCGGGTCGCCGCGAGAAACGTCAACGGCGTGGTAAAAGATACAGCGACGACGACGGCGAAGGATTCGATTACGAGGATTACCAAGAAACACGTCGAATGAAGGCGCGGGCCAAAGCGCAACGCGAGGCCGAGAGGGTCGGTCCCATCCCTATCCGGATACCCGAATTAATCAACATTAAAGCGCTGGCCGAGGCACTGAAGATCGAACCGAAACTGTTCTTGACCCAGCTCGGCGAGCTAGGCTTTGAGGGAGTATCCTTGGAAAGTCTCATGGCCGGCGAGACGGCGGCCCTCGTCGCGCAAGAGTACGGTTTCGAACCGACGGTGGACGCCGGCGAAGAACTCGACCTGAAACCTCGCCCGCCACCGAAGGACCCGACGACCCTCCCGCTCCGTCCGCCGGTGGTGACCATCATGGGCCACGTCGATCACGGGAAGACTACTTTATTGGACTACCTGCGCAAATCGTCCATCGCGGCCCAAGAACACGGAGGCATCACGCAACGCATCGGCGCCTTCTCCGTGAAACTCTCTTCCGGAAAACCGATCACGTTTCTAGACACTCCAGGACACGCCGCTTTTCTTACGATGCGGCAACGAGGTGCCTACGTCACCGATATAGTGGTTCTGGTCGTAGCTGCGGACGACAGCGTCAAACCCCAGACCATCGAAGCCATCAAGCACGCGCGTGCGGCCAAGGTACCGATGATCGTGGCCATCAACAAGATCGATAAGGACGGGGCACGGATAGACCAAGTCAAGAGCGACCTCGCACAACAGGATGTCGAGATCGAAGACTTCGGCGGAGACGTCCAAGTCGTCTGCGTGAGCGGAAAGACCGGCCAGGGCATGGACGACCTCGAGGAGAACATCTTGACCCTCTCTGAGATTCTAGATCACAGGGCCGAGGTGGACGGACCCGCGGAGGGTTGGATTCTCGAGAGCAGCTTAAAGTCGATCGGCAAAGCAGCTACCGTCCTCGTCAAACGAGGTACCATGCGACCTGGCGACTATATCGCCGCCGGTACAACGTGGGCGAAGATCCGACACATCCGCAACGAAGCCGGCGTCGAGATTCGCGAAGCACCTCCGGGCTCCCCGGTCGAGATCCTAGGATGGAAAGACCTCCCAGCCGCAGGCGATCAGGTCATCCAAGGCTCCGACGAAGGACAAGTCAAGGGCGCGGTAGAGTATCGCGAAGGTCTTCGCGAACGCGAAAAGGAAGCCGCCGCCCACGAAGAAATCTCCGAGGCCCGTAGGCTCCTCCAAGAAAAGCGAGCTCGCGAGAAGGAGCTAGCGGAAGCAGGCGAGACCGACGAAGCCCTCCCAGAGGAAGAGGACGGCACGAAGATAGTCAACTTCGTCGTCAAAGGCGACCTCCACGGGTCCGTAGAAGCGGTCCAGGCGTCGATCCTCGAGCTCGGGAGCCACGAGGTGAGACCGCGCATCCTGCGCTCGGGCACCGGGCCCATCCACGAGTTCGACGTCGAGCATGCGGCGATGAGCAAGTCGGTCATCGTCAACTTCGCGACCAAGACGCCGGGGTACATCAAGCAGATGGCGGAGGGGCAGGGCGTAAAGATACTAGACCATACGATCATCTATCGCCTGGTGGACGACGTTAAGGCGACCCTAAGCAGCTACCTCGCCCCGGAGATCACGTTCAAGGTCCTCGCCGAGGCGGAGGTGCTTCAGCTCTTCCCGATCAATATTAAAGGTCGCCAGTATAAGACCATTGCGGGATGCAGGGTCAGGAACGGGACGATGGAGAAGGGCGGCGCGTTCCGCGTGGTTAGGAAAGGGGAGCCTATTTTCGACGGTACTTTATACCCTCTACCCCATCCGTCACTTCTCGTGCGGGTTTTCTCCCCCACCATCTGCTAACATTTGGAATAGGCAATCTGGAGACACTGAAACATCTCAAGAAAGATGTGACGGAGGTTAAGAAGGGCACCGAGTGCGGTATCGGATTTGAGGAGTTCCAAGAATTCGAGGTCGGCGACGTGATCCAGTCTTACGAGAGAGTCGAGACAGCGAGGTTTTTCTAGTTGGGTTGGCCATGTTGAATTGCATCGAACTGTGCCGAATTGCACCGGAGTTTATCGCATTGCACTATATCGCGCCGAACTGCCGGCGTACGATTTGCACTGGGTGAATAAAATGGCGGAGATCTTCGGTAAGAGATTAGATGAGCTTCTTTGTACGATATGCCGCATATTGTATATCGAAAACTATAGTGGACTAAGAATCACTGTACATCTGGAGGCTGGTCTCATACGTCTTGTCTTGGTAGGTACCTACCTAGGTAGGTATTTAATGGATCGGAAAGCATTAAAGGGCGGATGGCATCGGGCAGGCATCAGCGGTGATACGCGGCGGCGATAGACGGCTATGATACTTATCTATATGGTAGACGTCCTATATCTCATGCATCGATGGCGTTGTCTGTTTGAGGTTGGTTGGATATAGCTGTACTATGTATATAACGTTCATGAGATCCCCTCTTATCTACTGGAAATGGTTGAGTTTCGAGGCGTTAGAAAGGGGTCATGAGTTGGTGAGAGTTGAGAGTTGAATAAGTACCTAGTAGCCGAACAACCGTTGCGGATTATGGCCATTCGCTACGATTTCGAGCTCGAGGCAGGTCATCTAGAGGAATCTCAATAGATTTACACCTATGTATCCCCCGTCAAGTCATCAAAGCAAATGTGAGCAGAGCACAGTAGAGAATTGTTCATTTGAATCTACTATTAACCCTCATTTCGCTTTTACCTACCCTCACTCACTCTGAAGCCTGCTTCCACGCCTACTTCCACACCCACTTTCATCAAAACTTCAACACTAACTCACTTCACTTCCAATGACATCTCGCGACTTCGTCCGTTCACGCGATGCTAAACTCGGGTATCTCGCCAGTCTCGCTCTTCTGCTCAGCGCCGAGCGTATACGCCACACGCCACCTGAGTTTGATGCTTTCGACTTTCTTGGACCTGTCGCCGGCGTGGAAGACCTGGACGGACTGGGTGACGCCTGCATTCTGCTTGGGTTGTAGAGCGCGGCCTGTCTGCGGCTGGAGTTGGAGTTCGTAGCCCTGTGGTTGATCGGTTAGTTTCGAGTCATTTATATTCGTACCATATCCTAAATTACGGGGATATATTAAAGGGGACAGGGGACAGGGGATATAATGTATGGTGCTTTGTCTAGGATGTCAACATTCTCACCTTCGTTACGGCTAGTTGGAAGTGGAGGTTGCTTATGGGCGCCGCGGTGGTGTTAGAGAAGCTGAATACTAGGTACAGGGCGCCTTGTGGAGGCGGTCGCGATGCGCTGAGTTGGATCTGGAGTGCACCATCCTTGACGAGTGCTTGATACTCCTTGGGGAGGGAAGGTTCAGGAGGCAACGCCGAGGAAAATGACCACTCATCGTCTTCGGCTGTCGCGGCAACAGGTGCAGGCTTAGGAGTGGCTGGCTTAGACATGAATTGGGGAGAGGCGAGAGCTGCGAAAGGATCGTTGGCGGGAGATCTTTGAGGTGGCGGCCTAGAAAACGAAGATTGCTGAGACAGATGCGGTTGCGGAGTATTCGACTGGGACCCTGTAGGAGGCGAAGTGAAGCTTGAAAAGGGGGAATGCGGCGGAGGAGTCGGACTCGATGCTGGTCCTTTTGCACTACTATTTTGGGTTATCGACGAAAGTAAAGCAGGCCCCGGCACATCTGGACGAGGGTTAGTTCACATTTCCAAGTAGAAAGCGGCAGCAGACGCACTTTGATTTGATCCAAAACCTAGAGAGATCCCACCGCCTTGACCGAAAGAGCCTCCGCTGTCTCCTAAGGAAAGACCCAGTAGGTCATTCTCGAGACCGCCTGCTTGCGAACTTGATCCAGCTCCGTTGTTAGCAGCGCCGTTTGCCGCAGCATCCGCGTCGAAGTCGATCAACGACAACTCGTTTGCGGTAGATGCAGACTTCCCGGCCGCTGCCGACGTCGTCGAAACAGGTGCGCCTTGAGCGATTTTGTTGGCGCCTTCTATATCACCCTTCTTCAAAAGCTTCCATCTCTCGACCGTTCGATGTATGCTGTCGTTTATCTCGAACAACTTAGCTACCGCCTCGTGGTCGTCGGACTCTTCCTCGCACATCTTCTGAATCTTGGGCTGCGCGCTCTGGAGTGCCGCGGCTAACTCCTCGAAGACGTCTCCGTCTTTCATAGAATCGCCTGGCTTAAAAGTAGCAAGCCTCTCCTCCAACAGGCGCGCTTTGGCTTGAATCTTTCCAACATCCTCAGCCGCCTTTGCTCGATAATCCGTCTTCGACCTCGTATCATAACCGGCCATGATCTTCATAAGTTTGTTGGCCTCTTGCAAATCCTCGGGTGCTCCTCTTCGTATCAGCTCTTGAAGCTTAGCAGATTGTGCTTCTCGTTCCTCCTCCTCCATCTCCTCCGCCGATTTGAGATTCTGCAATTGCTAGTTAGCTCAACGAACACGTATAGACAGACTGCGCCGCAGTGCACCCCACTCACGTCACTCGGATTCAGAACGGCGGCGTCATCCCTTCGAACCTCGGGAAAGTGATAACCCTTATAGCTTAACAGCCGGTGCATGTCCCGGATGAAGCCCAGGTCCTCCTTGTACCGGCTCGTCTCGCATATCGTGCTCCTCCATTCTTCGATAGCTTCCAGTATCTTAGACTGGACTTTGGTATAACGAATAGGTGGCCTCTCGGGAAAGCGCCTGACAAGCTCGTTCAGGAACTCCTTGGTACTGATCTGAAGCTGGAAGGGGTATCCGCAGTTCTTTACGCATATGTCGAGAAGGTTTAAGGCCAGGAGGCTGACGTTGGGGTTGCGCGAGTTGACGTAGTTAACTATCGACACGGCGGCTTCGCGGGGTGCGCTGCCTTTCTTGCTATTGATCAGGTCGGAGATTTCGAGGTTCAGGGCAAGGTTAGGTTCGTAATTTTCGGGACTACAAGCGCTAGCTATGAATCGTTGAAGCTGGGAAGGTCTCGGAAAACCCAACTCGTTCCATCGGTCCCTCGCGGCCGCTCGAGCGGAGGCGGCCTCCATGTTTCAAAGCCGTAAGTCGTCGTCACAGCTAAATGCGTTAAAGGCAGAAACTTGATATGTATGATCTGTTTTATTCTTAATCGCGCCTAATGCAATGCGCTTAGGGCCTCAATCCGTCCCTATACATTTGGGTTAGGTGGGATATGCGGGATCGAGCGATTGGCCTCTTATTCATCGACATCAGATTATGTCGTTAGTGATGTTGAAGCTCGAAAGGGTTATCACCAGGTGTTATTGGCAGCATTCGACTTGGAACACCACTAAAAGGCTACTAGAGTCTTGGAGGCTGATGGAACTGGTGGAATACGCAGCACCGGAGGCATCCCACTCTGATAGGTCCGCTTTTAATGTGGCACATACGCTGTAATTGTGGCAGCGGCGCGGCGGAGGAGCTGACGTAACGTTGAAGTCTCTATTCAAATTGGAAGGTGCTTGACCAATCAGATTCATTTGGCAATTTCAAGAACGGGATTACAATTCACCGTTTAGCGGTTGCAACGGTAGCACAGCTCAAGCCCCGCCACAGCTTCCACGGTTTAGAGCCGACGTAGCGGACCTAACAGCCCTAGGTGAAGGTTCAGGTGTCGTGTGCCCCACGTTCCGTCATCAAGACATTTAGAGATTTAGAGTTGAAAATCTCTACCTTGGAACTGTGCAACTGCGACTGCGACTGCAACTGTGCATTGTACTAGGTACGACTGCACGACTTTACAACTTCCAAGGTTATTGTACAACCGAATCTTCCTAACTCGATACAATTGGTTATTTCACATCTATCTAGCATTCCCATCACATAAGACAGCATGGTTCGACACAAGAAAGATAAATTCTCATCGAGAGGTGGAAAAGGCCATGGCAATCCCCGCCCTCGAGCCCGTCTAGCCGATGACGATTCCGAACAAACCTCTTCTCAACCTCCTTTCAAAGCCGCTTGCTGGGACCTGAACCATTGCGATCCGAAACGATGCTCGGGGAAGAAGCTCATAAGACTCGGTCTCATGCGCGATCTCCACCTCGGCCAAAGGCATAACGGCGTCATCATCACTCCTAACGGAAAACACAAGATCTCCCCTGCCGATAAAGAATTGATGGAACAATACGGTGCGGCGGTAGTCGAATGTTCGTGGGCGCGAACGGGGGAAGTTCAATGGAATAAGGTCGGAGGTAAATGCGAGAGGTTGCTGCCATATCTAGTCGCTGCAAATACCGTCAACTATGGTAAACCCTTCCGTCTAAACTGCGTCGAGGCGCTGGCTGCCGCTTTCTATATATGCGGACATGCCGATTGGGCGGAGGAAGTTTTACGACCATTTAACTACGGAGAGTCTTTCTTAAACATCAACTCGAAGTTATTGAAGAAGTATGCCGCCTGTGCTGATGAGGAGGGAGTTATCAAGACTGAGAAAGAGTGGTTGGAACGATTAGAACGCGAACATGCCGAGAGTAGAGAAAATGCGGATGATGACGACTTATGGAAGGGAGGCAATGTCAATCGCAGGGAAATTATCGACTCCGATGACGAGGAGGATGATGATGATGATGAAGATGAGAGTGATGACGAGGGTAAAGATGAAGGTGGGGACGAAGATGGTGTCGATGGAATATATCTTGGTAAGAAACCGACACAATGGCCTAAACCTGGGGAGGACATAAAAGATCAGTCGGAAGGAGGAGCAAGCAGGGATCCCTTTGACATCTCAGACGACACCGACGACGATGCCGCGATGGAAGAAATCCGACGTAAGGTCCTAGCATCCAAACCGTTTGCCAACTCAGGCGATGTCGACCAGAAACCAAAACCGCAGGCGATACCTCCACCTCAGCCACAAAGGTACCAAGTCGATTCCGACGCAGAGCCAGACTCTGACAACGGAGAAGACGTTGATGGCGACGACGCGTTCGATAGCATCATCGATGCTACGCCTGTTACGGATAGGATTGGACTAGCCAAACTTGAGAAAGAGAGGTCAAAAGTCAACGTCATGAGTCGGACATTCACGTCCGGTGGAGCGTCGGCACCTAAGAGATGGTGAGCGGATACCTAACGCTTGTAGGAGATGTATCTGGTTAAACATGCTATTACATGATTAATTCTCCTCAGTCTCTACTCTTGTTGTGAGTATTCCTTGGGCCTACTGGATGTAATTGGGACACATCTAATCATCGGTATGCTATTAAACTATGACGACCCCTTATATGAACAATCGGTCCCAAGTTGTCTGCGGTTCGTAATACGTTCCGAGGATGGAGCCATGAGAATAGCTAACTTCGTTGACACGCAAATTCTACACTAGGTGATTGAGTTGAAGGTAAGTAGCTCTCATTATGTAAATTGTAAATCAGTACCTACCCATATACAATTATATAGCCATTAGCCCATTGACATCCATACTTAGGTACATAGTACTATTTCTAAAAATCTTATGAGTAAATGAACTTGGCATATTTCCTTGCACGAATATCGCCCTGAAATGCCACGATATGCATTATGTAATGATAATGTGGCTAAAATGGGTGGCTGAAATCCCACTTCTACTTCGTAGGTACGCTTCCACCGCGACTGAGCCGTCTTCTAATTGATTTGTAAACTCATACAACATCAATCGAAGAACAAGAATGCATAGGTAGTCGCTACGAATACTCTACGACGATACCGATATAGTGTGGAAACTTATCGAAGCCTTTTATTCTTGTTCTTGAATTTTCAACAGCCCAGCCCGCTAGTGTCTAGGTCTCCCCCATCGGTTAGTGCACCTGTAGCAGATATCCATGCTATAAATTGGTAAACATCGAAACATCGCACTCTACCCTCTGGGCACTTATTCATCGATATTACTATCAAGATGATACAGCCTTGAGCCTTAAGTACTATGTAAACCTACCTGCTTATACTATGCAGTATTTAGGTCGGTTCATAGGAACGCGTATGACCTATCGTTCTTAGCTTAGGAAGACGTTATCGGGACCAGATACCTCTGCATTTAATAACGCCGGGAATGGCCGATCAGAATCGACTTCGGAAACGAACCCGATGATTCGCTAAAGATTACCATCCCGGTCCTCACTAGTAGGTAGGCCGATATCTACTATAGTACAAAGACTATGGAATTACCACACGACGAGGAGCCGTTGCTTCGAACTGCTCATCCAGAGTCAAGTCGCTGTCAAAATTATTCCACTATGACTTCTGCAGAGGAGATCCCGGTAGCCGCCGTGTCTAACGGTGCCGGCGACGATGTAGTTGGTAATATCGATAAGAATGAAGCTCGTCGTATATTACGGCGCATCGATTGGCGCATCATGCCGCTTCTCTTTCTTACCTACGCCCTGAATTTCATGGATAAGACTATTTTATCCAGCGCCGCAGTGTTTGGTCTAAGGCAGGATACTCATCTCAAAGGGTCGAATTACTCTTGGGTCTCTAGCGTCTTCTACTTTGGCTACTTTCTTTGGGCTTATCCCACCACTCTGTTGATCGCTCGCCTGCCGATCGCTAAATATCTAGCTGTCAACGCTTTTGTCTGGGGTGCGGTAGTCGCCTTGACGGCCGCTTGCACCAACTTCGGTGGTCTCATCACGGTGAGGTTCTTCCTCGGCGTTGCTGAAGCGACCGTCTCCCCAGCTTTGATGTTCATCACATCTACGTGGTATACCCGAGACGAGATCCCAACGAGGACTGGCATCTGGTTTGCGGGGAATTCTGTCGGCGGTGAGTCGAAAGTACCTAAGGTACGCTACCATGAATATTGAGATGCTGACTCTAGCAGGCATCGTCTCATCACTCCTTGCTTATGGACTTGGTCACATCACCGATAACGTCCATCCGTGGCGTTGGATGTTCATCGTCCTCGGTATTGCAACGTTCCTACTCGGATTTGGAGTACTCTTTCTACTGCCGGACACAATTTCGAACGCTTCGTTTCTGACGCCTCAAGAACGGCAATGGGCTGGCGACAGGGTTGTAATAGCCGGTACAGGTCGCACGGAGAAAACTACCTGGAAATGGGATCAGACCGTGGAGTGTCTACAAGATCCCAAGACGTGGTTGATCTGGTCTATCGCGTTACTCTGCCAAATCCCTAACGGCGGTACTCAGAATTTCGCCAACTTAGTAATCACCTCGTTTGGATTTACGTCGCTTCAGTCAACACTTATTAATATTCCCTATTCTTTGATTTCCGTCATGGCAATTTCCGGAACCGGGTGGCTAGCCGGACATTTCCGGTCGCTGAATTGTATCCTCATCGGTCTGATCGTTATCCCGCCCGTTGTCGGCTCTGCGCTGATCGGGAAACGAGGCTCGATCCCTCACGGCGCTTCCCTATTCGGATATTTTCTTCTATCTACGGGACCGGCAGCGCTGCCCCTGCTTCTGTCCCTTATCCAATCTAATTATCGCGGCGTCACGAAGAAGATGACAATGACGGCAATGTTATTTATTGCTTATTGTACTGGAAAGTAAGTCGAAACCAAAGAGTTTTTTATTCAATATTTTTCAATTTATTTTAATCTATATCCCTATATATGTTTATTTATATTCGTGCTATCCTCATCTAACCAATCGCCAACTTATATAGTATTGTCGGCCCTCAACTATTCAAATCTACCGAGGAACCTACCTACGACACGGCATTCCGCGCTATCATGATCTGCTATGCCTTAGTAGTATGTCTCGCCGCGGTCCTTAGGCTTTATCTACAGTTTGTCAATACGCGAAGACAACGAGAGGAGGGAATCGAAGGAAGCGCCGGAGCGTCAGGTGCAGTTGGAGGTGGTAAGGTAGTCGACGTTGTCGATTCCCGTAACGTGACCGAGGCTGTGAACGAAGTCCAACTTAGACCGGAGGATTACGAGGATGTGTCGGATTGGAAAACTTTCGGTTTCCGCTATAGGCTCTAGGAATTTGGTTATCCATCGGATCCATGGATTCCGCCGAGGACGAAAACGATTCTAATGAGCATACCTACCTATTGTACAATCTAGGCACAGAAATTCTGAACATGCCCATCGGCAACACGTTCTTTCTGCTCTAACTGCTCCAACCCCGGAAGTTTCCAATGTCAGTAACAAGTATCTACTCAGGTGTCTACCAAGGTATATACTAGATACTAGTTACTCGATATAGAGAAACGACTTTCAAGGTTGATCTTTAACTCCATCTGTACAGACACTGGATTGGACCTCTACGATTTGCAACTGGCATCTAACGCCACCATTTCCGCCACATAGAATCCCATAGAAATCTACAGAAACCCCCTACCTCCAGAACCACGTCATTAACCCTCATCGATCTAATCACGAAAAAACGTGTCCAGAATAGGACACGGTCTGATAAATGACCTAGCAGCCCATCATGTCTTTCCCAGACTCTGATTCGCGAGATCTCCGGCATCATAATTCCAATTCTAATATTGTCATACCGATCACACCCTACCCAAGATACGAAGGAGGCTCAAGGTAAGCTTAACTCAAATTACTCGCATAACTATCGTTCAGAGGGGGTTGGACTGCATGTTTCTTTAAGGCAATACGGCACCGAAGCTCGACGGTGACCAATCAAGCAGCCATAACTTAACCCAAGCCAACCATCACGAACCAGAGGAGCTCGGTTCCCTGGATCTCGGATCTATCAATTTACAGAGCAGCTGCGGAGCTATCTCTACTCCGCATATTTGTAATTTCGAAATAGCATTTGTTGGTAATTATCTAGACTCTAGACTCTCGGACCTGAAGTCCAGACCGGAGCTGTTCGTCGTCGCCTGATCCTAGCTTGATCCTAGCTCGATCCCAAAATAGCTTACAAATTGAACGACGACCATTTCCAAGAAGCGGAGCGTACCTATCGAAAGATCCACAAGAACTATCTGGCTCTCGGAAATTGTGATCGCGTTCCCGTTGAACCTCACGATGCTACCACGTAGGTAAGAGCGAGTATTCGGACGTCGTCTCCACGAGCTTGGCAGAGGCGGACTAACTTAGTCAACTATAAAAAATGCCACGATACGTCTTGCGTGCGACGGAAGGATTTGAAATATGACGCACCTGCTTGGTCTATTCGCCAGCCACCGAGCCCTCCCTTTCGGGAGCCGACGCATGCTTAGCCTGCAGGCACGAGGTTATCTTTACATGGTTCTGGGCTCCCCACGCAACCAAGCCCTAGGGTATCTTCCCAGGAGGGACGCCATTCGCTCTGCTATTATTAACAGGAGCGAGGTTACGGGTAGAAAGGGAAAACGTTTCCTTTTACTCGTGGCGCATTTTGCCCCGGCTCTGATATGGTCCCAGCTATCCCCCCTGCCAGCCAATATGCGGCTAAATGGACGGCGCGCTATCAACGTCACCTTTTACTACCCTAACAGCCATTCCCTCGGCCCTTGTTTCTCCAATTGATACCTATTACGGCCTTCCGTATTCCGAACAAAGTGCTCTCCACGGGACGGAGGCTTTTTGTCATCGCGCTCGTGGATGTAGCCAAGACTCGAAGCACTGTAGATGCTTCACAGACGATTCGATGATCTCTCAGTTTACGCGGTTCAAGCTTGCCTCTGCCTACTCGCTGCTACGGACCCCGGCCCGCACTCCTTGTTATGTCACCGCGCATCTTTTGCTGAACCTAGATCCGGGGTGAAACTCGCTCTAATACCGAGTCGCTCAACGAATATATTTAATTGCTTAACTGCCTAGGACAGATCACCTTGGACATGTGAACTCCCCCTATCTCTGCCGGTCTCTGTAGGCTCTATATTACCACCTCATCAATTCGATAGTGCCGCTTCTCGTCACGCACGTGTTATAGGTAAGATCTTACCGAGGCCACGATTTTGCACATTTTTCTAACATGTCATCTTAGGTCTAAGGATAGAAAACTAAGATGCGTCTTAGCTTTGGTTTAGCATGCGTGGCCACGCTGTTGGGCCTCGGTACGTTACCCACCATTGATACACCTTTAATAACCTTGAAAGCAATGAATGAGCCAATGGGTGTATGATTGGACGAATGGAGAAATGGGAAAGTAGGGAGAACTATCGTGAGAGCTGAGAAGATGAAAAGCCGTGGAACTGAAGAGCTAACGTACGCATCACGCGGCTCGCACATGTAGCATCCGAAACAAACGCCGACGTGTATCGCGACCCTGACACTGGGTTCTCGTTCTCTCAGTACAACGCCCCGATCACGACAGGCACTTCCTATATTACTTTCCGCGTCGCGATCCCGAGCCCAGCTACCTCCGGCCAGCCCTACGACGTCGTCCTCCAGGTTGTTGCCCCGATATCCGCCGGCTGGGTTGGCGTTGCCTGGGGCGGTTCCATGACGAATAACCCTTTACTGATCGGTTGGGCAAATGGAGCTAGTTCGATGACATCCATCCGTCGCGCTACGTAAGTTAGAGCACTCTCTTTTGGACTTGGAGTGGTCGATATTATGTTACTACCTCCCCAGTGCCTACCCAGTAGGTAGTATATATGCTACCCATCTCTCTGCCCGGTCAGCTAGTGTTACGGAATATATACCAAAAGAAGGAACTGACATACGTTAGCTCCCACACGGCCCCTACAGCCTACACCGCTGGCAGTCTACAGCTACTCAAGAAGGGCTCCAAGAGTAACGGTACACACTGGCAATTCACAGCCAAGTGCACGGGATGTACTCAGTTCACGACCACCGGCACGACGACTAAGAGCCTTAACCCGGCCGGAAGCAACCGCCTCGCGTTCGCGTACGCCAGGACCAAACCCAGCCAACCGTCGTCCGAGTCTAGCCCGCTTAACGTTCACGATCTATTCAACTACTGGGAGCACGACTTCTCGTCTGCGGGCAACGCGGCGTTCCAGGACCTCGTAGATCGGAACTTGTGAGTGCGTGCGTTGATGAATTGATGAATCGAGGTGAGGCGTCGGCGGATTTCCTTATTAGATAATGAAAAACATTTATTTTCTTTTGAGACTTGAGAACCCCTTCTAACCGAACGTGTAAAGAAATTCTTCGCTTACATACAAATCGCCGAGGGAGTTAAAATTACGGAGAGGTATTCCGCCTTGAACTGTGAAAAATACGAGTTTGCGGGTATTGCGGGCGACGGTGTTGAGACTGGATGGGAGATGAGAGGCGCCCTAAGTACTAGGTAATTTTTATTGTCCTTTCAGATTCCCTTTCGATCAGGTACCGTTCATAGTGTATATAAAGGATAGAGCGTCTGCGTTAGGTCAGCTAGGTATCTGGGAGAAACAAGTCTTTAAATTGATTGGGTTACTTTGAATGTGTTCTGTTTAATTGTGTCCAAGTAGACTATCATGATGCAGGCTTACCGAGTATGCTCACCGGGTTGGTTATTGTCGTATCGATCAGGAACGCGATGTCTCATGACATCACATTCGAAGCAGAATACTACAGTGTTTGATTAAGATTTGAGTTGAGTTTGGTTCTCGAGATGTGGTTGTTCGCTGTAAGTACTAGGTACCTAGTACCTATATCTCACTATGTATTCAAGCCGCTGTATAGCTACCCCGCCCCCGCTGTATCTCCCTGTATATCACTATATTCAAGTACCAGGTAGCAAAATGGAGTATAATTATGCGAAAATTGTCGATGACAACAGCTAACTTCTAACAAATTTAACAAACATTGACACTAAACTACGTGTAAATGAATGCATCCATTCCCACCAGCGAGGTTTTCATCGACGATGTTATCTTGACTGCAATTCAACCTTCGCTGTAGGATCCATTTATCCCGCACCATTCGCACACTTCTCAGGAGACGTCGTCTAAGCCTTAATGGCCATCTCACCCATCGGGAGAGCCGAGAGCCCTGTATTTTGTCAGTACATATACGTATACATTGCTTACTCATTATCAATGAATTAGAAAGAGGTACTTACAGCCGTCAACATCCTCGGGAGCTTGTTGATCGATTGTGCAGGAGCTGTACTGGTCGGAGGTCTGGGCGTGGATGCCGGCGGTGGCGCAGTCGGTGTTAAGACCGCAGCGGCCGATGTTGTCCATGGCCTTCTGGAGCGTGTCGCCTTCCCAGCCGAAGAGGTAGTCACCGTGGGCAGCAGGGCCACTATGATTCGTTAGCAATCTCCCCATCAGCCAGCAAGGATTGAGATCTCTTTACTTACCCGATGTTCATGGAGTAGACGTACGGGTTCGAGCCGTCGGTCGGGAAGTCGGGGCTGTTGGCGAACTCGGTGACGTTCCACATCAGCTCGTACATGATCTGAGGGAGCTTGACGGGGTGAGTCGAGGGGCAGGCACCGCCACCAGTAGCACCGGAGCCGGCACTGTACGAGACGTGGCTTTGGTGGTCCGGGCTGTCGAGGTTCTTGCCATCCCAGCATCTAACGTCGGAGTCAGAAATTTACGATCCGACACTTCGGAGGTTATATACTAGATAAATTCTAAATTTCAATACTTACGTGGGGAAGAGGATGGTCTGTCGGATCATCTTGCAGTTCTGGCCCTTGGGAATGTCGACGGTGTCGGATCCGGTGCAAGGAGCACCACCGGTGAAGGTGTTCTCGTTGGGCGACAACCAGCATCGATGGCAGATGTTTGCCCTCTGGACCTTGGTGGCATCGGTGTTGGCAGCGTTACCAGCCAACATACGGAAACCCTAGTTCTCGTTAGACACCTGCAAGCTCCAAGATGGACAAGACTCAAAAAAAAGATAATTCGTTAAAAAAGAATTTACCTTCTTGAAAGCGGTAACCTTGCCGCTGGGGATGTAGTAGAGGTCGAGACCACCCTTGTTGATCAGCTTTCCTTGCGGTCCGCCGTTTCCGACCTGAGGAACTCTCTTGTATGTTCCGTTCTTGGCCTTGAAGAACATGACGGCGGTCCAGTAGTTGGACTTGTCCTCCTTGAATGTGCAGGACGTGCAGGTCGAGGCAGCCAGGTCGTGCACCTCGGGGTCCATGGTGACGTTTAGGGAGTTTCCACCGACCAGCTGGTGAAGGTGAGGAGTGTACTTCATGCCGGGGTTTACCAGGGGGTCGATACGGTCAACGACCAACTGAGAGCATGCGAATCGCAGCATAGTGTTGCCACCGAATTGGGCGGCGGCATTTTGCGCTAGGAGCGCTGCGGCAGCGAGGGAAGTCAGCTGCATCGTGACTTGATTCTACCTCGAACGTTAGTCGACGAGCCTTAGGAGTATCGGACGAGACGTTAGACGAAGTAACAGATGGTTAGCTGTGGTCTTTGAGGAGCACGGTTACGAAGTAGAATCCGGGGGCTGAAAACCTGGGGAAGTTTCGTGATGCCTGTTCCTACTTGTATGATTCGTAGGAGGGCGGTTTCGCGGGTCAGCGCCTACGAACTGCCGAGCCCGAAGAAGTCGTTCGAAGATTTCCTCGCCTTGGGCAATACTAGAACGATTGGCTAGGATCATTTCCCAACTTTGATTGTCTCGATTTCCGCATTTGGGATCATGGGCAGCCATAGTTCCGAGGGTTGATTGATTCCCTGGGCTTGTTCCTTCGACCCCTTCTGGCTGTATGTCATTTACCCGGTTATTTACAACTCCCAATTATAGAACGGCGATAAATGGCAGAGTAGCAGCAAGCCGCATCTGGTGCCAGGAAATTATGGGGCTAGGCAAATTCGGACTACCAAGTAGATATGTTTTGCCACTGGTGACAGTTATGCCCCTATACATGTGTTCTTGGTTGTCTTGCCCTAGTTGCCCTGATTGCCCTGATTGCCCTGGCTGGTTCAGTGGCCAAGTGGTTAAGTTTGATTAGGTTACTGAGTATGCTTCTAGATCGCTTGTGTGTGAGTTAAGCATGGTTCTTGTTGATTACCTAGGTAGATACGATTTAATGCGCTCCATGAACTTTCTGTCAAGTTCTATATTGTAATAGGTAATCATGAAGCTACCTAGGTATGCTTGCCAGAGTTAAGATCCGACGTTTAGGCCAACCCACGACGCTGTCGATGGCCGATCGACCCACGGAAATGTATCATCTACTAGGTACTAGGTAAATAGGAGGTAGGTAGCCTCACGACCGATCGTGCGGCGAAGATGACTAGACAACTAGGGTGCCGAAGGAGCGCCCGCCATTCACTATATCCGGTCGAAATCTCGGTCCTAATGTAGAGAGGAGGAAGCAGCGCCAAGGAGTTCCCTAAGTCCTCGTCCGGCATCCATACCATAGGAATTAATATTAACGCACATGCTAGTGTCGTCATCACCGAAGAAAACATAGACCATCGTCTATCTGATTCGTCTCGTCGCTAGATACAGATATTAGTACAATGCCTGGACTTTCTCATTGGACTAACATGTTGCCAAACCTTGTGACAATATCATGGCGTGGGGATGCCTGTCAGACGAGAGGTATCTACCTATGGCTAACTATCCTGTCGTCTCTATATTGAGGCTGCTTGTCAGGCCTTCTCTTTCCAAGTTCCCACCCAATAGATCGGTTAATTGTGCCGTCAGGTATAGGCGCTCGTGGGCAGTGACCACATGGCAGAGTAGACGAATTCCAAATCATCATTTTATGCATGTGCGACGGAGTCATTCTTAAATGACTTCACATCCACGGTCTCGTAAGCGAAACTGCCAGCTAGGCTTAAATGCGGCCCAAAATAGGCCCGCAAGTCTATAACCATCGATGAGGACTGTGAAGCAAGATAGATTGAAGATTCCTTAGTATCGAGATGTAATGAAGCCCACCATACATAGATCGTTTGGTGTTTATTGGAATTGAGGATGTGTCTAACCGGTTTGCCGGGACGAGATGTTTAGAGTAACTGGAATACTTGAGAATATCCGTCGGTAAGACGAACTAGATTCGATTCATGCTGCCGACATGATTTGCCCCTTAACACCTATTGTGATTATTCATCTTACTACCTAGGTAGGTAAAAACAACACATGATGTTGTTCCTAAGGTTCCAAGGTTTCTTCTGAAATGAGCGGGTATCAACGGCACTGTCAGAATGGTTTGAACATCGTCGTCTCAGAAAACGAAAACCCTTTGAAAAGCTGGATTAATTTGCTTGACGTGGCTACAACTAGAACATCAACTCAACAGCTCTGGCTGAATCCATATCGAAAGAACGTGATGTTCCGTTTCTAACTCCAATTGTTAGGTGGTTTACATACCTAAACGAGTGATGGACATCTGAGCTGACTTGACCAATATTGACGATTTCGAATGCCTACCTAGGTAGTCTCCAAGCCTGATCCAAGCTTCCTCATGCCTCGGTAGATCTGATGCTAGAGAACGTAATAATATAGATGTATACCTACTAGGTAAGTAAGACAGACATGCAATGTAGTGATGACTAAATCCCCTTACCTTAATTAGATAATTAACTGTCCCAAGAGTGAAGTCACGTTGGTATACTCTTGTCAAGTAACCCTTCGCATTATCGCGACAATGATCGAACCTCACGGGCATTATTCCGTGGGTTCGCTAGATCATTCACCGAATTATTAAACCTCCTTATCTTTCGCCCAACGCCGGCAACCCTAGACCCCTGGCATCTCGCTATCACGCTTGCGATAGATCTCGGTACATGCCTAAAAAAGTCGGAATGTAACGTTGGCACGATTTGAACGCCGATTGAGCGGGCGAGGTGCCACGGACCTGAGGGCCGGCATGAAAGATTTGAATTTTCGTCTTTATTACCTACTTATTACACATGACCAATTGTTATGTAATATCTGTGGACTGAAAGTAAAGTAATCAGCGACAATGGTGGTGGGTTATAGGACTCTTACCGGTCTTCTCTATGCGACTGTGGGTGCGGTGTTTGCCGCGGAGTCACACCTTGAGCCGTCTGGTTTACAGGTAAGTTTCTTTCTGTGTAATGTGATCCTGTCCACGGTACCTACCTACCTACCTACCTACCTAAATATGTCCAATAAGAGATTGTCATATTCGAGAGATTATCATATCCGAAGAAATAGAGCAGGAGGGATGGCCTCATCACGATCGTGTTCCAAGGTTGTTCCTAGGTATAGGGCTAATACGTAAAAGTCTACCCCTCTTGATCTATCACCGTTCTACAACAACAAAGCCTTTGGGACGTATCCGGGCGAGACCTCCTTCGATACATTGGGTCAATCGTATCCGGCGCCGGATCTAGGGACACCCTATTACACGTCTAGCGACACAGGCATAGTCTACTCGTTCCCGGGATATACCGGACCTGACAAATCGGATAATGTTATAGTCGACGGTCAGACTATAACCGTATCCGCCGGGTCGTACTTCTCGGCTTCGTTCCTGATATCTGAAGATAAGCAGGAAGCTATAGTATCAGGGAACGTGACTTTTACATATACCGATAATAGCACGTCGGTATACGAACTACGTTCCTTGGATTGGTTCAGCTTCCTGACTATCAATCGCGGCGAGCTGATCTTCCCAAGTCGCTTCACCGCGACCGGCGTGGACTACAATGCCAGCCACATCTTCGAGCGCAGCGCAGCATTGAGTCCGGGCAAGGAATTGCGCGCTATCTCTCTGCCAAAAGCGACAAATGCAAGCGATGGCAGATTGCACGTATTCGCTATCTCGTTATGGACCGGTAGTTCGGTAGTAGATGTACAGTCAATTCGTCCAACTCAGAAATGGATTAGCAGTGGCGTACAAGCAGTCGAAATCACGTTGAATAATGCGGGATCCGAATGTGTTGCGGGTGATGGCTTGGCCTTGACCCTTTCGGGGGACAGTCTTCAGACGACCGGAGAAGGACATCTCAAGCGTTTATGCCCTGGAGACCAAAAAGTCGTCACTATCGGGGTAGAGACCTTGGAGACCCCCTCGGAGGCTATCAACGTCTCGGTAATCCTGAACTACGATGGTAGCGAACGGAAAACCGAGTTCAGCGACGTCCAATTCGGGTTGATGGAGTGGACTACAGACCTTGAGAATCTTGCAAAACACGAGAGTCCGCAATGGTTTAACGATGGCAAATATGGAATATTTATCCATTGGGGTCCGTACGCCGTCACGGGATGGGGAAACTCGTCGCCGCACGAAAGTTATGCGGAATGGTTTTGGTAGGGATTCCCAAGCCCGCCACCCCTCTCTACTATTTCTGAAGTCCTCACTAACTAGAGAAAATGCAGGTGGTACACAACACACCACCCTCAAGCTGATGCCTCGGACTTTTATGACTACCGGCTGCGAACATACGGCAAAGACTGGGCATATGACGATACCTTCCCAAACTTTACAGCGTCGGCCTACGATCCGAAGGAATGGGTCGATCTGATCGCCGACGCAGGCGCCAAGTACTTCGTCATAACGTCGAAGCACCACGATGGCTTTGCAATCTTCGACCCTGGCAACTCTAGCAACCGATCTGCTTTGAACTATGGCCCGAAACGGGACCTAATGGGCGAGTTATTCGATGCAGCCGCAACGTACCAACCACAGCTCAAACGGGGGACCTACTTCTCGCTACCGGAGTGGTTCAACCCTGATTTCGGCCCATACGGTTTCGATCAATTCGACCCAGCTCTCGTACCAGGAACCACCAGTTGGCCCGGCGTCCCAGCAACAAACCCATACACGGGCGTCGTGGAGCCGTATACCGGACATATCCCGGTCGACGATTTTCTCGAGGACGTCATGCTCCCGCAGATGAACACATTGGCGTACACCTACGGCACAGACATCATGTGGTGCGACTGCGGGGCCTCGAACGTGACCGCGACGTTCGCCTCGTCTTGGTTCAACGCCGCGCGTCAGCAAGACCGACAAGTCGCCATCAATAGCAGGTGCGGTGTCGCTCAAGCCGCCGACTTCGATACACCGGAGTACATGCGATTCGGGTCGGCGCAACGAAGAAAATGGGAGAGCAACCAAGGGATGGATCCGTACAGCTACGGGTATAATCAGGCGACGCCGGCGGAGGCTTACATGAATGCGAGCACGTTGATCTACACGCTTGTGGATATCGTGTCTAAGAACGGGAATCTGCTGCTCGACATCGGACCCCGCGCCGACGGGTCTATAGTGCAAGAGGAGGTGGACCGACTTCGCGAGGCTGGACGTTGGATTAAGAGCCACGGGGAAGCTGTGTTTGATACGACGTACTGGTTTGTGCAGAGCGAGATCCCGGGGGGTCCTGATGTGAGGTTCACGCAGACGGAGGAGGCATTTTACGTGTTATTCCTAGAACGACCAGTGGTAAAGGACGGGGTCGTCGATATTGCGGCGCCGGTGCCTGTGTTGGAAGGCGATAAGGTTAGTCTGCTGGCTGTTGAAGGTGGTGAGAAGTTGGCGTGGAAAGTGATCGGACAGGGCAGTCAGACGGTCCTAAAAATCGAGGTTACCGATGTGCTCTTGGATAAAGAGGAGTTTTGCTGGGTCTTTAAGATTGGGTATGCGTGAGGTCGCTGTAGTATTAGTGTGTTTTAGGGCTGCTCTAGGGCGACTGTAGCACCTGGGCAGCTTTAGGCCTTGGATATTGCTATTCTCGGACGCTATAATATACTGGTTTAGCGGTCGGGACCCTTCACTCGCTGTACCTACTGGGTGCCTAATAGCACCGGACTTACTATTCAGGAACCCCTCGTTTATCGTTGACGATGAGCTTTCTCTGTATTACAGTCACTGATCTTTCAGAACCCGCCTATAATAGTTCGCTCATGCTGCTTGCTGCATTCCTATTTGAACCTCGGAATTGGAAAGGGTATCCAGTCTAGCTAAGTCAATATGCATCCTTTAAGAACTCCATACATAAAATGCTCCAATGGGCCCCGAATTTTGGTCATCCCGTCGCGATTCCGCTTTAAATCCGTATAAAGTCGCCTCGTAATTCTTCGCCGTTACTCCAGCGTCACTCTTCTCAACTCCCTGGGAAGATCTGGCGGACTTCTCCCATTTCTATACTGCCACAACCGACTTAGGTCCTTCACCCTCACATTGCCGTCATTGATCTCGTCGTCTTCATGGAAGCTACCATGCACCGCAACCTCACCCTTGACGATGCTTCCCTTCCGACCCGCGAGCTCAATCAGAGACCAATTACTATCAACAGCCTCGCGCAGGTTATCCTTCTCCGCGCCTTTCTTGGCTACCTCCACGATGCTGCTCATAAACTCGTTGCGTTCGGCACAGCCGATGAATTCACCCTTGGCATTTCGCGCGAGAGGAAACATCCCGTTGAGATAGTGCTGGCAGAATTGATGTCCGCCACGTGCGGAAGTACGGCTGAACACGCGACCGATGTACCGAGGCATCTCTGGAGAGGCTCTCTCGTTCGTTACGAAGTGCAAAATGCCCCATAACGCGACGAAGTCGGTCGTATGAGCATAATGTTCGACATGCGCAATCGCGCGGTCAGATGCAGGTACGGTGTAAGCCGTTGCCCGCGACATGTCCGACTCCTTGGTGGTAAGTGTCGGGACACGCCCATTGGCTTCGAAAGAATACCCGCTACCGTTTGATAATCGCCTCCTCGACGCTAACGAACGAGTTTCGATGGGGGAGTTGGTAAGTGGGACTTCCGTAATAGTGGTAGGTATGAGAGTATCCGTCCTGGGAAGTTTATTTTCGGCCTCCTGGGAGTCGACATGTCGATGAGGATTGTTAAAATGATTAGACGCGTTCCCGAAAGTGTACACCTCGAGCTTAGCTAGGAGATCTTGCGGCAGCTCTTGAAGAAGCCAGTCCAACACTAAACCTCCTTCGATCCCTCCCTGAGAATGCAAGATGAACACCACTTTCGAATACCGCGGGTTGTACAGCTTCTCCTTGATGATCTTATAAGCTAGTCGAATGTCGCTCGTAGCATATCCGAAATTTCGCTGTATCAAACATTCTACGACATCAAATATGACGCCCGTAGTGCGATTATGAACGCCTATGATGGGCCGCTTGAAGGTGAGGGCCAGGCGATTGATGTTGCTTTTTAACCAAGTTTCCCTAAACGTTCGGGGTTAGCGAAATCGAGCTCGACGACCGTCACGAGGTCACACGTCACACATACCCGACGGCCACGCCGTTTAAGAAAATCCACTGCTCGTGCGCGTGTTCATCTAATGCAGGCGCGTATTTCGGATCAGAGTGAAACGTAATGGTGTTCCCGTTCAAACCCAGACACAGCAGCCAGTTTACCGAGAAGAAAACGCCCCACCACAGTATCACCATCCAAGCTGGCAAGAGGAGAGCTAGAGGCAGCGTTAACACGAAGAACGTCTGCATAACTATGAGAACCGAATGAATGCCGATGCATAACAAGTTATCCCACGTAGACGAGAGCTCGTCGAAATGATCTCCGTCGCAAGGTCGAAGAGGCCACAATACCCAAGGTAAAGCCCAAGCGAAGGTGAAGAAGTATTTCACATCCCACATCATCAACTTCCAGGGCATATCGGTATAGCTGTAGCTGATGACGGACTCGCCGCCGACCTGAGAGCCGAAGAACTCGGTGCGATCCGCTCGATCCATGACGGGCCGTTGAAAACCTTGTCGTCGCGTTCCATCTGATCGAGCGAAGATGTTTGACATGTATAGGAGACCGCCAACCATACCAACGAGGACGCAGCCGAAATAGATAGAAAAGTCTAGAGCGGAAAAGAGAGCCCCAACGTCGGGGTAGCAACAGCGTTTTATTACACCTAGGATGCGCATCCTCGTGCCTGTCAGCCACCTACTTTACCTCCCTTTCCCAGTTGCCTAGTATGTACTGCCAGAAAAGCTAAAAACCCCCCAGAAATATACCAGAAATAAACTAGAAATATACTAGAAGATGCCTAGTCCCCGGCCGTAAGAGTCACAAGGAAAGACAAAATGCACGGTGGCTTCTATGGCGTCGGCAACGGCACGCAACGGCACGCAACAGCCGTGCTGCGCATTCCGTACTGGCGTACCGTCGCATCGTGGCCAGGTAGCGCCCTTTACAGGGCTGAGACGCTTCACCCTCGGGGTCCATTTTCGCATCTACGACCAATAGGAGCCGTCCTGTAAGAGTGTGAGTTGGTCACAAATCTGGGTCATCTGAGCTTAGGGGCTGGGCGCTGTTGGGGTGTCGAAGCGCTAATTGGACATGTCGGAGTCCAGTTGGAATCCAGTTGGAACCCGGCTGGAATCCGAGCTGCGGAGGTTGAAGGTTGAAGGGAAGATGGTGAAATAGAAGGCCCTGTAGCCTACGGATATTTTGTATTGGAATGTCTGATTCCATCATTATTAGAGGCTATTATTAGGGGTCTTACTCATCGGCATTGCTCCTGATTCGCTAAAATCCGCCGGCAGTTGCCTCAGACTCAAAATCCCTTGCCGGGTGCCGCACCTAGCTCTGGGCTCTAGCACCTAGGCAGGTAAATGCGACATGCTTTGATAACTCCATTGGTCAATAGGAAATGGGTTCACGTGGTTCATTATAGGTAACAGAGATCTTAGTAGGTTCGATTAGGACCTACACTACCTACCTATCTATACACATATCTCTATGGATAACATGTATTTTCATTGCTTTTGGGAAGAGTTAAAGAACCATGCGACGCTAGATTGCGAGAATTATTTATCTGGTATGAATCTTTCTATATCAACCTGTCGAGCTAATTGGCATATACAAAAATGTGTAGCCCCTAGAACCCTTAAAGCTAAAGCTACAAGCTCCGCTAGATCTTCACTATTATCTTCTACAATTCAATGTCCCCTTCTACATAGATAGCCTAGAGCATCCCACTATCCCGCATATCTATACCTATCCATACAAAGAATACCTTCATGACGACGCCTATTCCCGAATTCTATATTACATTCCGAGTTCTTATGCCTGGTGGGTTATCCAGGTAATTCCCCCAAGGGTTGGTTGTGAGGAAGCTCCTTTGGCGGTCCTATCGAAGCAAGTTCTGATGGGTTTCTGGAACCTTGGGTGTCGGTATTATATTGCCAAAAGCGTGAGGAGTACTCGCTGTTATCGTTCATATAGACGTTGCTGCTATTGTTGTAGTCGTAGTTGTCGTTGGTGTTGTTGATGTTGTTGCTGATGTTATTCGTCTCATCCATCTTGGCCTTCCTCCTGCGATGCAGAAAGTAGAATGCTAGAATAACCAATATAATAAAGCCCGCTGCGCCGACTGCTATTCCAGCAGTTGCTCCCGAAGATATCGAAGACTGGGATTGTTGTCGCTCTTGACTATTGCTCTGTGTTGGAACGGGACTACTGCTGCTTGTCGACGTAGTAGAAATGCTGGAGGTGGTAGACGAGATGTCCGTAGAAAATGCATTTGTCTGAGAGGCCGTGGCAGCAAGCTGCATCAAGTCGGCATAGCCGATTTCGCATCGTACATTGCCCTCGGCGGCTTGGTATCCAGCAGAACACCTGGTTAGTCTAGGACAGCACGCGCTCGTCGTGTTCGGTGCAAGGTTGACACAAGCTACAGAGTTTTCCGAGCCACATACGGAAGGTTGGTCGACGTAGCAGTCCTGGTTGGTGCCGCTATTTCAAGCGTGAGCGACAATTCTAACTTCGAGGTTGTAGGTTGAGATTGTCAAAAGGCCACGAGGGACTATAGGGCTATAGGAAGGACATAGAAAAGGCATAGACAGGGCATAAGAGGTAGGGCTGTAATACTTTCCCACACAACACCACCCTATCCCCAACTCTTGTTGACATGATGGGAACACCTCTCCTTTTTGTACGCCTTGTCTAGTAGTTAGAAGATGATATGTCCCGAATATAGGTGGTACTTACAACAGAGAGTGTTACTAGGACTACATATTGAATTGGACCTGGAGGAACCGAAGGCGTCTGAGCATACATCCCTTTCGAAAATGTTTGCGTTGCTTGCGTTAATTACGTTGCTTGCCGGACCTGGAATTGCAGACCAGGAACCAATATTTCTACGCTGTCGACTCACTTGTGCCCGAGATTTGGACAAAACTGACTGTAAGAAAGCCATCGGATGGGTTTTTGTACGTTGAAATGAAATAATACATACTAGGTTGGTATCTCTACTTGCTTAACAATGAAGACAAGGTGACAAATGAAAGATAGCTACTAGGTAAGCCATCCATATGATTAAAAAGGCCATGCTCACCTTACACCATCCTCTTCATACCTAGTACTAGGTAGAATAGTAATCGGTTCAACATCTACTATGTAGGTAGGAAGAAGTGATTCGGCTGCAGGTTACGGTTACATTCGCGCATTTCTCAATCTTAATATTCAGCCAACATGCAGGCTGGCGAGCCAATGCTATAGGCTCATCCTTGTAGAACCATAGTATCGGAAGCCACTCAAAAGCCAGCGTGCTAGGTATATTAATACGAGACGCCAGGGTAACACCAACATGAGACATAACTTGAAGTGTTCGACAAATGATATGATATGATAAGTATTGATGTACTCGGTGTGTCTGGTATTCACCAATGAACTTACGATCAACTTTCATAATAACGCCAGCGCGGTTACATGCGTCAACGAGCTGTACCTGGCTGTCTGGCTGTCTGGATAGCCTGGTAAACTCCCCATAAGCGCGGGGACCGGAAACCAACAGCCTTACGTCGTCAGGCCGTCTGCGCAGTACCTAGGACTTGGGTACTGCAAATCTTGCTTATTCTTGGATTAAGATGCAGACCATGCAGGTTCGATGTTCATTGCGATCTAAAAGCGGGTAGGTTATATGCACCTGGCAGTAGGTATGTATTGTATTACACATGTAGGGTACATTGTAGGCAGGTACACACTGGGTAGGGACTTACCATGCATCTCTGTTTGTTGGCTTAGTTCCAAGCTGTGTAACGAACTTTGGAAAGGACGATTTAGAGGAGTACAACTGGGAAGACTTGTTCTTTGAAACCGACTCCCAATTTCCTCCATCGATCTTTTATCACATACCTTTAAAATTGACCTTATATCGTATTGAAATTTCGATCGGTCTCGATGCGGGTAATCTCAAGATGTTGGCAGGTAGTCGCTCGCGATATCGTCCCATCTATGTCCTAGTCTCCATCTTCCTCTTCTCCATTTTACTCCTCCGCCAATTTCGAAGCAGCACTGCCCAGCCACAAACCCAGCCGCAAGATATCAAGAATCCCACTAGCGGCAATGCGGTTAAGATTAAACCACAGCCGAGCGCTCGTCGCGAAACAGAGATCGTGGTGGCAAGCACGTTAAAGGAGGACGCCTCGTGGGTTTACCGACACTTCCCGGAATGGAACCCGAAAGTATACATAGTCGACGATCCATCGACGCTCCTGAGGGTGCCGAAGAATAAGGGGCGCGAGGCTATGGTATATCTTACGTACATAATCGACAACTACGACGACCTGCCCGAGACGACGATCTTCGTCCACGCGTCGCGCTTCCAATGGCATAACGACGATCCTGATTACGACATCGTACCGACACTGCGTAACTTCCGGCTTCCGTACGTACGCCAAGCAGGTTACGTCAATCTCCGCTGCGTGTGGGTCATCGGGTGTCCGGCTGAGATCCGACCATTTGACGATGAGGAGAACGGTGTAGATGAAGGACGGGGTGAGATTACGGATGGAAAACAGCCCACCGCCAAGGGGATATTTCGAAGAGCCTTCGAACAACTGCTCCCCGAAGTTCCCGTACCGAATATCGTCGCAGTCAGCTGCTGCTCACAGTTCGCCGTGTCTAGAGATACCATACGAAGGCATTCGAAAGAGAGGTATCTGCGTTTTCGAGATTGGCTACTCTCGACGCCGTTGGAAGACGGACTAAGCGGGCGAGTGATGGAGTTTTCGTGGCACAGTGAGTCATCTACCCACTATCCAGGTATTCATGCTAACCATTCCCAACGTAGTCATCTTCGGAAAGGAGGCATACCATTGTCCTTCGGCGAAGGAGTGCTATTGCAACGTCTTCGGGTTGTGCGATATTCCATGTACGGACTCCTCATGCGACGGGAGATATATCTTGCCACCGTTCTCGACGTTACCAGAGGAATGGCCGAGGTTAGGATGGGAGCATGAAGATCGGGGATATACGGGGTCTTTAGATTAGTACTTCATACTAGTAAGTAGGTAAGAAGAGGTCGCGTCTCCCAAGTGGACTATTAGGCACCTAAGAAGTACCTAGTCGTCAACTTACGAGGATGATGCACCTGCTGCGTATTTTAATATGTCGGTTTAAGGGCAACACTATAACTGTTGGGATTAGTAGCATCCACGAATATCTTCACGACTCTCATGTCACGAAAGAAGATGACTTTAAGTTATGACATTGGTGCGACGCGCAAAGCACGCTGTAGTGGACGTTGGTCATCCACCCCCTGTAAACACACCAATAGTTTGTGCCTTGGCGTTTGGGTACTAGCGCTATCGTCCTGATCGGGCAAGTGTTTTAGCGTGCCAAGGTACCCGACGCTGTTAATGTTAGGTACATTCGTTACGTCAACTTCAGCTCCCACATCTAAAATGCGAGCTACTACTATGTTCTCAATTCTCAACTTCTATCAACTTCTAAATGATCATCCGCTATCTTGCGACTTTGTGCAAACATCACATACCACTTGGTAGTTACTACGAATAAATTTTATCATTTAATCATCATGGAAGATCCGGTAATCACATCGCCAGGGATGTCTGTGACTACCCCGAAGGTACTCATCATGATGGCTGACTATGGCCACGATCCCACAGGTTTGTACTATTCCGAGCATTTTCAACGTAGATCAATATTTCGCAAAATTTCTCGAAACCCCTCGACCCGCGCATATCTTTACTCCAAATCTCACTATTTCTATCTAGAAACTGCTGTGCCCTATACCTCGTTCAAAAACGCGAACTACGATATCAAATTCGCCACCGAAAGCGGAAAACCACCCCGATGCGACAAGAAGATGTTGGAAGGATTCACACAGAAGCTACTCGTACGCCATGACGGCTCGTGATAGCGAACACGGGAACTCATCTACAGATCCTAATAACCTAGCAGGGTGCCAAGAAGGAAGTTATCTCCATGTACAAGAAGATGGCTATAAGTGAGGAGATGCGCCATCCCCTCTCGTGGTCCGACCCCGACTTCTCTCTCGATCCTTTCGACCTCGTCATCTTCCCCGGAGGCCACGACAAAGGGGTTAAGCAGATTATCGATTCGCCCATCGTGCACAAGCTCGTGGTAGATTACTTCCCTAAGACTAAACGGCCGAATAAGAAGGTAGTGGGTGCGGTCTGCCACGGCGTCATGGTCTTGTCCGAGTCGAAGGATGCGGATGGAAGGAGTGTTATACGCGACTGCAACACAACAGCTCTGCCGGCAAAATTCGAACAAATCGCGTACTGGGGAACTAGGGCAGTCCTCGGCGACTACTACAAGACGTACGGTCACGGAAGCGATAACGTGGAGGACTCGGTAAGTGACGATTGCACGACATTCTCGATGTCTTTTTAGTGTCCTCTAGGTACCTTCTAGGTGCATTCTGGGTGCGTCCTGGGTGCATCCCGGGTGCCTTCTAAGTGCCTTTGGGGTATCCTCTGGGTATCTTCTAAGCCTCGTCAGCTAACTAAATACGTTCACAGGTCAAAAAAGTCCTTGCTGATCCAGCTCAGTTCAAGGGCGACTTGAATCCCGCACCGTAGGTCTCCTTCACATGGCGTCCCCCGCGGTACCTACCTAAGGTATCTTTACACTCGTATCCTCTGCTCACGATCTGCTTCTAGCTTCATCGTCGAAGACGAACAGTACAACTACATTAGCGCTCGATATCCGGCCGACGCAGAACTGTTTGCCGAGGAGATTATCAAACTCTTCGATAGTTTCCACAGGATTGTCTAGGCATATTCTAAGTAGTTCTCTGGATTGTTCTGAATTGTTCTCTGCTTTAACTTCAGCACTGTCGATACCCTTGGCGTGGATATTGAAGTGCTATATCCTATCACGAAAGAATGATCTACCTACGATATATGCGTCATGACAATTTAATAGTTCAAAATCAACTTGATCGCTTCGTCGACACCTGATGCTATCACTGACGGGGCACGCTTCTCATCTAACCGATCTATCCAACCTTTGCCGGATCTATCGATGAAACTCGCTTTCAACCCTGCGGCCCTCGCGCCGACGATATCAAATGGATTGGCGCTTACAAGCCAGACGTCACCCTTGTCCTCTTGTTTTCCGACATGTTCGAGAAGATGGTTATAGCTTCTCCTGTCCGGCTTAAAACACTTGATATCATCAACGGTGATTAGCGATTTGAATCTTCCAGAGTGAGGTCCTAGATCCGGCGATGTTTTGATCGAGTTTCCCACCATCTCTCCGGTGCCGTTTGAGAAGACGTAAGCTTCGACCGAATCGCCATTTTCTTCCAGAAGCTTCAACGCGGAAGGTATTTCTGGAAAGACGTGTAACGCATCATACGATCTCATGAGAGCATCTGTGTTTTCCGGAGCTAGCGTGAGACCATGTTCCGCTACGGCGTGATGTAGAGCATTTCGTGTTATCTCGCCGAATGTTTTGTATTCTCCTAGATCGTCTTATTAGAAGAAAATGTTCAAGAATATTCGAAAATAGATTAACATCCATGGATAATCACCAGGGCTAGGCCATACCCATGCTGTTAATCCGCCACGTGTATTCCAGCTGATACCGTCGCCATAACGCAGCTAAAGACTTTGCCTGATCTTGGCCGTAAATCTTTGCTAGCTCGTCGGCGATCGATTCGGTGGACAATAGAGTCCCGTAAAGATCAAATGCGATAATCGTCTTAGGCGCCATGGCCAGATCCCGTCTAGCTTGTACCCGCTTTCGATACTGAAGCTTCAAGACGGTAAGTGAGTCAACCGGGAAGAATTAGAGGGGATTAGTGGATATTTAGGGGATATTTAGGGGGGCATCCCCATATCTCCCCCTACTTTAACGCGATGAGGAATCAAGCGATTTGTCATTGTCCGCTGTCGCTAATCATGCGGGGTAGCTGAATGCTAAATTGGGGTAGTTACCCGCTAAGGCGTCGTCTAAAGCATTCTGAATAGCTTCGGATAGGATCCTATGTTAGTAGGTAGGTACCTATACTGATGCTGTGCTGACTTATCCGGGTACTTGGTAACTTATCTAGTACCTAGGAGGTAGGCACCTACCTAGCAGCCTACTTAGTACCATTTAATTGTATTGATAACCTAACATAAAGCAGTATCTTCAATCTATGAATTCAAGGCCTTGTCCACGACACCAATTATCTATGTTTATTCTAAATCTAACAGAATTGGTTCAAATCATTGGATATTCCATGTATCATAGGCCAATAAGATGATGACGATACCAGAGGACCAACAGAGGAACTACGAGATATTCCGAGATTGTCTCTCGACAGCGCTCATAGAGAAGATCTCACAACCAGAACCAAAAACGAAGCGAAAGTTCAGATCGAAAAAGCATTCCACCGGATCGCCAGTACAAAGCAGAAACGCCACGACAACACCACACCTAGGAGTAGATGCAAAGGCACAGACGGAAGCAAAGGCACAAATAGAAGCAGAAGTAGAAGCAGATCCAGACCTCAGCAACGCAGATTCCCTCGCCGACTTCGCAGATTACATCGCAGCCGAAACATTCCCCGCGCTCCCTGCCGAGCTCAAAACCCTCGACTACTACTCTTACGTCAAAGATACGGATCTACAATCGCGGTACGCCCTTCCATTGACTGGCTTCGACACCCCGCTACTGCTCCCCTCCCTCGACCCCTCCGTCGCCGACTCCCTGTCCGCGTACGCGATAACCAGTGAGCCCACCCAGGGCGTCGACGAGTTCCTCGCTCCGATCTTGACTTCCTATCTTACCTCCCTATCTACGCCGCCTCCAGCCCCGCGCGCAACATTGAGAGAAGCGGAGGGTTGCGAATTGTGTGGTAGGGATTGGATTAATCTTTCGTACCATCATTTGATACCGCGATACGTCCATGCGAAAGCGGTAAGGCGCGGTTGGCATCGAGAGGAAGATTTGCAGAACGTGGCGTGGCTGTGCGGCGCGTGTCATCGATTCGTGCATCGGTTCGCGGGGCATGAGGAGTTGGCGCGGAAATATTATACAGTGGAGTTGTTGATGGAGGAGGAGGGGGTGAAGAGGTGGGTTGATTGGGTGGGGAGGTTGAGATGGAAGGGGAGGTGATTTTTTTTTTTGATTTTGTAAGAAGGTTAAGAGGCGAAGCGATATCATCAGCATTCGACTTCACGTACCCAGAAAGAAACTAGGTGACAAAAGAGATATATAACTACCTAGAAGGTAAGGACGGCTACGTATTGCTATTCCTATTACCTCCTCGAACTCATTCATACAATTCAAGCCTCATCCATATCTCATATGCTCGTACATAAATGAGATATCGTCATTAGGAGGCTGCTAATCAAATTCCGCAGAAATATCCTATCCATTTCTTCCTATTTTAATTTACTTGTCCTTTTCTTCCTCAATGCCTAGGTACCTAGATGAGTATCTACTTACTAGGTACCTAGGTAGGTAGGTTCCTAGGTAGGCACCTGCCTATCACCTATTAGGTCGACAAGTGAACGAAGACACCTACAAGTCCGTCTCGTCGGAAGTAAGCAAGTACAGCCCAATCGGGCACTCACCACCCGCCCAGTCCTCGAAGAAGCTGAGTTCGGTGTCGCCGCCGACCACGTTAGCCAGCTCGACGGCTACGTCCTCGCCGCCCGCACAGGCGAACGTATCGACCGTGTACGCGCCGTCTGCCTCGACGGTTAACAGGTTGTAGCTCCACACGGCATCGACGAGGTTATCTAGCGTCGTGTCTTCGTCGACGCGTCCACCCAGCCTCGCGAACGCCAGATCACCCGATCCTGTCATATTCAGCGCGGGCTCTGTCCCGTTCAACCGGTCTGGCAGAAGGAACACGAGTTGGCAGCTCTTGACGTTGTCGACGGACGGGATGTCGAAGCGGAAGACCGTGGATACGGTAGACGACACTTTGCCGTAGGTAGTTGGCTCGAGGGCCGTGCTTGGGTTTGCAGCGTCGAGGGGTAGAATCAGGGCTGGCGCTTCCCAAGACCCGGGGAGGTTACCAGGACAGGATTGGGAAGGGGATTGGCGACGGTTCTTCCTGGCTTTCCAGTTCGAGCTTTGGGAGTGAGGGTTCCCGTGCTCGCTTGCTCCCGCTTCTGCCCCTAACCAGGCAGAGCCGGCATGATCGCCGCTGTGAGACCACTCTTCGCCGCCGACAGAACTGGATGTCGGCGCAGGCGGTGGACTTTCGGTAGGACCTGCGGGGGGACCAGACTCGGATCCCGTTGGGGCGGGAGGCGGCATTTCAGGAGGCCCAGAAGGAGGGATGCTAGGCGTGGGTGGCCCGAAATCAGACGCGCTCGTGCTAGAGGCTCCACTCGATGTGGTACCATATCCGGTTGACGAAGTAGCTGTTGTTTCGCTAGTCTCGCACGAGCTCGTCGTGGTTGTGGTTTCAACTTCCGTTGTCGTCGTCCCAGGGTACGTCGGCGTAGTGGAAATGCTGGTGGTGGACACGCTGGTAGTGGACACGCTGGTAGTGGACACGCTGGTAGTAGACACGCTGGTAGTAGACTCGCTAGTCGTGGTCTCGCTCGTCTCGCACGAGCTCGTGGTTGTCGTGGTTTCAACCTCCGTTGTGGTCGTGCCCGGATAGGTTGTGGGGGTTGTCTCGACAGGCGGCGTAGTAGGCGTCGCTGGAGTGGTGGTGTTGATAGCGGGTGTGGTTGTGGGATACGTCGGAGTAGCCGGAGTAGAATGTCCCGGGCAGGGTGTCGTTTCAGATGAGCATTCGGGAATCGTCTCCGTCGTAGAGCTGTAGACGGTCGATTCGGTTTCGCTCGTCGTGGTTCCGGGGTAACTTGTTATCGGCGTTCCCGGGGGAATAGAAGTCGTGGGGGTTTGCGGCGTAGTCTCCGGGGTTGTCGACGCCGGGGTCGTCACCGTAGTCGTTGTAGGCGTTCCTGGAGTTGTAGCTGGGGTTGTTTCCGGGGTGGTCACTGGAGTAGTCACTGGTGTAGTAGGTGTGGCTGGAGGCGTGGTTGGTATCTCCGGAGTCGTGCTCGGCGTGGAAGCAGACGTTGTAGGGTACGTGACCGGGGAACTTTCAGTTGGAGATGTTACCGGCGTCGTGGCAGGGACCGTGGGTGTCTCCGGAGTCGTTTCTGGACTTGTCGCTGGTGGAGACACTGGAATCGTGGGGGTTTCCGGAATAGTCGTCGCGGGTGATGTCACCGGCACAGTAGTGCTGGTTGAATATATCGGCGTGGTCGGGGTCGTTACTGGGGTGGTACCAGGACTTGTTCCAGGGGCTGTTGTTCCTGGTGCTGTGGTCCCTGGCACCGTAGTCACCAAAGTCGTTCCCGGCACGGTTGTCTGTCCCGTGCACACATTGACCGTAGAAACACTGGTGGTGGTTATTGTAAACGTGCTAGTCATCCCCGACTCGGTTACAGTAACAGTGGAGGTACCAGTACCACCTGATTCGGTAACGGTCATAGTAGTCATACCAGCAGTTCCCGACTCCGTGACAGTGACGGTCGACATACTAGTACGTCCTGACTCGGTAACGGTGACAGTAGAGACCCCAGTGCCGCCCGACTCGGTGACAGTCACAGTTGAAATGCTAGTGCCGCCTGATTGGGTGATAGTGACGGTAGAGATACTGGTGCCACCTGATCCTGTAATGGTTACGGTTTGCGTGCTCGGAGTGTTGGACCCTGCAGGAACGGTACCCTGGCCGGTTGTGATCGTTGTCATAACCGTCTGAGTGCTCCCGGGGGCCGTTACGGTTCCTGCGGGATGTGTTGAGCCGGCGCCCGTAACCGTAGTCGTCTCGGTCACGGTAGTTCCCGAAGCTACAGATGTCGAACTGCACGACGAAGGATAGCATCCGCTCGCCGTCAAAGTAATCTCGCTGCAGTTGCTCCCGCCAGGAGAAAGATATACCATGACCACGTCTTGCACTCCGGTCTGACACACCCAGAATGTAGACTGGCCATTAAACGTCACCTCCCCATTGCAGCCGATAGCAAATCCGGGCTGGGGCACCGAATCAACGTCGCATTGAAGTACGGTAGTCGGCGGCGTCCACCAACAACCGCGGCCCGTAGAGTCAGATAAGGTGTTCCCGTTCAGAACGAAGCCCGACACCGCACCGTTGGATCCGTTGATCCCGGCGTTAGTCTGACCGCTGCTGTATTGTCCGATCTGGCCAACGAACGAGCCATTAGTAGAAAGAGTGAAATCGCACCCGCCCTGACGCGCCACGAGGGAGTATGCGCCGCCGACGACGGACGATATGATAAGTGCCTTGCTCTTGTATATCATTTTGGTGGCCTTTTTTCAACCAAACGCTCAAGATAGTTTAAATTCCTTAGGGTCAGGTGTACGAAGCTGGCCCCGAAAACGACAGACTGGAGATGAAATAAATCCATATCGAGGGACAGAGACGCGATACAGCTTATATTTCCGCCTCTCGAGCAAGGAAACCTTGCCCGGATAAACTTACGGAAACTTGTTTTCGATTCGCTGAGGAGAGAATCGAAAGGGATACAACGTCATCCATCAGCCATCTGCAGCATAGGATAGAATATTTGAAGCATATACAAGGAATCCAACTACGTTATGGCTTATCATCTTGCAGATACATCACGATGCGGCTAACCCATCTCAGGGAATTGGCATTAAGTTTACCAGAACAGCCATGATTATGGGGGTCTACTAGGTAGTAAACTAGTCCAAGAATCGTGATGTTATTGCCTAGTATGAACCTGGAATGTCAGGAATCCTTGTGAAAACATAGATCATATTTTCTAGTGCGTGAATAGTAGGTATATTAGGATATATCCTGCGACGTAGTGTTAGATTTCGAAAGCTTGGTGATCCATATACTGACGCAGCTCAGGCGAAGAGATGATGTACGTATTATGCGAAACTCGTATTTAACGTTAGTCGACCCCTGGCTGACTGAATCGTACATTATACTTGAACTGCAGTTATCAGATCGTCACACTAGCTATCTAGTAGCTAGGTACCTAGGTAGGTTAGGTACGTAGGATTTGATAATACACGGTCCCGAAGGTCGAGGCATAGATAATCGTCGTTTAGCAGTTGGACAGCTACTCCTTAGGCACTGGATTATAGAGTTACCCAGCGCCTAACCAGTGCCTAGGTACCTACTAGGCGCGCATGAGGACATGATGCACGGGGATACGGTAAACCCGCGTAATACCTGTCCCCTAAAAGGAAATAATTATAGAATTAGGAAGGGGTTTCTGAGGATCTAGTTGGTATCCTAGACAGTACTGACCATAAGGCTTTGATCCAGTCAACAACCAATACATTAACTGTCGAGGCAGACCATATGGGATGAAGTTGAAAAGGTCCCAAACACTAAAATCATCAATACACCTATGATCCATGTAATTATTCCCGTATTGCAAGATGTCGATAGTTCCGAGCTAGCCGAGGACTTGGCGCATCTGCAGTCGTTTTAAAGTTTTCCATGAGGTCTCAGAAGACGATATATACCTACTAATGCCTACCTAATGCCTAGCTTCGACGGATCTTTATGACGTTACCTTTAAACTAGGTAGGTAGGACGAGTAAAATCTCCGTCTAAAAAAGTCTGATGAAAGAAAATTGCATATATACCTATGTTTATGCAATGTTCGAGTCGGATCACCTAGGATCGTGGAATTAGTGTCGTTCAAGGTAGGTACCTAGACAAGGATCTAGATATAAATGAGTCTCCTGTGTAGGATGAATCATGTGGGAGGACATATGAGGATATGGGAGTATGGTAATGATAAGAGCGTGCGGGAACGATAACAAAGTACGAGAGGGCATGTTAAAGTTTGCTAGTTCCATGCGAATGACGGTCTAAATAAACCGTCATCGGATAAGCCCGCGAAACCAGTCCGTCACCATTGTTTTAGTGCAATAACTCCATTTATAGATGGAAATATGGCTCCTCGATCTTGTCATGCTACACCCTAAGTTTGCCGTTGTCTTAAGAATGTACCTAAGAAAATAAATTCGAATGGGATAAGACGATAGTACAAGACTGTATTCAATCTGAAGGACGTATGTAATATAAACGCCATGCATTCCATTAATTGGGTGCTATGAGTTGAAGCACCCCGGTAGAGTCACCCTTGTTTTATAGGTGTATGTCCAAGTAGTCATGCTTGGCTTATGACGAAATGAAGTGATGAGTTGCCTACGACAGCCGTGGACGTCTGAGATGTCTCCTTACTTACCGATTATCATCTTGCAAGTATAAAAGAAGGGAAAAACCATCTTCTGGCGTGGAATCAAGTGTTGAGATTGATTAGTCATTGATAGAAAACGCCCCTGAAAGCCAATACGAGGAGATCTTGTCGGTAAGGGGCCACTACGAGTTGATTTCTCGTGGCTAAATGATCAGCTGAAGCGGATACAATGACTGATGATTAAATTAGGTACCTACCTATGAGTTAAACCAAGCTATATTGTACACCTGCTGGCTTTGAGATACAGCATCTCACTCACATAATATTAAGCTTGCGGCATGTATCTGCTGACTCATCATGGTGATGCGAAGTCTTGACCGCTTTTATGTCTTAAATTGACGGGGCGTCATTCATTAAATGGAGACTAAAAGTAAGTCATATCAATGAAATGGTGATAATTGTGATAGGATGGGGATAGACGGGTGCGAATCGATCATCCATGTAGTCGTCGTAGATTTCACCCAGAACGCTTCGTCCTACCTATCCAACCACTCATTAGGCTCAAGTGGTATCAGATTCAATGTTAGATTGATCATGATATGACGGGGTGTGTGATACAGTTTAGATTAATGCTTATGGTCATTCGACCTGTGAATTTATTTCTTCGACTTAGAAAGGTACGTCGGATCAGAATCAACGAGGCACGTGCAAGTAACACTGTTTAAGACTGTGCAACTTGAACCCTATAATTCCCGGTTTGGTAACTCTACCATAGGCGTTTTAACTAACGAGAAGTAATGGATCTTTTAGGTAACCAGAGGATACGAGATGGGATAGTAGATTCTAGCTAAATAGTCACGAATTTCCCCGTATCCGACTTGGGCAAGTTGAACTTCTTTGGTCTTCAAGCTAATTGACTTGGATTATGATCCACTGTCGCAAGCTAATCCACAGAATTCTAGCCTCTAGGATCGACTACGCCTTTATTACCTAACGTTAGTCTAAATACCTACAACGTAGACGTGTCAAACGTGGAACCCCAGCTCCGCTAGTTGAAGGTATCTCGGCACTGCTTCGTCCAATCAGAGCTATGCCACACCGACGACCGAACGAGGACCTACGAAGGTGGACGATCGACGCGAGACTAGATCTATCCTTGTCTGTAAGGCTGAAATACCCTACCTAGACTGGCTAGCTTTTACGACTTCATACTAAATGATTACCCGATTCTCGCTGATTCATATTATGAAGTCACGGTGGAACAGCCAAGGCCACGGTACTGGGAATCCGCTCACGCAGGGGATAGCTGCGCCGCATAAGCCTCCGATCTTCGACGACTCAACCTCCTTCGTACAAGCCATACCAAAGCAGCCAAATGAAATGAAGGAACGAAGATGCTATTTTTATCCATTTAATTTGTTTAAATTTTGGCTATGGGACGAATCTTCAGTTCCGTAGGTAGCTTACCTAGGTGTCTGCCGAGCCGAATTTGAATAATGTCACCGTGTTAATGATACCTCAATTTCTCATTCATAAGGCACAACCTCGCAGTACGAATTAATCTGCAGTACGATTTACGAATTCATTGTTACGAAAACTTAACACCGGCCTAGTCCTATTTGACCATACTAGGTATCTATCTGGAGACATACAAGGCATACGGATTTATAAATATCAATAAGGGTCTACATAGGGTTATACATACTACATCATCAAACCTGGACTCTGGCATCGCGTCCTGTCGGCACAATGCGTCTCGCCCGGGACCTGCTCCATCTCGCAATGGGACTCGCCCTTAGCATCTTAACGGGGACCGTCTCCGGCCAAGATGGATGGCCGGCACCCGAAACCATCAAAGGAACCATTCCAAATAACCCGATAGCGCAGACCCTAGATCCGGCCTTGATCCGACGCGCATCTGATAAAAAGCTGTTCATGTATACCACAGCCAAGAACGGCAGCGTCTGGACGGCCGATTCCCTATACGGCCCTTGGAAACACGAAGGGACCGCAAAGCTTCGCGAATACGGCGGCGCCCCTTCGATACATCAGGTCGGCGACACGTACTATCTCTACATCAATAACCACGAATTCGACTACTCGACCGTCGGAGTCACCGACCCCGCCATCCACCAGTGGAACCATAACTCCAGCATCCTCGCGGCCTCCTCCAAGACGCTCGAGATAGGGAGCTGGACGCAGCACGGCCGCCTCAACAGTACGTGACAACCAGAGTTCTCTCCCCCAAATTCCAGTAACTAGTATCCTCTATGATCGTCTGATAGTGATCACTCATGAGAGGCATTAAATGAGCTAGTCTCTTGCCTGCAGAGTAAACAACTAATTATCGACTCATCTTGGTATAGTCGACTGGGCGAAGAAGTACAACATTCTCGACGCCGCCCTTCTCACCATAGACGACGGCGGGAAGCGCCAGAATCTCCTCTCTTTCGGCTCGTACCAGCAGGGCATATTCCAGCTCCCACTCGCGGACCCGCCAACTAAGATAGCCGACGGCGCGAACGGCGACATCAAGCAGCTGGCCAACAACCAGACGAAGGCGTTCGGGACCGGTCCCACCGAAGCCAGCTACATCTTTAAGTGGAAAGAGTGGTATTACATGTTCTTCTCGTCGGGCCGATGCTGCAAGCAACCGGACGGCAGCTGGGTCGACAGGGGTGACGTGTACAAGGTGATGGTATGCCGTTCCAAGCAGCCTCGGAGCGGCTACGTCGACGATAAAGGTGTCGACTGCGCGAAGAAAAGCGGCGGCAAGGAAATCCTCGGCTCTCATAACAATATCTGGGCTCCCGGTGGACAGGGAGTGCTCGTCGACGACGAAGCGGGGGGGCCAATCATCTACTACCATTACGGTGAGCATCATCGGTAACACAGTTGATCATGTTAACAAGCTAACCAAAACATCGACAGTGCCGTACGATGTTAAAACGAAGACACCTGCTAACGAATTCCGATTCGGTTGGAATAAGCTTGACTTTAGCTCTGGGTGGCCTAAAGTTGTTCGATAATGAACCAGTCTGGTATAATTACCTAGGTACCTAGTAGGTATCCGTACGGATGATAGGCACGCTACCTACCTGTTATGTGCTAGGATACACAGTACCTAGACCTACCTACCTACCTACATAGTATCCAGTATATAGGCAGGTATATAATATAACACAACTACTCCTCGTCTGGACATATACGGGAAAGAACATACCAGTCTTTGGTCCATGATAGAAACTTTAGGTTACTACCTAGTAGGTACTCTATAGGTACGATTTGGGTACGTTCTGACCGAATTTAATGCGCTTCTCGACTGGTAAAAGATTGAGGATACGGGAGACGTCATAGCGGGATTATGGGCATCAACATGAACACAAGGGGCTTGGTATGAATGAGCACTCGCAGCGCTGCTTACTCAGTACCTAGGTATGGTGATTAAATTTCCTTGGTCAACGCAATTTACGTCGAATTACAAGACCTTGCGTGTACTGGCACCTACCTAAGTAGGCACGTAATATTCCACGATCAACTCTAGCTATTAGGTATTTAGTAGGCTCGCCTACTCATCACCATGCTGGGTATTAAATCCCCATAATCCCTATTCTTCGCTAATATAACCCTCGTCCCTGGTCAGGTCCCTGGTCAGGTCCCAGACCGAATCTTGTTCTATATCCTGTTCCTCTTCATTAAAAGCCCGCCTAGCGATGACCTCTCTTGCCAATCGATCGGAAATCACCATCAGATGCCCGACATCAAGGAGCAATCTCGTGCCGACAAGTCTGTCCGTCTGAGGGTCGAGGTAGTAATCTGTAATAGTAGAATGGAGAGCTAGCATCATAGTAGAGATACGACCTAGATACTCGAGGTGTGCGCGGAGGTCGTGAGATCGAGAGATTTCCTTAAAACACGGGGGACTAGTCAGCGGTCTTCGAAACAACTCGATATATTAACAGGATATCGGGAGTAATTACTATAGCCCTCTTAACTATAATTTGGCAAGCCCGAATCCTCATAGAGGCATCTGCTTGGGACCGAGGGGGTACTTCGTCTCGAACCCAATCAAATGGGGGTGTCAGGATCACCTGGGCGAGGTTGACTAAAGGGTGGGTGTGTTCAGTCATCGTTATAAGAAAACGTATTAATCTCGAGACTGGTCTGTAAAAGCATAACTGACTTGTATGTGTAGATTGTTGGAATTTGAAGTCAAGGCTACAGTGAAAGGAAGTTTAAGCTTACCAAAAGCAAGGGCCTAAAATTTTTAATTTCTTAAAAAGTGGAAAACGGCGACAACATGCTCAAACAAATCGACGGGTAGACCTCACGGCGAGTAAATGGATACCGGGTACCTACCTCGGTAGGTAAGCATAGGTATTGTTGACGGCCTTTCCATGGATTACAGGGAGCTCTTTAGGGATTTGAACCATTTAGGCATATCATCACTCAGAGCATCGTCGAAACATCATAGGCCGGCGTCTTTGTAACTCTATGAATAAGACCTCTAAGCTACTAGGTAGTATGAGTGAACATCTTGGAATTGCCTATGAATATATTTACGAGCTACGTAACGTCTTTTAACGCATGATGAAAGAATATTCACGATGACTGTTTGCTTAACAGCGATTACTACTTATAACATTGATTTATCGTATTAAAACTATTAGGAAGCTTGATAGGAGTAGAATGGGTTGGAGAGTTCAACAGTGGAATTTACTATGACTTGAAGTTATTTTGTATCTGGGCTTGGTAAGTCGATGTCTACATCATCCACGTTTTCTTTAACGAACCAGAACATTGTCCAGTGTACGTTGGCATCTACACTCATAATTCCCACTAGACAGGTAGGTAGTTACCAGTAATTATAATGTCATCTACAGTAACTGATCAATGAATTGGGAAGGTCGGGGAATTTGCCTGAATGGATGTCGGCATTAGTGGGTCGTACGAAATACGTCCGGCTCCGATTGACCGTTGATCGGTTTGGATTAGTGGAGGTGACATCTAGAAACTTAAGGTACCTATTACCTGTAAATATTCTCTATTCTTTCTGCTAAATATGCTGCTCATTATAGGTCTCTTATTTCTTAGCCTATCAGTGAGATAAAAATAGATCTATATATGTTACATGTTAGGTACGTAGGTAATTATGAGATGAACACATAAATGGTTGATTGAAGGTCATCATTATACTAATGCATCCATGGATGTGCCAAAGCCCTCCAGGGCTAGAAGATTAGCACAGTAACCCCTAAGAGGCCCCTAAGCGCCCTGTATTTTGAGGGGCTTTTGACTGGAGCCCTGGAGATACATGGTATAGTGGGGGAGGGGTAGTGGGGTCTCCCCAGGAAAACCCCTAAAAATCACTTTAGGGCTAGCTATGAAAATCAATTCGCTACCTAAATACTCGGCCACTCAACTACTAGGTAGGTACATAGGTACCTAGGTACTTAATGAATAAGGGTTCAACGTTTAATCAGGTACCTACATTGTATTTTCGTGCGAGAATCACAAAATCTATTGGCAATAGTTTACGATGATATTAAATTACAATCGTTGTCCTAATCTCTGTAGAAAATAACCTATCACGCGAGTCCATCCGCCAGGGGTTCGTACAATCCGTCGGCCATGCGCGCAGCGGGTTTATCTAAAGAGATGCGACGCGTCCGAGAGATTTCCGCCACTTGCATTTGAGCTTCGTCGATCGTCTCTATCCATGCAGACACCACCTATCGTTTATACGAGAACTTAGCCCTCCTCTCCCTCTGACATATGAACGAATATGCCCTCTCATTGTTGAATTCATAGAGCCTGACGTTCCTATACGGAAGAAATTGGCTCTTTCTCGCAAGCACGTCGCGACGTATGAACGCGTGAAACGCGGAGTACTAGGTAGGAATCCGCAACGGGAGACGCATCCGCATCCATAATCCACAATTTTTCGAGCCGGAGGGTGTTTCTCGAGCTCTCAAAAATTCGCCGATCGTTTGCCAAGGTGGCGGCGAGCTTCGTCGACCATACCATATACCTGGCGTCGAGCACTAGACTCTTCCAACTCTGGGGGTAGGTTGTCGAGAATGGTGGCGATAGACAGATCAGGCACCCACCGACTCGAAGGCACCTTGGAAAGCAAGAAAAGGGAAAATTCCCGCAGATTGATCATACCCTCGACCCTCGAAGCAAACTCGCCGAGTCCGGACGCTAGCTGGCGTATCGCATCTTCCGTCTCTTCGGAGAGCAGGGATTATACGCGAAGAGTGAGCGTCTCGATCATCGAAGAATACCGTACGAATCTCGAAAGGGCGTATATGTCGAGGACGGGCGGCCTTGGTCCCCGCAGATATTCTCGCGTAGGGTTATACTGATAGTATTAGATAATATTAAATAGAAGGGAAGCGCAACGACGAGCTACCGCTAATCTTCATAAGCGTCGCCTGCGAGGTCAGAGCTTTGGAGGAGTAAGCCTGCGGGGCGGAATTAAATACCTCTCAAACGCTAGCACCTATAGCGCAGGGCGTATATTCCGACGCGCTATCGTCCCCGCCGTCACTTACCTTACAGCGTACCTAGGCCCTATGTACTGGGTGAGTACAGCGTCAAAGCCCTGATAGACAATTACTATATTAGGAAATATTTATCCGGCATGACGATTCTGATTGGTTGATCTATGCTGCGAGCTAACGCCGCGCACTATTGTACGACATTTCTTGTACGAATAAATCACTTGAATTGATCTGGCATCTCGATTAATAAACAGAAGTGCATCTTCATATGAGGCTAGCGAAACGCTTATCTATCCAATCTGAACCGCACCGCCTCGTCACCATCGTACTAACATCCGGAGTTACGGTCAGCGGATCGGAGCAAATATCTACTACTAGGTACCTAGAGGATGAGTTGGCACATGGATCGTGGCTTGTCAGATATATACCGCGCTGGTCGTCCACGACACGTTGGCGTGAACGGTGTACAGACGTATATACTAGGTAGGTATATGATAAGGCAACCTTACGATCCAAAGTTGTAGCCATGGTCGATTAGGATAGATGGATTAGGTAGAGAGATGCTGAGGGAAGATGCAGTGGGAGACGTGGTGGGAAGATGCAAACATTCACGAGTAATATCTATGACAGATGTTGAATGTGCCGATATATACTGGCGATATCAGATACTTGTATTGATCTAGTTATCTACCTACCTACGTTATTGATAAGAGCGTGAGATATTTATACCCCTCCGGTAACCACCATGCCCAAACAATCAAAGCCAAGCTCCATTAGATACCATACTTGGAATAGCATGAGAACCTCGGATCTCCCTCACCCATTCCACCTCCCGTGTTCTTCCCCCATCCCCCAAACGATCTTCCGTTAGAGATGTCCGAGACGAGCGTACATAGTTAGAGATGTCAGAAGTCTGGTCTGTAGGAGTAACAGTAGCTAATGGTCTAGCAGGATCGGGGCGAGGCCCTTCGTGGCTCGTGCAGGCCTACGAGATGATAGGAATGGGTTCTGGATAAAGGCTAGGAGGCCCCAAGACCGAGGGGAAAGATGTGGGAGGGAAGTCTTTCTTCTGAGCTTCCACGGGGGAAGAGAGGGTTTTACATACACTTTTCTAATGGTGGCTGTGATTTTCCGGTGAGTCAGTTATTAGGCGACCGAGCAAGATATAATAGAGTTATGGCGGTGGTCTGGCAGCTGCCAGAGACGGCGAGTCAGGAGTTACCTAGTACCGTATCGCGCATCGCGTTGAACCTTCTTCGCGAGCATATTGTTGAATACGCTCTCACAAAAAACTACCTCGAACCTTATATCGACCACGTACGAAATAGCAGGTACGCGCTGCCTCGTCATATGGACGTTTCTACGTACCTCGGATGCTGTAACCGGATCAATACCATCCAGCTAGTACGTGCAAAGGTGTACCTATTGGCAACGCTCGAGTTTCGACGTAGGTTTTACTGAGAAACGTGACTATTCCTGATAATTATCTACCTACCAAGCTAACCTACCTAGTATGTAGCCAGCACTAGTATCTTCTATCTACCTACCTAGTACCCGTAGTAGTATGGAATAAGGCATCTAAATAATACCTAGTGCTCATCCCCGGATATTCCAATCTACTACCGGTAAGCTAGAGCGCCGCACTGCGTTCCAAATAACATCGTTTCCCACCTAATATCTATCGGCGCCGATACCGCCTAAGATCGAAGCTGCCACGAGCATGTGGTGTGTGACTCTCGAACAGGAATCGACGTTGCAGGTAGATACGATGATTCTTCCCACAAATTTAGCGCATACCTGAAACTCCCTCATATTAAATGTTCGAACTCTAAACTGTAATTTATCTCAAAAGGTTTTGATAAACTCTAACGTTACCTGTTGTGAAGACACACCTGCTTCCTATTATATAGGTATCCATGAATCGTCTGTACTTACTACATACTTACTAGGTAGGTACCTAGGTACCTAGTAATCGGGTCTTCTCGTAGCTAGCCATTGAATATAGCTTCTTGGCTCATACGGAGCCATCTATGAACAACTACGTACCCGCCTACCTAGGTAGGTAGGTACCTACATGTTTGGCATCGCATAAGTGCCAGGTGTGTGATTGTCACGGTGTATGAAGATTAGAATAGGTACATGCAGATTTATTATAATTTTACCTTAACATTACTTCCATATGCCTAACTCTTACGTTTGTTACGAAATATCAGTTTGGATGGATATATTAAATGAACGAGATGAAAGAAACTACTCTATTAATACCCATACATAACTATAAAGAGAAAAGCAAAATTAATACTAAGAAGCTCCATCTCTCCCTCCCTACCGGACGTTAAAACACCCACAGCACAAGACCTATCCCGCTACCCGATGTAGCCCATCGCGTGGTCGATCTTGTCCCATCTATCTTCTGGGGACTTTCTATCGCCGCCCGACACGATACCGCCGGCGTTCACGGGACCGTGAACCACCTCCAGGCGGTGAACGGGTTCGCCGCAGTTGGCGCATTTCTCCGGCGCCGGCGGGTCGAAGAAGGACAACGGCTCCTTGTGCGGATTATATAGGGGGGGGGCTGGTCAAAGTGCGAGCTGGTAGGTCGGTTGGGTGCTGGGTCGGGCGCGGCTAGGGAGGAAGAGACGGACGCGGGCAAGGTGGAGGGGCCGGGAGCGGGACGTCCTCGTTCTCTCTCGTCGGCATTTCTGCGACGGTTTTGTTCCCTCTTTGCCTTATTCACGCGCCTCTTCAGGTCCGCCTTCCGCCTCAGCGCTTCCTCGTCCACCTGCCGGGAGGGCTCCGGGAATAGAACCTTGAGGTTCTTCGGACGACCGCCCGCGAGCTTGCGCCTCTGGGTGCTGATCTTGTTGACGAGGATGTGGCTAGGAGGGGTCTTGCCATGGTTATAGCTTTTCCGTGTCGGCACGAATCCTTCCTCTAGGACTTTGGGCTCGCTGAACTTCAAGACCATTGAGTCGCCTTGAGCGACGGCGATGTTCAGCGCCGAATCCTGGCGCCTCTCCTCCATCCCCGACACCGCACCTTGGCGGTTTACACTGAAGTCGACGTCGGACATCGTTGAGGCGATTATACGCTCGGATGTAGGGTCGGCTCGAGTGAGGGCCTGGGAGCCGCCGCCACGACCGCCACGACCACCACGACCACCACGACCACCACGACCATCGAGGCTACCGCGAGAACCAGAACCTCGGCGGTAATCAAATCGCCGACCATCACGACCTCGGCCATACTGGCCATTGAAAAAGCTGCCGCGAGAACTAGCGCTTGGGTCGGGACGGGAGGGCTCGCCATCACGGTCTTGGAGGCCGGAGGGATGGCCGCTTCCACCGTCACCACCTTCACCTCCACCATCACCGCGGCCATCTTGGGTGGTCCCACGGCTTCGGCTTCTCTGGTCTTCCTCGTGGTACGATTGGGGAGCCTCGAGACCGGTAGGCCTCGTAGGCCTCGTGATCTCGTCTAGGGCCGACTCCAACTGCAGATCACGGCCGCCACGAGCTTCGCGGTCTTGGGAGCCTTGCTCCCCCTCTCCTCTCTTACCACCTTTAGAATTCATTCTTGAAAACCGAATTATTATAAATAAACGGTCTGAATAGGCGGGGGCGACGACGATTGTGCTTGTGTAATTTTTCGTTCGCGCGCGATTTTGAATTAGAGAGGGCTTAAGGAAGAAAAAAGAATTTCGTGAATTCATAAATTTGAAGAAGGTATATCTTGCTTAACGAGTAGTACATAGATACATACCTAGGTACTTACTACTAGGTAGGGGGGTAGGTAGAGGGGTAGGTGACGAGCTACATCCAGTAGCAATTTAGAGTTGTAGGCCCCTATATGCTGTTAGTAGGGCTGATTTTCTGCTATAACCCTTCCGTGGATGATATACCCCACATTAATATGCACCCTACATGCACCCTCATGCACGCCTCGATGCACCCCGCCTGTTCACCCCAGAGCTCGGCGCGACCCGCTGCACATAATTACAGGGGACTGCAACGTCAAGTGGGTTATAAGACTAAATCTACCCAACTTGCCAATTGTATCCATATACAATATACCGAGGTACACTATTCTGGTTACAGGGCGCCAATTACCCGCTGATTCTTCTTCGCGGTCAGCTACATGTATTGGCCCCGGGGGTTCCTACTTCTAAAGATTAAAAACAACCCTCTACCTACCTGCCTAGGTAGTATGTTACAAGGTTACACAAAAGGCAGTATCTACCAATTGTGATAGGTGTATCAAGTGTAAGTTACCACTATAAAACTATAAATCAAGGGATACTCCTAACATGGGAGGTTACTTCCACAATCCAATCCATTCCATAAAATAAGACTAGCATAGAGAGCACGTTTTCTAACTCTATTTTCTCTACTACCAGCGGGCATTCTCGCACATTGCCCTACCTGTTCAATATCAGAACTTACAACCACCTCACCCATTTCACCACACCCAACCACTTCATCCACCGTGACGGTGGGCAATTTGGAGGGAGAGGAGCGTGCGTTCCTTCTCGTCCTCGAGGAGCGCCCCCGGCTGACGAGGGCGGCGAGGATAACGAGGACCTACGGGTCGTGATCGGCGGTGGCGCTGGCAGCCCGCTGAAGAGCCTTGCCATCATGGAGGGGCTCCGGAGAAGCTTAGTGAAGGATGAGGCGGTCGCGGAGGGCCTCAAGCCCTTCCAGATTATCCTTCCCGCCTACCTCGACTTCTCCAAGGTCTTCTGCGACGACCTCTGCCTAACCAGCCTGCGAGAGTGCCTCGGCAGGGCGTCGTACACCCTAGGCGGTCACGACCTCGCCCTCGCCCTTCACGTAGGGGAAGCTGCCCGACCGACCAGGCTTTGCCTCATAGCGATCAGCTGCATAGGGATCGCAGATCTCGGGTTCCGCCTCCGTCTCGTCCGGGCGTGGCACGTCCTCTGCAGCTACGGCCATCTCGTCCTCACGAAGCAGGCCCCGGACCACAACCTCCGAAACTTCGTGGAGAGGTTCTCCGAGACCGCCATTAAATCCGCGATGGGCACGCCCCCACGGCCTCTACCGGGAAGGCGTCCGTAGGCTCCAGCCCAAAAACGCGCTGCTTTACCCAGGGCTAAAGCACAGGTGGGCAGGCTTGAAGGAGGAAGGCTCATCAATCTCGCTATCCACAGCGCGTTCAACCTTCAGCCAAAAAGGCTGATACTGGCCTTGTTGTACATCGCGATCTTCCGTACGGACTATCGTGGGCCGATCCCGTGGGAGAACCACACCACCGACGGGTTTCTCGACCTGCTCCTAGAAGGGATGCGGGACTGCTCGAGGTCCGTGGTACAAGTCCACCGAGAGGTACTGGGACGCCTGAAAAGAGAGGGAAAGGACGTGGCTTCGTGGACATCCTGCCTCTTCCGCCACATAGAAGAGAGAGCCTTTCGCGCAAGCGATGAAGACCCGAATCGACCAGCAGAGCCTCCCATCTTCAAGATCACGACGGAGGACCTGAACGACGTTACCGGAGCTGTCGATTCGGTGAAGAGCGCCGGGATCTGGGTCTTCCTCCCCGTCTCGATGCACGCTCGCATGGCGAAGACGGCGAAAAAGGACCGCAAAGGGCCCAGCAACCTCCAAGGAGCTGAATAGGTTACGAGAGGCCGTCATTCTAAATGATAGGCGATGGGATATCGTGGACGCTCACCCGCCGCCCAATCATGAAGATGACTTCGCGTTCCCCACCGGGAACGACGACAAGAGGAACTAGGGCCACCACCGAAGCGTCTTCACTTTATCAAGTCCTGGCAATACGAATCCACTGATTTATTCCCAGTGCATACCTCCTCGCATTTAGACTTCCTCTCCATCTCTAAAAAACGCCAACCTCCTGCCCTTTCAAACGTTTCCGTACTGGGACCAGATAAGGGTGTTACCATCAGCAAAATGGAATAGCCCCATAATATAGATTCCAAATATAATGTCCAGCTGATTGGGGATGGGCTAGCGGGGGAAATTTGAATAAATGAAACGCCATTGTGAAGACATTATGACTCGTGTATGGAGTAAAACCTTGTGGATTGTCATGGATTTCGGTATGTACATGTAAGCACAAGCACCTTAGGGTTAGGGTTAGGGTTAGGGTTAGGGTTAGGGTTAGGGTTAGGGTTAGGGTTAGGGTTAGGGTTAGGGTTAGGGTTAGGGTTAGGGTTAG